GGAATGGACTGATATTCACCGGTATTCCGAGTATGACGGCTATCTACTTGTATGGCTTTAAGCTTATCAACGAGGGGAATGGGAGGTTGCATCTCACTTATACCCCGTCTAATAGTTCAGACTTGATAAAATTCCAGCTACTCTGGAATGGCACTGAGGAGCAAAGAACTTGGGATACTGGTTTGAAGGAGTGGAGTTTAATACAATTACAGCCAGTAAATCAGTGCGAGCTGTACAACAGGTGTGGACCATTCGGGGTTTGTGATGTTATGAATTCACCGATATGCACTTGTTTGAAAGGGTACGTGCCTAAGGACAATGATCAGTGGAACATTGGGAATTGGTCAGGTGGATGCATTAGGAGGACACAGCTACAATGTGAGACAAAGGGGGGGCGAGGAGTGGGGGAAAGTGGGGAAAAAGATGGATTTCTAGAAGTTGAGGATTTAAAATTGCCAGACTTCGTAGATTATGTGGGTTCAGAAAATGTTCAAGAATGTCGAAATAAGTGTTTGCATAATTGTTCATGCATTGCCTTCTCCTTTGCAAGCGGTATCAGCTGCATGATTTGGAGCAAAGACTTGGTTGACATTCAGCAGTTTCAGTATGGAGCGAACACTGTGTTTCTCCGTCTTGCTCATTCTGAGCTAGGTAATGTTTCCAATCAATTTCACTAGCACAATATGCAGAAATTTTCTTCGCTGTTTACAATTTTAGGCTTTTCTTAAGACATTTTGTAATTAGGATACGCTGCCTAAATCCTCAACTCATTGATGTGAAAAATGGTTAAACTCAAACTTTTTTCAAAGGGAAGAGTGGTATTTGTCCCTTTCCAGGGTCTTGGCCTGCTCTTATCCCAGATTTTGATTCTAAAAGTCATCCGTTTTATAGAAAATATGTTGCCAAAGTGGTGACATAAATGTTAACATGTCTATCAGGTTTAAACAAGTGGTGGAGATAGCAGAATGTCGTATAGACAACAGGATTCATTAATAGTTTATAAATTTGCAAGACATTCAATGATCCTCCAACATTACTTTTTTGTTGGTCATTATCAGAGGGAAGCAAGCACATGGAATAAGAATCCAAGTCATGAATGAGTATTCAAGATCAAATAGCGATCCGTCTGAAATTTTTGAAATTTAAGAGACAATAAGTAACACAAGATTTCACGTAAAAACTCAGTCAAATTCTGCTTGAATGGACCTCTTTTGAAAACAGGTGGCACGAGAAAGGTAACAAAATTACTTATAGTAGCAACTGTTATGGTGGGAGTGCTCTTTCTGGGTCTGTCAATCTGGCTGCTTTGGAGGCGCAAAGACAAACTGCAAGGTTTATTCCCTAAAAGCTAATCACTCAGGTTACATGGCTTTATCACCCATAACAGTCATATGACATTTTGGTGTCTGCATAATTATCTTTGATATTCAACTGCAGAAGTTTTCAAATCATCGAAGCAGAGGGAGAGATTTCCAGAAACTCATCCAATCCAGAGTGGAGAACTTTCAAGGGATTTTTCAGGACCGGATGATCTTAGCGTCGAAGGGCAGGAATGTTCTGGGAAAGAATTAACGTATTTCACTTTCAGTAGTGTGTCAGCAGCTACAAACAATTTTTCAGACATAAACAAGCTAGGACAAGGAGGATTTGGCCATGTCTATAAAGTATAGTGCTTGCCACATTAGATATCTTATATTAGATTGTGACTAGAGATATGAAAGTATCTTGTATCTTGTCTTGATTAAACATGCTTATTCTTCCGCTTACATTCAGGGCAAGCTACCAGGGGGCCAAGATATTGCTGTCAAGAGGCTTTCAAGAAAATCTGGACAAGGGTTGGAGGAATTCAAGAATGAGGTCATGCTAATTGCCAGGTTACAGCACAGAAATCTTGTTAGACTTTTGGGCTGCTGCATTGAAGGAGAGGAGAAAATTCTACTTTACGAGTACATGCCCAACAAAAGCCTAGACTCGTTTCTTTTTGGTAAGTGGTCTAGTTTCCTGTTGGTTGCTTAAGTCTTCATCTATAAACCATTTATTAATTCTGCAATGGATATTCTTTTCAATATTATGAAAGTACTTGTAAATGCCTACCTTTACACCGTCAAGTACATGTATTTGATATTTATGTCAACGACTTCTTGGTTTCATGCACAAATGTACATCAGACCCTGTAAAACAAAATCAACTAGACTGGAGAACTCGTTTCCTCATAATTGAAGGCATTGCAAGAGGTCTCCTGTATCTTCATCGAGATTCAAGACTCAGAATAATTCACAGGGACTTAAAGGCCAGCAATATTTTGTTGGATGGAGAAATGAATCCAAAGATTTCAGATTTTGGCATGGCCAGAATATTTGGAGGGAACCAAAATGAAGCAAACACAAACAGGGTTGTGGGAACATAGTAAGTACAAACACTTCCATCCATCGTTTTCCTTATTAGAAATGATATTGGTCTTACTTGAAACCTCTTGCTTTCGATTAAGTGGCTACATGGCTCCTGAATATGCGATGGAAGGTCTTTTTTCAGTGAAGTCTGATGTCTACAGCTTTGGCATATTGCTTTTAGAGATTGTAAGTGGCCGGAGAAACACCAGCTTCCGTTCAGCTGAGCACTCAAATATCATCGGATATGTAAGCCTGTACCATATTCTCTGTCTTGAACAATTGATCCTCAGGGTTATAATAATAATAATTAGTAGTGTGGAAATCTGATTAGAGGCCTATCCTTTTTCACTTCTGTATTGTTCCAGGCATGGGATCTTTGGGACAGGGGCAGGGCAATAGACCTGCTGGATCCTTCAATCGCAGATACATGTTCCCCTAATGAAGTGTTCAGATGCATCCATATAGGCATGCTCTGTGTCCAAGATTCAGCATCTCATAGACCAACTATGTCAGCTGTGGTATTGATGTTGGAGAGCGAAAATGCAAATTTGCCCATGCCAAAACAGCCTACGTTTACTTCATTGAGAAGATCTCTAGACGTGGATGATATGTGGAATGAAATTCATGATGTTGTAACCTCAAACAATGTAACCCTTAGTGCAATCCTTGGCAGATAATTTTCATCTCAGTGCTGCTTCAGTTTTACATTTGCAGCAGCCAGCAGCATCTTTACACCGTTAACAGACATATTTTGAGAACATTTTGCCATGTGTTGTTTGGTAATTATCAGTGCCAAAGGTCAGGACACGCCATACTCTCTCTGCAGTCTGTCATGGTGATGAGCAGGGCCTCCTAATGAATCCTGCAACCTGAATAATTGAAGTTATGATTCAAGCTCATAGGACTATTTCCTTCAGAAAATGAAAAAAAAAAAAATTTTTTTTTTTTTTTTTGGTCTTATGCTACAGCATAATTTGGCTTCCTCGACAGCAACACTTCTATTAACAGCAGAGAAAATTCTGATTGGGAGGGGTATTGGGGGCAATTACCATACAAATGCGCATCATTAAATACTTCGGAAATCAGGCTTTACTCAGAATAAGAGCTGATGATCAAGGAGGAGGAGAAAAACTTCCAAACCATAATATCATGCTTTTACCTAAATCGGTTAGCAAAGAAAAAGAAATCAATTCTCTGAGGGCACAGTGGCAGATGACACATTGATTGATGTTGTTGTATTGAACTGCTCCTAAGAGTTGTAATCAACAACCTTAAGGACCCTGAATTACTTTAAATGTTGTAGAAGTTTGACGAAGTAGCTATTAACTAGCGTGCATCACCAGAACTGATTGTTCTTAAGGTTTCAAAGTGATTCATATGACTCCTTTGTTCTTAATTTTATGAACAGACAAAATTCAACGAAAAGCAGCCACCTTAACGGTGGCAGAGCCGCACTGCGTTGAGGGTGGCCAATCCCCCACTCCTCAACTTTACAAAATTTAAAATATAGCCTCAAAACTATTACAAATTCTTATGTTTTTTGTTTATCATAATTACAACCCCTTAATTTTGGATAATATCCTTTTCTCTTTACATTGCCTCACTGTATGATAAGAAATCCTCATTCTCGTCGCATGGTCTCCCTAAACAACCAATTTCTTTTAGACATTCTCTTTTACGGTACAAATCATTTAAAGCTATTAAAAAACAAAATTAATTACTACTCGAATAAGAAATAACTTCAATACTTTTACAACACAAAAAAGCTCATAATAATACATAAGTTTTAATCAAAATTTTCTTTGCACAATAATAACATCATGTTAGGTGTATAATACTATCTCCACTAGCCATAGGTCCTGGTTTCACCAATACTCCTTAACATCTTTAGTTGAAATGTTACTTTTACTCTTACTTTAGTTTATATATATATATATATATATATATATATATTACTATTACTTTAGTACTAAATTTAATGAAGAGCTAATCACTTTGTGTAGACACCAAAATTTAATTATTTATTTAATTATTTTTATTTTTAGTAAAATCATTTTTCTTTTGTTTTGTTTGGAAAATGAAGAAAAAAATATATGAAAATTTCAAAATTAGAAAAATAGTAGAGGTTCTTTTGTTTTAACCCAACCCAATTCCCCCCAAATCCAAACAAAACCCAAGCCAAAAGTTAAACAAAGCCCAAGCAAAAACTTCATAAAAACCCAAACAAAACCAACAAAAAGCCTGGAAGAAAAAGAAAACAAAAAGAGGCCCATCAGCCTATTTCTTTGCTTTTCTTAAAAAAAATAAAAAATAAAAATTCTCACGCAGCAACGAGGAAGGCTGATTTTCCTCTTGCATTTCCTTTGTTTTTCCTCCATTTCAGCATCAAACCAGCAACGAGGAAGGCTGGATTTTTGTTTTTTCTTTGGCAACCAAAATTCGTTTTGGCTTCTTATTTTCTTTCCCTCCAAGTTTAGCAAATACTTGGACACCTAATCAGCCACAATCTCTCAAGCAACAGCTGGCAAAACAAGATCAAATGGACCAAATATGGCCACAAAACCCTGGTTTCATCTCAACTATTATTCTTAGGGTTTTAATAGGTTTTATTTCATTTAAAAGGCTAAGGGAGAGTATTTAGGGAGGGGGAGAGGAAAAAGAAAAAATTTAGCAGCCATAGGATCTAGGAGAGAGGAAAAAGCAAGAAAAAAAAAAAAGAAAAATTTTCGCCTGCAAAAATTCTGGAAAAAAGCTGGTGAACAAGCCGTGTTTGGAGGGGCTTTTCTCCTTCGTTATAGATCTGATTTGAGTGATTTTTCTTTCTGAACTTTGGTGAAACGGAGGGAAATAACTTTTGTGTTGAAAGGTTTCGCTAAAAATCATCCTAAACCCTTCAAATCTCGGCCCAAACTTCGCTCATCAAAACATTTTTCTGCAAAAATTGAGCCAGGGCTGACCAAACAGCCCAGTTCGTCTGCACTTTCTGAATTCATCTGGCCTCTGTTTGGCGAATTCCTTGTTGTTTCATCATCTAAGATTGAAGTAACGAAAATTTTATTTTGAACATTCCCTGAAAAAGTATCTGAAACCCCTCGAAATTGAGCTTGAAATTGCATCTTCATCAGCACTTGGACCACTGCAGCAAGAACTTGCTTGGTTCATTTTCCGCATTTGGGAGCTCTTTTTTTGAGTTTCTCCACGTTGGTTCGAGTCCTCAAACATATTTAGGTAATTATAACCCTTTCTCTCAGTGGATCTAACTTTTTTAATGAGATTTTAAGCCATTACATGAGTTTTTATGAGTTTTGTGCCTTAGATCTCATTTTTCTCATGATTTATAGTGTTCGATGGTCATGTTTGATATTCAAATCAATTCATGAGATCATGGAAAGCATGTATATGAAAATATCCGGTCTCAAAAGTTAGAAAAAATGACTTCCGGCGACATACCGGCAATTTTGGCCGGCAGTTTTCCAGTTTCCGGCAGTTGAAAGCCGGAATATTCATACTAGCCGGAAAATTCTTGATATTTTCTCTTCTATTTTTGCTCCAATTATTTTTTTTTGTCCTATTATGTTTGATCCAATAGGATGTAAAATTGGGTATGATGTTGGGTTTGGAAAACGGGCCAAGACTTATTTTTGTTTGGATTTGCATATGGGTTATGATGCTTAGGCCCAACATTTCTTTTGTTGGATTTGGTTTTAAAAAATGATGGGCGGGTACTTTTTCTATCTTGGGCCCAAGAGATTGTTAGCGCAAAATAAAACAAAAATGGCCCAATAATGTTTTCTTAAGATATCAGAAGCGAAATTTTACAATCAGGCCCCTTCTCTTTTGAGTAATTTTATTTTGACCCTATAATTGTTGAATTCCTTTCACATAGGTCCTTATTTTAATGTCATTTTGGTCCCTAAACTTTATCTTTTATGCAATTTTGATTCTTTTTTCAAAAATCATAAATTTACCCAAATACTTTTCAAAATTTGCAATTAGGTCTCTAATGGTTTTGATTTCTCAAGTATGATTGTTTATCTTCTTTAATTGTTAATCATGCTTTGTTTAAATGCATTTAATGAGTAAATTTTAGGGATTTTATGTTCATTCATATTTCTTTGAAATAAATAAAGTGAATTTGCTATATTATTTACATTTTCTTTTAAATTGTTAATTAAATTAATTCATTGACTATTTTATTGGTTTTGGAATATAAATAGGATAAATTCTACCTCATTTAATCACTATTTCAAGAGAGGTCCTATTATTATTTTATATTTTTTATGTGCTCCTATGTATTTTTCTATGTGTGATTGCATGTTTTGAATGCTATTTCTTTTATTTACTCATTTTATCCATTAAGTTTCATTTTTTTAAATTTTTGACGATTATTTGGGAGGCATTTAAATGCCAATTTGTAATAAATAGGTGTCCAAGAAATGTATTTAGTTAAACCATGTAATAGATAGATATTATTTTTGTCAAAAAAATAATTAGTTAGATAAATATAATAGATATGTTTATTATTTCCAAAAATTTCCCTTTGTAATTTGGATTCTTATTGTAATAGTTAGTTTTTATTTAGGGAAAATCATTCAAAACGTCCCTCAAATTTTACAAGATGATTTTTTTCGTCCCTCACTTTTAAAAGTATAATTTTACGTCTCTTACAAATTCATATTGATCAAATTTGGTCCCTACCTAAGTTTCCAACTAGTTTTTGCCGGAATCCACTACGTGACTTGCATGTGATCATTTTTAAGAGCATAATTGTCAAATCAAATTGTTACATAATCTGATTCATAGTCCCTCACATTTCACAAAATGAATTTTTTCATTCCTAACACTTTACAAAATGAGTTGCTTCGTTCCTCACATTTCAAAAAATGAATTTTTCCATCCCTCATATTTTTAAAATGAATTTTTTCATCCCTCATTGATCATGTATACGAATGGTTTTTTTTTCCTATAAATCTACATATATGTCTATTTGATTTTACCTAAACAGTATGAATAACATGTAATTTATCTCCATTGGATTTTATCTAAACATGCTAATCGTAGTTATACACATGCTATTCAATAGATATATATATATATATATATATATATATATATATATATAGGGGTTTTAAACTAATAATTTTGTTTGAAACCCATGTATATATTTATATGATTTCACCATTTGAAGCTATTCAATATTTGTGACATTTCTCTTTTGATAATAATTTATTTATTGAGTTGTATAATAAGGTCATCTAATTAATGGGTCCTAACTCGAATTTTATAATTGTGCTAACAAATTTCAGTTTAAATCTGAAATTTCTATTCGACACTTTTAAAACCAACAGTTGAATTACTTGCCTTGTGATTGTGTTAAAATTTGAAAGTGTCAATCACTTATTTCTTTTTGTCATACTTGTCTTTTGTTTACTTTTTCTATCCAAATTTAATTCGATATAAACACTTGATAATATTTAGGATTAAATGTATTCTTTATTTTCAAATTTCGAATAAAAGAAAATGAATATAAGTGAAAAACTAACAATTTTTTAAAACCGATGTATATATCTATTTCATTTCACTTGATCAATACGAATAGTGTGTAATATATCTCTATTGGGTTAAATATCAAAAACCCCCCATGTGATTTGACTAATGTTCACTTTACCTCCTTGTGGTTTGGAAACTTACAATTTAACTCCTTGTCATTTCAACTAAAATGAAAGTCTAATAGAAAACATCTACAATAATGGTATTTCTGTCAGACTTTCACTTTAGGTGAAATAACAGGGAGTTAAATTGTAAGTTTTCAAACCGTAGGAAAGTAAAGTGTACATTTGACAAATCATAGGAGGATTTTTGGTATTTTACCCATTCTCAAATGCACGAAACATTCTTCCAAGGGTTTGACTTATAGAGGGACAATTTTGACATTTTTCTTTTAGACATTAGTTTAGATGTTTTCCGTCAGACTTTTACTTTAATTGAAACGACGGGGAGTCAAATTGTAGGTTTCCAAACCATATGGAGGTAAAGTGAACATTAGTCAAATCACAGGGGGATTTTTGGTATTTAACCCTATCTCTATTTGATTTCACATGCTATTCGTATTGTTCAAGTGAAATCAAATAAATATATACATGGATTTTAAAAAAATTATTCACACACATGATCAATAAAAGATGAAAAAAATCATTTTGAAAAATGTGAAGGACGAAAAAATTTATTTTATGAAATGTGAGAAATTATGAATCGAATTATATAAAATTTGATTTGATAAATTTGCTCTTAAAATATGATCATGTGCAAGGCACGTGGTGAATTTCGATAAAAAACTCTTCGAAAATCTAAGTAGGGACCAAATTTGACCAATGTGAATTTGTAAGGGGCGTAAAATTATATTTTTAAAAGCGAGGGACGAAAAAAATTATTTTATAAAATGTGAGGGACGTTTTGAACGATTTTCCCTTTTATTTACTTGCATGTTTGTCTGCTTGTCTGCTTGTGCGCTTATGTGTTTATTTGCTTTTTCTAAAGTTTTACATCTAGATATTATGCCTATGTGCTATGTGTTCTATATGTTCTATATGTTTTATGTGTTTATTTGCTTTAATTATACTTTATATGTTTTGTTTATTTATAATAAATGCATGACGTCACTACATTAATCCAATACTAATTGTGGCTTTTCTTCTCGATTTCTCACTAGTTTAACGCTAGTGAGAAGTTGTAAAAATGGGTTAGTTCAATGTTAGATACTTTACGCCGTTTTCGCATTAGATTCATACCTTGTGTGACATTTATTGCATCTCATGTATTTTTTCCTATTTCAATTTGCATGACGTTTCCCCTACTATTATTCCCTTACCCTCTATATGTTTGGACCATGTTATTTAGAATTGTATTTCATTTTAAGAAATTAGAAGTAGACTTAGTCCATTTGGTTAACTAGATTAGGAAAGTCACCCCTCGAATATAGGAAATGAGTAAGTATGGCTTTTACCCTTATCACGTTATTACTCCTTTATAAAGAGGAAAATTGAGTCACGAATTTCAATTTTCCATACCCGTCGCGATGCATTCCCTTTTCTAGATTATGTATATTTATCTAAATATTATAATTTCCTTTTTTGAGTTTTATATTTTGTATTTTTCGTGACCTCTCCGAAAAATCATCCTTAGGCATCACAATTAATGTGATTGGTACTAATTAAATTTTGAAGAAACATTTCGGCCTTCTCAATATCTCTTATGTCTCCAAAATGTGATAAATTTTATAGGTTAGATTAGGAAAATTTTCGACTAAATTTTGTAACTGACAGAACTTGGTTAGGTTGAAAGCGCAACGGATCTTCTGTCCCACATTCTGTGCCACTCTCTGTCCCACTTTTTATTATATTACTATTTCTCCTTCATAAACATCATGTTTTAATTCTTGTTTGCTTCCTTAAGATCTAATAACTATTAATTAAGTAATACATAAAATTTAACAAACTCAAAAAATCAAAATACATAAAAAATGAGATTTTTTATGAATTTTCTGCTGTATTTTTTAATTTTCTATTATATATTACTTTTTTGAAACTGTTGTATTTATTTTTTACTGAATTAATAGTTATTGGATCTTAAGGAAGCAAACAAGAATTAAAACATGATGTTTATGAAGGAAAAATAGCAATATAATAAAAAATGGGATAGAGAGTGGCACAGGGTGTGGGACAGAAGATCCGTTGCGGGTTGAAAAGGTATCTTAAATCAAATCTTTGCTTTTCCTTTCTTCAAACACGACTTTCGAATTCTTTTCTTTTGTTTTCAAAGACTTGAAGTCATCTAAAAGAATTTTTATTATTTTCTCATTTAAAATATATTTTGGGTGATTTGGTACACCTAAACTCAATATGAAGTGGCGACTTTTATTTTTTCTTTACAAACCCCTTTAAGACTATTAGTGGTCCAAACCGTCGCATTTTCTAAATTCCATTTAAGACCCTTTTTCTTTATTTATTCCTAAAATAATTTTTTTAAAACACCTTTTTTCTATTTGTAAAAAAGGGGGCGTGACACTTTGCATAAAATCATAAAGAAAATTATGAAAATATATGCGAAACAACAGAATAGTCAAGTGGGTATTATAATATTAGCACATGCAATTTTAGAAAACATTTGGATCAATCGCCATAATTGCACTTGTTTTTCATCTATTTTTCACTTTATACAAAATTATAAGAGGTGATTTGAATAGCTTTGAACGTTAAAAGGGTCATGTGATAATATAAAAACACCACCGCTAGTAAATGATAATTTATCCTATATTTTGTAATATTCTGTTGACTGCAAGTCTGAACCCATTTTCTGCCATTGGAGTCTTTGGAGATCGATAAAACGACTGGACTGTTGAACAACAAAATTAAGACTGCGTTTCGACTTGTTAGCTTTTAGCAGTCCAACTTTGACAATACTAAGGGCATCTACAATGCTATTACACTTTGTGGAGTGTAATCTACATGCCACGTCAGCATTCCACTTTCTCCTCTTTTATTACACTTTCACTCACAATGAATTACACTCCACAAGGTGTAATAACATGGGTCCACAATTAATCAAATATTTATTTTAATAATGCATAACTCATATTCCATAAATAAATAAAGTAATTTTTAAAACTAATTTTGTTATTTTTAAAAAATAAAGTACTAACTTTCATTAAATTTTGTACATTTTGAATTTTTTTATTTTCTAAAAATGATATTATTAATTTTTAAGTTTGAATAATATATCTTTTTCTATGTTTCAAAAATAATATATTATTATTTTTGGGAAGAAATTTCAACGGATTGGGAAGAAAATATATTGGGAAGAAAATTCAACGGATTGGGAAGAAAATATATTGGGAAGAAATTACACGCATCATATATGATGCGTGTAATCCGCATGACACGGCTCCAATGGGGAGCCGTGTCATGGAGGGGTGTAATGGCTCCCATTGGAGATGCTCTAAAGGAAACATCCGTTATTTCTGAAATTTAAAGGTCAAGTCTTAATGGTCAACTGGGAATACTGCTCGCAAATTGTCCGCTTCTTTCCCCTTCTCTTCTTTGCTGTTCTTTCTTCTGTGGTTCTCTTCCGAGTTCCATCATCAGAAAATATCAAAACATACACACACATACGGATAATATGCATATCTGTACATATATAGATACTTATATTTGTGCTCTAACATTTCTGCAGATTTGCTAGAAGTTGAAGTTTTGGTCGACTTAAAGCTTTTTCATATTTTTGCCTTGAATGGAACGAGTGCAGTTGCTTAGGAACTTGCGGTAATATTATCTGGGAAGGAATTGAGTCAAATCATGGTTATTGACATAACACCAGAATTAGACTGGATGATGATATCCGATTAAGCCACCTTACCCTGTCCGTAAGGGAATGAAAAAGTCAAATTCATTGTCTGTCATCAGGTTGATGTCGGGCGAAAGAAGAAGAGAAGAAGTAGAAAGGGGTCCTAAATAGCTCCTTTGGCCTAGAGAGACAGCACAGAGAACAGAGAGCACAGTTAATGGGGAAGTACAGGGATATCTTTAGCTTATCATTTCTTGTGCTTTTTAACATCCTCTTCATTTTACCGGCATGTTGTGCATCAAATGACACCATAACTCCATCCCAACCGCTCAAGGTTGGACAAACTCTAATCTCTGCTGGGCAAATCTTTGAACTAGGATTCTTCAGTCCAGATAATTCAAGTGGATTGTATGTTGGAATCTGGTACAAAATTGGTCCTGATCGTAGAATTGTTTGGGTTGCAAACAAAGGAAACGCACTCTTAGCTAGTGACTTGGCTTCAAGGCTGATAATCAGCAGTGATGGGAATCTAAAGGTTGAAGATGGAAAGCAAAACAGTGTCTGGTCAACAAATGCTTCTGTCTCATCAAATAGCTTTATAGCGGTGCTTCAAGATGATGGGAACTTCATCCTTAAAGATAACCTTTTAGGGGCGACTCTATGGGAAAGCTTTTCTGATCCCTCTGATACACTTGTAGCAACCATGCCACTTGGATGTTGCAGCAGGAGTGGACAGAAATTGTTCTTGACAGCTTGGCAAAGTGAGAACGATCCAGCACCTGGAAAGTTTGTTGTTGGACTTTCAGATGACAAACCAGCACAGCTTTTCACATGGAATGGTACAAAACCATACTGGAGATCAGGTCCATGGGCTGGATGGAAGTTCATTGGTGCAGTAGTTAAGGATTATGGGTATGGAAATGAAGCAAGTCTGACTCAAAACAATCAGAGGGGAACACCATCTCTGACTTTCACCCTTTTCAACAAGCCATACATTTCAAATTTGGTTATTTCACCAACAGGTGTGATGAAGGTAATGCATAAGGAAGGACAAAATGAACCATGGAAGGTGCATTGGGCAGCAATTCAAACTCCATGCGATGTATATGGAGCTTGTGGACCCTTCAGTGCTTGTAGCAGCAGTGGATCTCCAACTTGTGAGTGCCTAAAAGGGTTCTTTCCGTTGTCAAATGAGGAATGGAGTAAGGGAAATTGGACAAGTGGATGTTTGCGGCGTACAGAATTGATCTGCACTACGAACAGTAGCAACTTAACATCTAAAGCATCTAAACCGGATGGCTTCTGGAAGCTCATTCAGATGAAATTACCAGATCATCATCTGTTTCTTTACAATGAAGATGCCCAAGGGTGTAGCCAATGGTGCCTGAGTAACTGCTCTTGTTTGGCATATGCATATCCAGATGGAATCGGGTGTATGGTTTGGGTAACAGAGCTTGTGGACATTCGGCAATTGTCGTACGGTGGAGAGGATCTATATCTTCGGGTCGCTAATTCAGAGCTAGGTAACTGAGGTCTAGTCTGGACTTTTACTGCATAATACGGCTTTCCCATTCTTCACAATTTGTTTTATGTAATTTTCAGGAGTAAAAAGAAGATATACCGAGGTCATCATCAGCTGCGTAGCTATCGCAGTCGGCTTCCTCTTGGTCGTGTCAATATGTCGTGTTCAAAGATGGAAAGCAAAGAGAAGAGGTAAACATGTTTATCAATTAATCTCAGCATGTTCCGAGCTATTCTGGTAACATACTGACAGCAATGCACTGCAAACTAATATATTTGATCATTGACCTGCAAATCAGTATCAAAGATAGACTTAACCTCCCCTTCCCCAGCCAGAAATCTAACCATTCCCTTCCGAATCTCAAGCAAACTGATGTCAACAACTCAGGAAAAGTTAATCATTGCTGTTCTTTTATCCAATTATCATTAAAATTTCAGCAGTTATGCATACAGACACACATCTCAATGAACAAAATTCAGAGACAAGAAATTGGTGCACGATAAAGGGCTTCAGAAAAAACTGCAGAGTGGTCGGTCTCCTTCTGTCCGGGACTACGCGAGAGGATATCAAGGAAGGACCTGCCTCAGCCAGGGGGTCCTCGTCAGAGCTTTCGATGATCGATATTAATGTGATAAAAATAGCTACCAACAACTTCAGTGAAGCTAACAAGTTAGGTGAAGGAGGATTTGGCGCAGTTTACAAGGTAATTATCATTCCAAGCATCTGACCAAGTGTCTGGACATTTAAAATTAGCCTAAGGCCTGAATAAAACTGATCAGTAATTTGTGAAGTTGAATTCCATGTAGGGGAAATTAGAAGATGGACAGCAAATAGCTGTGAAAAGGCTTTCAAGTCACGCAGGGCAAGGCATGGAGGAGTTCAAGAATGAGGTCATACTGGTATCTAAACTTCAGCACAGGAACCTTGTAAGGCTGCTCGGTTGCTGCATTCAAGGACTAGAAAAGATAGTAATTCTTGAATACCTGAAAAATAGAAGCTTGGACACATTCCTTTTCGGTACATATTCTTCTATTGCCTCGCTGAAATATTTTCAACTTAAATGTTTCTCTTGGCATCTCTAACTTTAGGCTAGCAATTACAATGGTCAGTCGAGTCTCGATCGTTTAAAATTGCTGTGATTGTATGAACATTAAACAAGTGTAGACGATCACAAAACAAAAAAAGTGAAGTAACCTCAAGCACTTCCTGAATCCCAGGGTGGAGCCACCTTATAGTGGTGCACCATCTCGAGATTCTCGACTTTCAAGGGTCAGAATTATACAGCTAGCAGAGTTCTTATGTCGTCAGTTTCTTCGTATATGCACTCCCTCCCTAGATGTTCCAAAATTCCCTTCACCCTTTGCATTGCCTTTGTAATTTTCTCAAATTTCCTTCTTCCACTAGAATGCCCTCTAGAGAAACAGATCTTTTTCCAAAACTTATAATGGGATTTTACACTATTGGTCATGATTCCTCAATTTCTACTCATGTATTCGACTACTATTGTTGTTATCATTGGGCAGTATAATTCTACTTTTCATTGATGATTGAACATCTCTGGGGGTTAAGTACATGTGGACTGCCCCTTTTTCTTCTGATGCCTTAAAATGTCTGCGTGCATAATGGGCAGATCGAACAAAAAGGCTGGAGCTAGATTGGGCCAAACGCTTCAGCATCATTCAGGGGATTGCCAGAGGGCTTCTCTATCTCCATCGAGATTCTTGTTTAAGAATTATTCACAGAGATTTGAAGGCCAGCAACATTCTTTTGGACGATGACATGAATCCGAAAATCTCAGACTTTGGACTGGCGCGAACTTTCCGTGTCACACAGGAATTAGCCAACACTCGCAGGGTTGTGGGAACTTTGTAAGTCTTCTTTTTGCCTTTAGTGACTAGTCAGGAGATTCTGTTAATTCATGCCCACAATTCCCCTGTGCTAGTGTTCTTTTGTGCTTTTGTCTGCACCGGGGCTGGGATGGGTTTGGGCGGTTAGCCACAGCTATACTCCTTTTTACGATTTAGCATGCACTCACATAATTTTGTTGTATTTCATGATGTACAATAAAAATTATGCAAATGTATGTCAAATCATGAAACACAATAAAGTTACAAAATTATGCGAGTATATATTAAATCATGAAAAGAATATAACAACCAGCATCAATTGCACCTAAAATCAATTGTACCTACCCCATTTCATGGTTAACGGCTTTGTTTTCTGGATTAATTTCATCTTAGTACATTGGTGCAAATTTTCAATATAGTCCCTTGAGCTGAAAACTATTCAATTTGGTATTGACATTAGCAAAGCCTCTCAATTTGGTCTCTCAAATTGAGGAAGTCTTGTTTTGGTATTAAAAATCTTAATTTGGCCATTCAAACTGCAGAAAACAATCTCAATTTTATCATCCAATTTGAGAGAATTATTCTAAATTAATCATGTAGCCCATTTGGCACTGTTGAAAGCATCAAACTACAACATTAGTTGATTAAGCAAAGTTATTTTTAGCTGTTTTAATAAAATTATTAGTGTTTACCTTTTTTTTTTTATGATGATATTTGTGCGTGTATCTGCGGGTTTCTTGAGATTTTAGTAAAGAGCAATTTGAAGGTTTCATGAATGAAAAATACGTGCAACAAAAGAATGTCCTTTTCTTCACTTAAATTATTCAAGTAAAAAAAAAATTGATGCAATGACAAAAAACCCTTGGTTAGATTTTTTTTTTTTTTAGTTCAATTCCTGCACATTGAACTCTTTTTAGAATAAGTTTGAGGGAACCCAAAAAAATAAAAAGGGACGTAGTTTGAAGTTCATTAGCTGTCATTCCATTCATCAAGGACACAAGAATGCCCTTGATTCATAGAGCAGGACTACAGGTATATCGTCGTTTAGCGTCTAAATCCTATCTGCCATGTTAAAATAGAAATAAACTGAAAGATAATACCCACTGCATAGACTAATGTGCTTAAATATAGATGTGAAATATTGCTAATCTTTTCATGTTCTTTTTAATTGCAGCGGTTATATGTCTCCTGAATATGCCATGAGTGGGCAATTTTCGGAAAAATCTGATGTTTATAGCTTTGGAGTTTTGCTGCTAGAGATTGTCAGCAGCAAGAAGAACACAGGGTTCGGTTATCATGAAAAATATTTAAACCTTCTTGGTTGTGTAAGTGCATATTGCTTACATGTTTACTTATAGCAAGATCAGATGAGAGTTCATTACGTTTAACAAGAAAGACAAGCCGTCAAAAACGGTTTCTTAACATTTGGAAATTAATGGTTCTTTCAGGCATGGCAATTGTGGAACGAGTGCAAAGCTCTAGAGTTGCTGGATCAATCACTGGCAGATTCTTGCACCCCAACAGAGGTAAAGAGATGCATTCAAATCGGGCTTCTCTGTGTTCAAGACCATGCTGCAGATCGGCCTACAATGTCGAATGTAGTTCTCATGCTAAGCAGTTCTGAGAGTGAAATGGAACTTCCTCAACCAAGACAACCTACATTTACGTTTCAAAACTTGCAAGAATCCGATCGTTTTCAATCAGCTATTCGCTTATGCAATGGTTCCATAAACGAAATCAGTATTTCAATGGTTCAAGGACGATGAATGGTCGATTTACACGAGAGTCAGGAGACACAACAGTAACCTTAGAGGGATTACAAAGTTTAGCGCGTAGCATATGTTTTCCGTAAGCAAGATTCAGATTGCTTTTGGACTTAACCTGTTGAGCTACTTTTTGTATTTTTAGCCCCATATGTTTTTTTTTTTTGTGGGTAAAGAAAAAGAATCATTTTATTTTTGATGTAGAACTGAAGTTTATACACAGGGTAGCCCTTAAATAAAAAATTAAGGAAACAAATTAGTAGACCTTATCTAAAGGAATCCTCCACTCTAATGCAAGGTTTGGCATCCTCAACAACTTGTCATATAACTCGTTTGTGAAAGCTGAAGTTCCACTGTTTTGACAAGTAAGGGGCTGCTTGGGTTAAGCCTATTGGAATGCAATTTCTGCAATCATTTCTAAAAAATTGGACTTAGCTCATTCCCGAGCAAATTGGGAGGTTTTGGATAAAACCCTCAACTTATTTCCGACCAAAAACATTTATGATGGACCTACCCTCTCTTTCTCTCCATCACATGCCGCACCTTCTGTTCTTCTTCTTTATCAGATTTCCTATCTCTTCTACTTCATCATCTAGTCTTCATCTCTTATCCAAAATTTTTTGAAAAAAAAAATCTAATGTAGATCTAAATGGGATAGAAATGGGCAAATATCTTTAGCGATAAAGAGGAGTAGATTTCAAGTTAGGGATAAGAATTTGGTAAGAAGTAAGGACCAATTGGACAGCGACAAAGAGCAGTGGGTTTCGAATCTTCCTGGATAGGGAATTCTGGAGTTGAAGAGTCTTCTATTAGGGTGAATTCCTTGATCCCAAGTAAGTGGATTACAAACTCCCTTGCCTCTGCAATTTTCTTCTCTGTATGCAAGCTTTTATTTTCCTTCTTCTCTGTTTTTTTAGACTACTCACTGGCTAGCTAAAAATAAAGAAGGGAATCTGACACAATAACACTAACTGGACCAAAATACTATACTCTGGACCCATCACCTTCTCACTTTTATTCCACTCACGCTACACAACATAAAATTTTGCAAAAAAGTCTTCCTTCCATGAATTCATATTCTTTTGTCACAAAACGCAATGAGAAATTAATTAAGAAGATTACTTAGTACTTTACACATTATTTCCGCAACAAATACATTATTATTGGTGAGAATAATACATGTTTTTAATCCATGTATTTTGTTGTAATACATGTAATTTAATTCATGTACTTCAACAAATACATTATTTTGTTTTCTTTTTTTGGTGAGATAAATGTTAATGTCACTAGATTTGTCATTTTTATGTTTTTAATGTGTTTTCTTGAATTACGGATTCAATGGAAGCTCAGAAACAAAGGGTCAATCGATTCTTGATCTTTTGGTTATTTGTTCCATGAATACTGGTGTAGTTTGGGTGGGCTTCTGGTTGCCTTGTACCTGTTTGTAAAATTGTCTGCTTGAATACCTTTCAGTTTCATAGTTATTCGTACATTAGGATTTCGAGTTTCAACCATCAATTTCATTTGTTTATGCTTATTTATATATGTACATCATTGTGGTTACGGATGTATGATGCATGTCTAGGCCCTTTTAATAAGATCAATTGATATTTAATGCATTTGAAGATTTTGATGTCGTAATCTAGTTTGGCGAAAACTTACGTTTGGTTGTCATATTGTTATGTAGACAAAGATGTCACGTTTGCCTATTGAAAACAGAAGACGCAAAAAATATCGAAAGCAAAAAATATCGAGAGCAAAGCCAAATTTTATCGGGAATGATAATGGTTGTTATTGCACTGTTTATGATGTGGTACCAGTTAATATTCATTCCTCTCAAAAGTACAAGGCGCCAAATAAAATCAAAAGAAGAAAAAGTCACTGAGCGCATGCAACACTTATTCAATTTGACTAGGGAGAGTGATGCTTATTGCGTTAGTGAACTTCATATGGATAGACGAACATTTGGGATATTATGTGAAATGATTAGAGACACTGGAGGTTTGAAAGCTACAAGAAACATGTCAATAGAAGAAATTGTTGCCACGTTTGTATATGTTTTGGCTCACCACAAGAAAAGTAGAACAATTTGTGGTCTATTTTGAAGAAGTAGAGAAACAGTGAGTCGTCAATTTAATCTTTGCCTCCTAGCAGTTTTGAAATTGCATACTATATTGCTTAAGAAGTCTGAGCCTATTATCGAAGATTGCACAGATGAGAGATAGAAATGTTTTAAGGTAATTCAAACATTAAAATACAATCATTTAATAAAATGTATATTTTCATCCAAACTATCCAATATAGACATTTTAACTCATTTTACATTTTTTATTTTTGTTAAAATAGAATTGTTTAGGTGTCTTAGATGGGACATTAATAGATGTGACACCACCCACCGAACAAAAATCAAGATACCGAACGAGAATGAAAAGTTTAATTCCAAAACCAGAGTCTATGATTCCATTTCCATTTCTGATTCCAATCTGTGAAACAAGCAACCCTTAAATGTTCCATCAGCATACAAAAGCACCAAGTAAGGGGAAAACTGAGCGTTCATGTTTTTAGGGCGCCCATCATCAGATACCATGATTGATTTATCAAATAACAAAAATTTTCAATATTTATCCGAATAACAATCACTCTGATCTCTTCTACTCCTTGAAAACTGGCATTCAGTGGATAAACAAATTACTTCACAAAATTCAGGGCTGGCCAAAAATACATATCAAATTTAAGTACCTCCATTTTCAACTAGCATCCTCAGTGTACAATTTGCAAATTGCATGGAAATCATGCACGTAAAAGTTCCCATTTCCTCTCATCAGATAAAACATTAAAAAGGGTAATTACATACAACCCCCTATGATTTCATCTATTGCTACATGACCTCTCTAATATTTAAATAGTATCCTTACTTAAATATTAAATCAATCATGGTTTAACCATCTTGTATAAAAGTATAGGGAGATTACGTAGACAAATGCAAAATTCACAGGAGGTAAAGTGAATATTTATACAAATCATAAAGAGGTTATATGGATATTAAGATTTTATCATATGCACTTTTAAAGCGCGTTTGATATAAATGCCTTAATTTATTATGCATTCCATCCATTTTTTCACTTTATATATAATCACAGAGAGGTTATGTGGTTATTTTAAAACATTAGGGGGATCATCTGGTATTATATAAAATCACGGGGTAATAAGTAATTTATCCAAAAAAAATCTAGCTCTTACAGAAGCTCTTTTGATTATTGTCTACGAAGGAAACAGTTCCAATTTACAAGCAACCTTCAATTCATGAAGCTGAAGACTGCTGTTCAAGTGTAAACTTCCACCAGTCCAACTTTAATAATGTTGAAGGTACCTATAACTTGCCATGCTTAAACACCAAGTAACCAATGGTCAACGACTCAACTAATTAAGCTACATATTATGTAAATTGTTCAGTAATTCATATCCGCCCTCTGTCTTGGCTTTTCTTTATTCTGTTTTACTCTTCCTATCATAAGATGGAAGAATCTATATGTTGGATATTTTATTTCCCTGTTCAACGATTTGAATGCCTGATCTAGCTGTTATACACGTCACTAACTCTTTATTTTGGTCGACAGAGTGAATAACTAGGACGGTGCAGGTTCCTTTCTGAAACAGATGCTTAAGCTTAGAAGTAACAGAGATCAAGGCATTATCTTTTATGGAACCAACCGAGTCAATACTTAATAGCATATTTGTGCTCAAGATAATCTGGGTAGGGACTGAGTGATCTCATTATTATTGACATAACAATAGAATTATGCAAGGAAATGATATCAAAATTCTGTTTTATTTTCAAGAAAATATCATAAGATGAAATTGTTTTCCTTTCTTTTATATTTTTTTCTCTTCCGTCTCTCTTTCATCATTCCTAATAGAAATTCCATTTCAACGAAAATTTTTGTTTTGAGTTTGTAATTGCATATTTCTGAGTGAAGGTTTAAAAAGTATCAAAAACTAATTTTAATTTTTTGTATGATGCCACGTGTCACAAATTTTAATTGATGATTATTAATCATGTCACAATTTCATCTTAAGATATTTTCTTGAGAACAAAATGAGAAACTAGAAAGGAAAGAGGAAAAACTAAAATTAAAAGAATTGAAAGGCTAAAAAAATTGTATTTTAGGAAAGTGATTTGAATTTTTTTTTAATCATTTAAGGAGAAGATAGATCTCTGTAATTTCTCTTTTTTAATTTCAATCATTAAGGTGAAAATTTTTGTGGGAAAGAGGAAGAATTAAATGAAGAAGAAAGAGAAAAAAAATAAAAGAAAGGAAAAAAAGGTAAATGAAAAGTCAAAATAATGCAAAGGTAATTTTGTTCTAAAGGGGTTTAAGTGAGCAAAATTAAAGGTTAGGAGATAAACTGAAAAATGGGATATTCTTTAAAAGGATAAAATGTGATTAACCCTTTTCTCTATTGCCACATGATTGTTCTTAAGGTTTCAAAGTATTCATATGACTTCTTTGTTCTTAATTTTATGAACAGACTGAAGGAAACGGTTCAATATAAACATTTTCTTTGGTTGTTAGCCCAACAGAGAATTCCCACCAAGCAACACCTCTTCGACCGGCATATTATCCCTGACATCTCTTGTCCTTTCTGTAACCATTTCTTAGAAGATGCTGATCATGTGGTGAGAGGATGTCCTCGAGCCTTAGAGTTCAGGGATAAAATACAGCCTTCCTTCTTTCACCACCCTTGGATACCTTTTAACATTTTGCTCCTTCAAAATTGCGAAAATTCCTCCCCTTCCCTCTACGGTTCCATTTCTTGGAACGTCATTCTTGCTTTCTCTTGTTGTGTACTTTGGAACAATAGAAACAAATTTTTGTCCGAACCCATTAGAGCATGGAAATTCCCTTACATTCAGGCTTTAAATCTAGCTGCTGAATTTGTCGCTATTGATCCAAGCCGTTCTCCCCTTCCCCTACCCAAAAGCCAGGCCCTCATTGGATAGACTCCACCATCTAGAGAATGGCTTAAACTGAATTTTGATGGATCCTGCTCACCCAATCTTGGCCTCGATGGATACGGGACCCTGATAAGAGACCATCATGGTACTTGGATTAAAGGGTCGATTCAAAAGCTCGGCCTCACCAACAATCTGATTGCAGAATGTTGGGCCATCAGAGATGGACTCGAAATCTCAAGATCATTGAATATCCAACGTTTGATTGTTGAATGCGATTGTGAAGTTGTCCTTAACATGCTAAACGCTTCAATTCCTGAAGGTCATGACCTTGCCCCTATCTTAAATGATTGCAGGTACCTTCTCTCTAATTTCCAGCAAGTGCAAGTGAAGCACATCTACAGAGAGGCGAACAGAGGAGCAGATGCACTAGCAAAGTTGGGTGAAAAGCTTTTGTGTTCTTTTTCACTTCTAGATTCCTGTCCTCTCAGCTTAGGATCTATTTTGTCTGATGATTTGAGGGGAGTCTATTTCCCCAGATACATTGCTAAGTTGTAACATTTCCTTTTATTTTATGCAAGTCTTTCCTACCAAAAAAAAAATTTGTGGTAGAGCCGCACTGCGCTTTGAGGGTGGGCAATTCCCCCTCCTCAACTTTACAAAATTTAAAAAATAGCCTCAAAACTATTACAAATTCTTATGTTTTTTTATCATAATTACACCTCTTTAATTTTGAAAAATATCCTTTTCCCTTTACATTGCCTCACTATATTATAAGAAATCCTCATTCTCCTCGCATGATCTCCCTAAACAACCAATTTCTTTTGGACATTCTCTTTTACATTACTAATCTTTTAAAGCTATTAAAACACAAAATTAATTACTACTCAAATAAGAAATAACTTCAATACTTTTACAACACCAAAAAGCTCACAATAATACATAAGTTTTAATCAAAATTTTCTTTGCACAATAACAACATATTGTTAGGTGTATAATGCTGCCTCCACTAGCCATAGGTCCTGGTTTTGCCAATACTTCTTAACGTCCTTAGTTGAAATGTTACTATTACTCTTGCTTTAGTTTTTTCTTTTAGCATTACTATTACTTTAGTACTAAACTTAATGAGGAGCTAATCACTTTGTGTAAACACCAAAAATTTTGATAATTTATTTATTTTTATTTTTATTTTTAGTAAAATCATTTTTCTTTTGTTTTGTTTGGAAAATGAAGAAAAGAAATATGGAATTTTCAAAATTAGAAAAATAGTAGAGTTTCTTTTGTTTTAACCCAACCAAATTCCCCCCAAATCCAAACAAAATCCAATCCAAAACTTAAACAAAGCCCAAGCAAAAACTTCATAAAAACTCAAACAAAACCCACAAAAAACTTGGAAGAAAAAGAAAACAAAAAGAGGCCCATCAACCCATTTCTTTGTTTTTCTTTAAAAAAAAAAAAGAAAAAAAAATCTCGCGCAGCAACGAGGAAGGTTGATTTTCCTCTTGTTTTTCCTCCATTTCTGCAGCAAACCAGCAACGAGGAAGGCTGGATTTTTGTTTTTTTTTAGGCAACTAAAATTCGTTTTGGCTTCTTGTTTTCTTTCCCTCCAAGTTTAGCAAGTACTTGGACACCTAATCACCCAAAATCTCTCAAGCAACAGCTGGCAAAACAAGATGAAATGGACCAAATATGGCCACAAAACCTTGGTTTCATCTAACCATTATTCTTAGGGTTTTAAGAGGTTTTGTTTCATTTAAAAGGCTAATGGAGAGTATTTATGGAGGGGGAGAGGAAAAAGGAAAAAAAGGTAGCCGCCATAGGATCTAGGAGAGAGGAAAAAGCGAGGAAAAAAAAAATTTTCACCTGCAAAAATTCTGGAAAAAAGCTGGTGAACCAGCCTAGTTTGGAGGGGCTTTTTCCTTCGTTGTAGATCGGATTCGAGTGATTTTTCTTTCTTCATTTTGATGAGACAGAGGGGAATAACTTTTATGTTGAAAACTTTCGCAAAAAACCAACATAAACCCTTCAAATCTCTGCCCAAACTTTGCTCCTCCAAACTGTTTTTAGAAAAAATTGAGCCAGGGCTGACCGAACAGCCCTGTTCGTCTACACTTTTCGAGTTGATCTGACATCTGTTTGGCGGAATATTTGCTGTTGCACCATCTAAGCTTGTAGGAGAGAAATTGTTATTTGAAAATTCCCTGCAAAAACGTCTGCAAGCCCCTTGAATTTGAGCACTTGGACCACTGCAGCAAGAACTTGCTTGGTTCGTTTTCCGCATTTGGGAGCTGTTTTTTTTTTGAGTTTCTCCACGTTGTTTAGAGTCCTCAAACATATTTAGGTAATTATAACCCTTTCTCTCAGTGGATTTAACGCTTTTTATGAGATTTTAAGTCATTACATAAGTTTTGTGCCGTAGATCTCATTTTTCTCATAATTTATAGTGTTTGATGGTCTTGTTTGATATTTAAATCAATTCATGAGATCATGGGAAGCATTTATATGAAAAGATCCGGTCTCAAAAGTTAGAAAAAAGGACTTCCGGCGATATTTCAGCCAATTTGGGTTGAATGTTTCCAGTTTTTGGCAGTCGACGGCCGGAAAATTCTTGATATTTTCTCTTCTATTTTTGCTCCAATTATTTTTTTTTTGTCCTATTATGTTTGATCAATTAAGATGTAAATTGGGTATGTTTTTGGGTTTGGAAACAGGGCCAAGGCTTGTTTTGTTTGGGTTTGCATATGGGCTATGATGTTAGGCCCAATATTTCTTTTGTTGGATTTGGTTTTTAAAAATGATGGGCGGATACTTTTTTTGTCTTGGGCCGAAGAGATTTTTAACCAAAATAAAATAAAATGGCCCAATAATGTTTTCTTAAGAAACCATAAGCAAAATTTTACAATTAGGCCCCTTCTCTTTTAAGTAAATTTATTGTGGTCCTACAATTTCGAATTCCTTTCAATTAGGACCTTAATTTAATTTCATTCTGGTCTCTAAACTTTATCTTTTATTCAATTTTGACCCCTATATTTTCAAAATTATAATTTGTTCCTAAAAATTTTTTGATTTTTGCAATTAGGTCTCTAATGGTTTTGATTTCTCAAGTATTATTGTTTGTCTTCTTTAATTGTTAATCATGCTTCATTTAAATGCATTTAATGAGTAAATTTTACGAATTTTATGTTCATTCATATTTCTTTGAAATAAATAAAGTGAATTTGCTATATTATTTACATTTTCTTTTAAATTGTTAATTAAATTGGTGCATTGACTATTTTATTGGTTTTGAAGTATAAATAGGGCAAATTCTACCTCATTTAACCACTACTTCAAGAGAGGTCCTTTTATTATTATTTGAAGTTTTTTTATGTGTGAAGCATATTTTGAAGCATGTTTTGAATGCTTTTTCTCTCATTTACTAATTTTATCCATTTAAGTTTCATTTGTTTTATTTAATTTTTGATGATTATTTGGGAGATATTTAAATGTCAAATTGTAATAGATATGTGTCCAAATAATGTACTTAGTTAGACCATGTAATAGATAGATATTATTTTTATCAAAAATATAATTAGTTTGATAAATATAATAGATAGATTTATTATTTCCAAATATTCCCCTTCTAAATTGTAGTTAGGATCCCGAATGAAATAGTTAGTTTTTATTTACTTACATGTTTGTCTGCTTGTATGCTTATATGTTTATTAGCTTTCTCTATAGTTTTACATCTAGATATTATGTTTATGTGCTATGTGCTCTACATATTCTATATGTTTTATGTGTTTATTTGCTTTAATTATATTTTATATGTTTTGTTTATTTATAATAAATGCATGACGTCACCACATTAGTCCAATACTAATCGTGACATTTCTTCCCGATTTCTCACTAGTCTAACGCTAGTAAGAACTTCTAGAAATTGGTTAGTTCAGTGCTAGACCCTTTACGCCGTTTTTGTGGTAGATTCATACTTTGTGTGGCATTTATTGCATCTCATGTATTTTTTCGTATTTTTAGGTTATTTTCAATTTGCATGACGTTTCCCCCACTTTTATTCCCTTATCCTCTATATGTTTGGACCATATTATTTAGAATTGTATTTTATTTTAAGAAATTAAAAGTAGGCTAGTCCATTTGATTAACTAGATTAAAAAAGTTACCCTCTGAATATGGAAAATGGGCAAGTATAACTTTTACCTTTATCACACTATTACTCTTCTTTAAGTAGGAAAATTGAGTCATGAATTTCAGTTTTCCATACCCGTCATGATGCATTCCTTTTTTCTAGACCATGTATATTTATCTAAATATTATAATTTCCTTTTTTGAGTCTTATCTTTTTGTATTTTTCTTGACATCTTTGAAAAATCATCCTTGGGCATCACAATTAATGTGATTGATACCAATTAAATTTTGAAAAAACATTTCGACCCTCCCAATAGTCCTTATGTCTAGACTTGCATCCATATAGAAACATCCAAAATATGATAAGTTTTATATGTTAAATTAGGAAAATTTTCGACTAAATTTCGCAACTGACCTTGATTAGATTGAAAGGGTGTTTTAGATCAAATTTTTGCCTTTCCTTTCTTCAAACATGACTCACGAACTCTTTTCTTTTATTTTCAAAAATTTGGAGTCATCTAAAAGGATTTTTATTATTTTCTCATTTAAAATATATCTTGGGTGATTTGGTACACCTAAATTCAGTACGAAGTGACGATTTCTATTTTTTCTTTAAAAACGCCTTTTAGACTATTACCTGGGCCCAACCATCGCATTTGCTAAATTCTATTTGAGACCATTTTTCTTTATTTATTTCTAAAATAAAAAAGATCTATTTTTTTAAAACACCTTTTTTCTATTTTTCAAAAGTGGGGTGCGACACTTTGCATAAAATCATAAAGAAAATTATGAAAATATATGCGAAACAACCGACTAGTCAAGTGGGTATTATAATACTAGCACGCGCAATTTTAGAAAACATTTGGATCAATCGCCATAATTTCACTTGCTTTTCGTCTATTTTTTTACTTTACACAAAATTACAAGAGGTTATTCGAATAGTTTCGAATGTTAAAAGGGTCATGTGATAATATAAAAACACCACCGCTAGTAAATAATAATTTATCCTATATTTTGTATTATTCTGTTGACTGGAAGTCAGAACCCATTTTCTGCCATTCGAGATCGATAAAACGACTGGACTGTTGAACAACAAAAGGAAACATCCGACTTGTTACCTTTCAGCAGTCCAACTTTGACGATGCTAGGGGAAAGTAGGAAACATCCGTTATCTCTGAAATTTAAAGGCCAAGTCTTAATGGTCAACTGGGAGTATTGCTCGTAAATTGTCCGCTTGTTTCCCATCCTCTTCTTTGCTGTTCTTTCTTCTGTGGTTCTCTTCCGAGTTCCATCATCAGAAAATATCTAAACAAACACACACATACGGATAATATGCATATCTGTACATATATAGATACTTATATTTGTGCTCTAACATTTCTGCAGATTTGTTAGAAGTTGAAGTTTTGGTCGACTTAGAGCTTTTTCATATTTTTGCTTTGAATGGAACGAGTGCAGCTGCTTAGGAACTTGTGGTAACATTATCTGGGAAGGGATTGAGTCAAATCATAATTATTGACATAACAACAGAATTAGACTGCAAGATGATATCCGATTAAGCCACCTTGCCCTCTCCGTAAGGGAATGAAAAAGTCAAGTTCATTGTCTGTCAGGTTGGTGTCAGGCGAAAGAAGAAGAGAGGAAGAAGAAAGGGGTCCTATAACTCCTTTGGCCTAGAGAGACAGCACAGAAAACATAGAGCACAGTTAATGGGGAAGTACAGTGATATCTTTAGCTCATCATTTCTTGTGCTTTTTAACATCCTCTTCATTTTTCCGGCATGTTGTGCATCAAATGACACCATAACTCCATCCCAACCACTCAAGGTTGGACAAACTCTAATCTCCGCTGGGCAAATCTTTGAACTAGGATTCTTCAGTCCAGATAATTCAAGTGGATTGTATGTTGGAATCTGGTACAAGATTGGTCCTGATCGTAGAATTGTTTGGGTTGCAAACAGAGGAAACGCACTCTCAGCTAGTGACTTGGCTTCAAGGCTGATAATCAGCAGTGACGGGAATCTAAAGGTTGAAGATGGAAAGCAAAACAGTGTCTGGTCAACAAATGCTTCTGTCCCATTAAATAGCTCTATAGCGGTGCTTCAAGATGATGGGGACTTCATCCTTAAAGATAACCTTTTAGGGGCGACTCTATGGGAAAGCTTTTCTGATCCCTCTGATACACTTATAGCAACCATGCCGCTTGGATGTTGCAGCAGGAGTGGACAGAAATTGTTCTTGACAGCTTGGCAAAGTGAGAACGATCCAGCACCTGGAAAGTTTGTTGTTGGACTTTCAGATGACAAACCAGCACAGCTTTTCACATGGAATGGTACAAAACCATACTGGAGATCAGGTCCATGGAATGGATGGAAGTTCATTGGTGCAGAAGTTAAGGATAGTGGGTATGGAAGTGGAGTAAGTCTGACTCAAAACAATCAGATGGGAAAACCATCTCTGACTTTCAACCTTTTCAACAAGCCACACATTACAAATTTGGTTGTTTCACCAACAGGTGTGATGGAGGTAATGCATAAGGAAGGACAAAATGTACCATGGAAGGTGCTTTGGGCAGCAATTCAAACTCCATGCGATGTATATGGAGCTTGTGGACCCTTCAGTGCTTGTAGCAGCAGTGGATCTCCAACTTGTGAGTGCCTAAAAGGGTTCTTTCCGTTGTCAAATGAGGAATGGAGTAAGGGAAATTGGACAAGTGGATGTTTGCGGCGTACAGAGTTGATGTGCAGTACGAATAGTAGCAACTTAACATCTAAAGCATCTAAACCGGATGGCTTCTGGAAGCTCATTCAGATGAAATTACCAGATCATCATCTGTTTCTTTACAATGAAGATGCCCAAGGGTGTAGCCAATGGTGCCTGAGTAACTGCTCTTGTTTGGCATATGCATATCCAGATGGAATCGGGTGTATGGTTTGGGTAACAGAGCTTGTGGACATTCGGCAATCCTCGTACGGTGGAGAGGATCTATATCTTCGGGTCGCTAATTCAGAGCTAGGTAACTGAGGTCTAGTCTGGACTTTTACTGCATAATACGGCTTTCCCATTCTTCACAATTTGTTTTATGTAATTTTCAGGAGTAAAAAGAAGATATACCAAGGTCATCATCAGCTGCGTAGCTATAGCAGTCGGCTTCCTCTTGGTCGTGTCAATATGTCGTGTTCAAAGATGGAAAGCAAAGAGAAGAGGTAAACATGTTTATCAATTAATCTCAGCATGTTCCGAGCTATTCTGGTAACATACTGACAGCAATGCACTGCAAACTAATATATTTGATCATTGAGCTGCAAATCAGTATCAAAGATAGACTTAACCTCCCCTTCCCCAGCCAGAAATCTAACCATTCCCTTCCGAATCTCAAGCAAACTGATGTCAACAACTCAGGAAAAGTTAATCATTGCTGCTCTTTTATGCAATTATCATTAAAATTTCAACAGTTATGCATACAGACACACCTCTCAATGAAAAAAATTCAGAGACAAGAAATTGGTGCACGATAAAGGGCTTCAGAAAAAACTGCAGAGTGGTCGGTCTCCTTCTGTCCGGGAATAGGGGTACTTTGAGAGAGACTACACGAGAGGATATCAAGGAAGGACCTGCCTTAGCCAGGGGGTCCTCGTCGGAGCTTTCGATGATCGATATTAATATGATAAAAATAGCTACCAACAACTTCAGTGAAGCTAACAAGTTAGGTGAAGGAGGATTTGGCACAGTTTACAAGGTAATTATCATTCCAAGCATCTGACCAAGTATCTGGACATTTAAAATTAACCTAAGGCATGAATAAAACTGATCAGTAATTTGTGAAGCTGAATTCCATGCAGGGGAAATTAGAAGATGGACAGCAAATAGCTGTGAAAAGGCTTTCACGTCACGCAGGGCAAGGCATGGAGGAGTTCAAGAATGAGGTCATACTGGTATCTAAACTTCAGCACAGGAACCTTGTAAGGCTGCTGGGTTGCTGCATTCAAGGAGAAGAAAAGATAGTAATTCTTGAATACCTGAAAAATAGAAGCTTGGACACATTCCTCTTCGGTACATCTTCTTCTACTGCCTCGCTGAAATATTTTCAACTTAAAGTTTCTCTTGGCATTTCTAACTTCAGGCTAGCAACTACAATGGTCAATCGAGTCTCGATCGTTTAAAATTGCTGTGATTATATGAACATTAAACAAGCGTAGACAATCACAAAACAAAAAAAGTGAAAGTAACCTCAAGCGCTTCCTGAATCCCAGGGTGGAGCCACCTTATAGTGGTGCACCACCTCAACTTTCAAGGGTCAGAATTATAGAACTAGCAGACCTCTTATGTCGTCAGTTTCTTCGTATATGCACTCCCTCCCTAGATTTTCCCAAAACTTATAATGGGATTTTACATTATTGGTCATGATTCCTCAATTCCCTATCCCCTGCCTTGAGGTCCTGACTCGACCGATATCAAGGCCCCATCCAAGCTTGATTTCTACTCGTGTATTCTACTACCATTGTTGTTATCACTGGGGGTATAATTCTACTTTTCATTGATGATTGAAGATCACTTTTGGGGGGGGGGGGGGGGGGGGGGGGTGGGGGTTAATGACATGTGGACTGCCCTTTTTTTTTCTCTGATGCGTTAAGATGTCTGCGTGGATAATGGGCAGATCGAACAAGAAGGTTGGAGCTAGACTGGGGGAAACGGTTCCACATAATTCAGGGCATTGCCAGAGGGCTTCTATACCTCCATAGAGATTCTTGTTTGAGAATCATTCACAGAGATTTGAAGGCCAGCAACATTCTCTTGGACGATGACATGAACCCCAAAATCTCAGACTTTGGGCTGGCACGACCTTTCCGAGTTACACAAGAACAAGCTAATACCCGCAGAGTGGTGGGAACAATGTAAGTCGTTTTCTACCCGGGCCCCAGTAAAATCATCCTCGTAGATGCAATTGCCCCTGCTCTTTTGGTGCTTTTTGTCTGTGGCGGGCAGGTAGCCGCAACTGCCCTTTTCTTTTTGGATTTTTTTTTAAAAAAAAAATCCTTGGTTAACAAATTGAATAAGTTGATCGTGCAAATGTAAATTTAATTAATTAGTTAATTACACTTGACTGCCTGAATTTGGGTTTCGGTAACACTTCGCCCTCCCTAAACTTCACATACTTGCTTTTTGGGTCACTAACGCAATTAGAACTATTTGTCACAACAACATGATGTTACTTTTTTATGACCATAATACCCCTAGGGAAAAAAACGTTTCTTGGGTTTTTTTTTTTTTTTGTTTTTGTTTTTGTTATTTGGCAATATGAAGCCTATTTCAAATGTGGGAGGGAGGGGGAGTATAAGTGAGAGATTTCGGATTCAATCCCTCCTACTTATATTATTAAAAAAAAGTCTATTTCAAATAGACATAAACTCTTCTAAAATCAAAGATACTTCATTCTGAATGCTTCAATATTGTTTCAATATAATTCTTTAGAAATTATAAAGGAAAAAAGATCTCATGTAGTTTCATATAAGTTTTTCATAATTTTTTTTTAATCATAGTTTGCTTTTTGTGAGATAAAACCAGCTCTTCTATTCAATTCTTTCCCAATTGTACTATACACTGTCTCATTCATTGTAATTGATTTATAGTATAAAAATAATACCAAAAAAAAAAGAAAAAGTTGGAATCGCTTTATCAAGATTCATATTAAAATAATTTGTATTAAAATATGAAGATAGTAAATTTAAAGCAAAAGTTATAACCTGGCCAATGGTGAATTTTTAAACGCAATGTTTAGTGCAAAAGCACCAAAATTGCACTGCTTATATCTCAAATGTATTTTTGTCAATCGACTATATCTATACTAGTTGCATAATTTTGTATCTTATGCTTTTTCTAGTGGTCAACTTAGTTTATAGTATCTCACAGGTATGTGCTAATACTTGTTTCCTGTAATACAATTGCAACTTGGTTTTTTTAACGCTGTCATCCACCATTTAAATAATTTTAATTCCTATACTTATTTTGTGTGTCTTGACTATATCCATGACTTGGGTATTTTGAGATACTAATATGTATTTATATTAAAATCTCACGCTCTTCACGACGGGTATATTTCTCAGTGTGATATTTTTCTTCCAGCTTTTCATATGGAAGTGGGTAGAATTTCAACTTTATTTAAAGATATTTTAACCAATATCCCTCCTTTATATCTTGTCAAATTTTAGAAGGAGATGTCATGTCTAATAGTTGGCTGGTTTTTAGCACTTGGGATCCTCGGTGACATGTTTTCTATGCCAATCCAATGCCACTAACAGTGTTGCACCAAGTGTCATGTTATTATTTACACTTGTGTTAAACCAAACCAAATTGAATTATTAGAAAATTAAAGTGTAAATAATAATATGACACTTGGAGCAACAATATTGGTGGCATTGGGTTGGCATAGAAAGCATGTCACCGAGGATCCAAGTGGGTTTTTAGGGGGGGCAAAGTGTTGCTTTATCCCAAGTTTGGGGGGTAAACTGTAATTAACCTTTGTTATTGGCATGGCATGACAAGATCTTCCCGTAGCAGACAAAGCATGCCTGCCTGATTCTTGGTTATAATGGTAAAACTCATTTCCATTGCATGGAGATATATATGCATAAATATAGGTGTAAACCATTGAAACTTTCATGTTTCAAATGTAATGCAGGGGCTATATGTCTCCCGAATATGCCATGGGAGGCCTCTTCTCAGAAAAGTCTGACGTTTATAGCTTTGGAGTTTTGTTACTAGAGATTGTCAGCAGCAAGAAGAACACGGGGCTTGGTTTTCACGAAAAGTACTTGAACCTTCTTGGTTATGTAAGTGCATAATGCATATTTTATTTCACATATTTACTCTCAGGTAGATCAGATAAAAATTGTCTTGTCTAGGAATCAAGATAACAAGACGAATATAGCGGAAAGGCAAACTATTATCTGGATACTTGAATTGGATTCTAAATAGCTACTTGGAAACAATTCATTCTTCAGGCGTGGCAATTGTGGAATGAATGTAAAGCTGCAGAATTGCTGGATCAGTCACTTGCTGATTCTTGCACCCCATCAGAAGTAATGAGATGCATTCAAATTGGACTCCTTTGTGCTCAAGACCATGCTAAAGATCGGCCTACAATGTCGAATGTGGTTCTCATGCTAAGCGGTTCAGAGAGCGAAATGGGACTTCCTCTACCAAGACAACCAAAGTTTACGTTTCAGAGCTTGCTAGAATATAATCATTTTCAAGCAGGAGTTTCAGCATTCAATGGTTCCATAAATGATGTTACTATTTCAGTGGTTGAAGGTCGATGAGTTGTCAACACAAGATAAAACGCGGATAGGACAAGTGAATTTAGCTCGTACTAAAACCATTGTATAAATAAACGTAATTAAGGTTCAGATTTCGGATTAACTCTTATGTAGTGAATCGCTACCATATTTTAACATAATACAATCCACTCAAGATTGGTGGTCTATAGCAGAGTATCGGTTTTTTTCTTCTTCTTTTTTTTCCTTTTTCTTTCCAAACTAGTGTTATTGTGCGGATAGAATCATAGAGAGTGCTTATGCATCAAGTCCATATTTTGGAATGAGAACTATTGATTATATGGCTGAGAGGGAGAAAAATATTGGACCATAAGAATGAGAATTCTTGATTATATGGCTGCTATTAATAGCATTAGACTTTCTGTTTGAAAAGGGTATAACCATTTTTCTGCTAGGTTTAACTTCATAAAAGTAATGCTTGGACAAATTCCTATTCAGTAAATATCCTTCTGTTACTTCACTGAAATATTACACTTAAAAGTTTCAATCGAATTTTTCACTCTAAGCTAGTGAGTACAGTTAAGTTCCTGTGTGTTCTTCTGCTATGGGAACCAGGACTGAGCTAGATGGAATTCAATTTGCATTACCAGTCAAAGTGTAAAACAGTTAGTTCAGTGAGTAAAACATCATAACAACGCAGACATTATGGTTTTGAAAATCACAAACACAATGCACTAGAGCATGAAATTAAACAAGTATAGGTGTACACAACAACAAAACAAAATGTGGTCTATATCATATTTTGTAATTATCGTTCATCTTGCGCGGCCCTTGATTCAGCTATGCACCGTCTGTGTTATATTTTGTTTAGCTGAAGTGCTTCCTGAATAATGATGGTGGGCAAATGATCCAAACATCAGTATATTAGGCTAGCAAAGGTATTAGTAGTTCATTAGTTTTCTTCAATGTTTGCACCCCTGAATCTTCTAAAACTCGATTCACCCTTTGCGTTGCCCCTCCAATTTTCTCGGATTTCCTTGTCCATTTTATTGGCCTCTAAAAAGGTTAAAACTTTTGTCTCTTCATCATATAGACCTGAGAGCATCTCGGAGAATTTGAGGTGAAAAAATTTAATCAGACGACAGTTGTCTTCTTCACGTTTTTAATGTGCACTTAAGAAAGTGACTCCCCCGCCCCTCGAGGTTCTTACTCTACCAAAATATAGCGTGGTCTCAGAGAGTGAAATGGAACATCCTCAACCAGGACATTTACGTTTCAAAGCTTGCTTCAATATGATCCGTCAGCGCCTCATTTTTTGAAAAATAAAATTACGGGTTATAAAAATAAATTTTTGATTTATTTTTGAGTAAAAATGAGTTTTTGATTTTTAGAGAATAAATAAAGAAAAATGACAAAAAATGGGACTTAAAAAATGCTATGGTTTTGGCCCAAAATAATAGTCTAAAAAGGGTTTTTAAGAAAAATAGGAGTTGTCACTTGGTATTGAGTAGGTGTACCAAGTCACCTAAAAATAAATTTTTAAATAAAAATTGAGAAAATCCTTTTTAAACGACTCCAAGTCTTCAAAAAATGAGAAAAAAAGGGTTCGGGAGTCACGGTTGGAAAAAGGGAAGGCAAGGATAAAATCCAAGGCACCCTTTCAAACTAGTCAAGGCTAGTTGCGTGATTTAATCGAAAATTTTCTTAATTTAACCTATAAAACTTATTACATTTGGATGTTACTATATGAATGCAAACCTAAACTTAATGGATATCGAAATGGTCGAAATATCTCTTCAAAGTTTAATCGGTGTAAATCACATTAATTGTGATGCCCAAAATAATTCTTAGAAAGGTCACAAATATGCAAAGAGTGAGACTCGAAGAAAAGAAAAAATTATAATATATAAAAATACGTGACCTAAAAAAAAGGAATGCAACATAACGGGTACAGGGGACTAAGATTCGTGACTCAATTTTCCTTCTTATAGAGGAAATACGAGCGTGCTAAGGTTAAGAAGCCATACTCGTCCATTTCCCATATTTGAAGGACAGCTCCCCTAATCTATTCAAGCAGGTGAACTAACCTATTTCTAATTTTTCTTAAATAGAATGCAAGTCTAAATGTCACATATTACACATAAGGATAAGGGATATACATACAGAGGAAATATCATGCAAAATGGTAAAGATCTTAAAACGTAGAAAATATGTATGAAATGTAGTGAATGTCACGCAAGCATGTGATTCTAGCGCGTGGACGGCCTAAAGGGTTTAGTATTGAACTAGCCCATTTCAACAAGTCTTCACTAGCGTTGGATTAGTGAGAAATCGGGGAGAATAGCCACAACTAGCGTTGGACTAGTGTGGTGATATCATGCATTTTTTATAATGTAAGAAATCATATAAACGTAATTAAAGCAAACATGTAAGCACATAGAGCACATAACACGTAAGCATAATATCTAAATGCAAATCTCCTAAGAAAGCGAGTAAAACACGTAAGCACATAGACATACAAGCACACAAGCAAATAAACACACATAAGTACCTAACTATTACATTTGGGACATTAATTACAATCTAAACGGGGAAATTTAAAATAATAACCTAATTATTATATTTATCTAACTAAATATATTTTAGGCAAAATTTGAACCTATCTATTACATATTCTAACTAAATACACGTCATGAACCTAACTATTGCAATTTGACATTTAAATGCCTCTCAAATAATCACCAAAATTAAATTAAATATATGAAACTTAAAACAAATAAAATGAATAACTAAAAGAAAAATCACTCAAAAACATGCAATTACACACATAAAAACACATAAGAGCACATAAGAGGATTTAAAATAATAAAAGAAGATACTTCCCTTGAAATAGTAGCTAATGTGGGTTGGATTTGCCCTATTTAACTCCAAAATTAACAAAAATGATCAAGGTACCAATTTAATTAACTAATAAATCATAAAAAAATGGAAATAAACATGAAATCTATCAATTGAGCATTCAAATGAAATATAATTAATAATTAAAGAAGAAAATCAACTTCTTTCTAAGAAATCAAATCTGTTAGAGACCTAATTATAAAAATTAAGAAAATTTTGAGGAATAAATTGTAATTATTACAAAAATTAGAGGTCAAAATTAAATTTAGGAACCAAAATGCAATTAAAATAGGGACCTAATTGAAAGCAGTTAAAGGTTTTTAGGGACTTATCACCATTACTAAAAAGTCTAGGGACTGATTTGCAATTTTTGTCACCAGATCACTTAAGGGATTGGGCCTTTGGGTCATTGTCTGACTTCTATTTGGGCCAAGACCACTTGGCCCGGCCGGAAGTCCAAGAAAAATGAAGCGGATCAGCCCACCCTTTTACCAATTAAACCCAACCACAAGTGGCATGGGCTTTGGCCCTGAAGCCCATGCTACAAGCCTATCAAAATCCACAGCATTAATCTGCCCAAAAGCCCTAAGAAAACATTAACCCAAGTCTTAACCTATTTTTACTAAGCCCAACAGGGTATTAAATCTACCAAAAATTAATTAAGCCCTAATTATCTCCTAAAATCCAGATTTAACTTGACCAAAAACATGTTTGAAAAATGCAAAATATGATTAAAATTTAAAAGGGATCCAAATGGTTCATTTGCAGAAGTTTTTGGGCCATAATGTAAGATTATTTTAAAAATTGGGACCAAAATGCAATTTTAGAAAGTCACATGCAACTGGTTCGAAGAAAGCTTCTTCTGCAACAATTGCAACAACTGGATCTTCGGTGCCACTACTTGGTACCAAATTCAGTGATAATTTCACTTATCATATAATGGTAATGGTAGAAGAAATTTAAATAAATAGGACACTTGACATAAATATGGAGGTGGTACTGAATTGTCACTTTTCCCCACCGGAAAAGTGGCATTGAGGATCCGTGTGCTTCTGCAACTATCCTCTGCAACTTTGAAGGGCCGCAACAACACAAATGAAACCTCCATAATCATTTACCAAATTTTTGCATAAAAGGAACAAACCGCAAGTTTAGATTGAAATCCCATCCAAAATCACGCACCTCCCCAACCATTAATACAAGATTTCTGCTACCAAATGCAAGTTCCAGATCCCAGCACAAAATCACAAACTCATGCACCATGAACAAAAAGGGGACCAGATTTCTTGATCTTTTACGTGCAAACAGGTTGGAAAAGAGAGGAAAGTGAGGGAGGGTTACCTCTTAAGGTATTATGGAGCCAAAACAACGTGAAAAATCGCGTCCAAATGAAAGGCCTGAAGCTGCAAATCTTTGCTAACGAAGATCCAAGTGCTGACGACTGGCTGATTTCGAGCCAAAATTTGAGAATTCTGGAGACTGTTTTTCTTGAAGTTTTGTGAACAAAAATTGCCCTTCTACAAACTTAGATGGTGTAGCAACAAAGAAAACTCCATAAATAACTAAATTGATGTCGGGTTTTGAGCTGAAATTGGGTCAGAAAGTCAACCCTGGCTCAAGATTTTCTGGAAAAATTTCTGCTCTCTTTTCTTCCTTTTTCTCTCTCTTTTCTCTCTCTATCTACTCTTCCGCCACATCCCCTTGTTCCTCTCCCTTTAGGGCTGTTTTTAGGACCTTTTATAGCTACAAAATCCCCAAAACCTAGAACTAAGGGAGGAGATTGGAGCTGCATTTTTCTTGATGATTTTTGAGCCACTAGATGGCCTTTGTCCTGGGATTTTCCTGATGTTTAGATTAGATCCAGGTGGATTGGTACTGGAGTGATCCAATGGAGCGAAAAAATGAAGAAAAAAGAATGGAAAAAGGCCAAGAAATTTTGCTGCAAGACCTTGTACTGTTTCTGCTTCATCTTCTTCGTACGAAGAAGAAGGAATGGCGCGCGTGGCTTCCCAATTTTTTTTTTTTTTTTTTGCAAAAACTGATTTGATTTCTTTTAACACTTCTTTTCTTCTTTTCTTTTTTTTTTTCCGATGAAACAAAAAAAAAATAAAAAAGATAAAATTTTGGTGTCTACATGATCATTTCCAATCTGGGGTTTGTATATGCAATGGTTCCATAAATGAAGTTAGTATTCCAATGATTGAAGGTCGATGAATGGTCTACTCATGACAAAACAGAATTGGAACAAGTTAATATTGCTCGTTTCAGATACATACTAATGTAATTAAGGTGCAGAGTTCAGGATTGATCCTTATCTTGTTAATCTGTAATAGGTTTAGCACAATTTGTTTCATTGGTGATTGGTGCTGTTTAGCAAAGTGTAATATTTTTCCTACTAGTCTTGTACTTTGGATAGAATCATAGAGAATGTTCATGCAATAAGTCCTTGTTCCAAGTTCTAAACAGACTTCATTTCTGTATCTTTTCATTGGCAAGAATGAGAGCGCTTGATACTGTCGCTCATGTAAACAGCATTCGGATTTTGGTTGGCTGCTTCCATTTGAGCTAGTTGTGCTTCAAAAAAAGATGAAAAATGTTTTGTCCTGAATGAGGAGCATCATGTTGCCATGCCCGAACTTGAATTAAGGACTCAATGCTTGCATGTCCAAGAAAGGAATTATTTGACAGTTGAAACACGAAAAAATAAAATAAGAGGTCTGCTGGAATTTCTTTTGAAAGATCCTCCGAAAATTTGATATTAGTCCAGTGGTGACTAGCGTCAAGACCACAATACTATTCTTTCTTTTTAGATCAAGAAGGCAGTAATCTTACATTATGTGTCTTAAAATCCTTCAAAAATATGCAGGTTTTGTTCAGATAAGAGAAGATGACTGCTGACAGGAATAAAAATTTTAAACCGTGAGAGTATGATTTCATTTGCAGAGGTTGCGAAACCAAAATCATCTCTCCTAGGGAGGAATTGGCGAATAACACTTACATTGGATCTCTTTCAATTAAACTGTTGTTAAAAGTAGTAACATGTAAACAACATTTAGGACTTACGAGAGCTACAAAAGACCTAGAATATTGATTACTTGATACCGTTGAAGTTTGACGTATTAACAGGCTCTTATAAAATTAGTGTTACATCACCAGAAGATGAGTCATATTAATGCATATCATCAGAACGCTCTTATAACTTTTATGAGGAAACACTTTTTAATTACAGTTAAACTTCATCAACCTGCAGATAGCATTTCAAGTGTAATTTTCCAACTTTTATAGTGCTATAGGAAACATCCCAGTGGCTGTCATTTGCGAATCTTAATACACCAAGTAATATTGGTCAACTCAGCTATATTGCTTGCTTGTAAATTGTCCATTAATATATTTCCCCTTAATTTCTTTGCTTTTCTTTCTTCTGTTTTTGTCTCCCCGTCATCAGAAAGAATAAACTAGGATAGTATATGTCTCTATTCAATCGTTTGATACGTGTCTTAACTGTCTATTTTGCAAGACATAAACCATTATTTAAAAGGAACCGCCCTGGTTAATAAGAGTTTTCTGCTTACATTTTCTGGGAAGGGATTGTCTGACCTGATGATTATTGACATAGCAACAAGATTAGGCTAGAAAATTATATCTAATCAAGCCACCTTGCAGTTGTGCATAGTTGAATTCAAGAGGTTCATTTGCTGATCATGTATATTGATCATTGACCTTTAGTAGATTAAGTATCAAGGCAGAACAAAGAAGAAGAGACTAGAAAGTGATCTTAAGAATTCATATGGATGACACATTTTTGAAGCTCTTTTAGCGTCAAAGACAATAGAGTGAATAGAGAACATATAGTATATGGATAAAGCTAGCTTATTATTGCTTGTGTTTTATAAGATCCTCTTCATTTTACCAGTATATTGTGCACCAAATGACTCCATAACTCCATCCCAACCACTTAAGGTAGGACAAACTCTCATCTCCACTGGACAAATCTTTGAATTAGGCTTCTTCAGTCCTGGTAAAGCAAGTGAACTGTATATTGGAATCTGGTACAAGATTGATCCCGATCGTAGAATTGTTTGGGTCGCAAACAGAGGAAATGCACTCTTAGCAGATGACCTGGCTTCAAGGCTGATAATCAGCAGTGATGGGAATCTAAAGCTTATGGATGGAAAGCAAGATATTGTCTGGTCAACAAATGCTTCTGTCCAGTCTAATACCACAATTGCAGTGCTTACAGATGATGGAGATTTCATCCTTAAAGATAAGATTTCAGGGGCAACTCTGTGGGAAAGCTTTTATTATCCTTCTGATACAATTTTAGCAACCATGCAGTTAGGATTCAACGGCAGAAGTGGTCAGAAAAGTTTCTTGACATCATGGGAAAATGATAAGGATCCAGCACCTGGAAAGTTTGTCGTTGGACTTTCAGACGAGAAACCACCACAAGCTTTCACATGGAATGGTACCAAACCATATTGGAGAGGAGGTCCATGGGATGGATGGAAGTTCATTGGAATTGAAGATGAGGATAAGGGGTATGCAAATGGAATAAGTCTGACAACAAATAATCAAATAGGAGCCTCATGTATGACTTTCAACAATTTTAACAAGTCCTACATATCAATTATGGTAATTTTACCAACAGGTATGTTGGAGATACTGCACTGGGAAGGACAACAAAATCAGTGGAACGTGTCTTGGGCAGCACCTCAGCATCCATGTGACGTATATGGAACTTGTGGACCCTTCAGCTCTTGTAGCAAGAGTCGCTCTCCACCTTGTGAGTGCCTGAAAGGGTTCTTCCCGTTGTCTAATGAGGAATGGAGTAAGGGAAATTGGACAAGTGGATGCGTGAGGGGTACACAGCTGATGTGTGATGGAAACAGTAGCAACTTAATCTCCAAAGCATCTAAACCGGATGGCTTCTGGAAGCTCAGTCATATGAAATTACCAGATCATTATCTGTATTTGTATGATGAGACTGACCAAGGGGGGTGTAGCCAATGGTGCCTGAGTAACTGCTCTTGTCTGGCATATGCATGTCCAGATGGTATAGGGTGTATGGTTTGGGTGACAGATCTTGTTGACATTCAGCAATTCTCAAATGATGGGGAAGATTTGTATCTCCGCCTTGCTAATACAGAGCTAGGTAATTTAGGTCTAGTCTGGACTGTTTCTACATTATAAAGCTTGCCTGTTCTTCACTATTTGTTTAATGGAATTTTCAGGAGTAAAAAAGCGATACACAGCAACCATCATCAGCGTCTTATCTATATCGGTTGGTTCACTCTTGGGCTTGTTGATATGTTGTGTTAAGAGATGGAGAGCAAACAGAAGAGGTAAACATGTTTATCAATTACTCGCAGCTTGTTAGGAGCTATTCTGTTGACATGCTGACTGCATAGGACTGAAAATTCATCTAAATATATTTGAATTCTTATATTTGATCGTTTAGCAGCAATTCAGTATTGAAGATACGCTTAGCCTCCCCTTTCCTGTTATCTGATTATTCCATTGCTAATCTCAAGCAAACTGATTCTACAACTCAGAAAAAGTTAGTAAGTGCTGATTTTCTATGTAATTATTGTTAAAGCTACAGCACTTAGGCATTCAGACACTCATATCCGTGAACAAAAGTCAGAGACAAGTAAACGGTGCATAATGAAGGGCTTCAGGATAAAGTGCATGGTAAAGGGTCTCTTTGTGTCCGAGAGAAAGGGCACTGTGAGAGATATTTCGCAAGAAGATGTCCAGGAAGGTCCTGCATCAGCAAAGCGGTCATCCGAGCTTCCAATTATTGATTTCAAAAGGGTAAAGAGAGCTACCAACAACTTCAGTGAAGCTAACAAGCTTGGTGAAGGAGGATTCGGTGCAGTTTACAAGGTAATTAAACTTCTAAATAAGTATCTGCACATCGATATTAGCTTAGGCATGGATAGAACTCATGAATAATTTGTGAACCTGAATTCCAGGGGAAATTAGAAGATGGACAGCTAATAGCCGTGAAAAGGCTTTCAAGTCACTCAGGACAAGGCATGGAGGAGTTCAAGAATGAGGTTATGTTGATATCTAAACTTCAGCACAGAAATCTTGTAAGGCTGTTGGGTTGCTGCATTCAAGGAGAAGAAAAGATAGTCATTCTTGAATACATGAAAAACAAAAGCTTGGACAAATTCCTTTTTGGTAAATATTCTTGTTTAGTACTTCACTGAATTACTAACTCAAAATTTCTTTTATTAAGTTTAGGCTAGTGAGTTCTAAGTAATTTCCTGTGTATTCGTTGCTAGGAGGATCAGGACTGCGCTAGTGAAATTGAACTTAGAGGTCAGCCGAGTGATCCGCATTACGTTTTACAATTATCTCTCATCAGATGGTAGTGTATATGCATAGTTATCTTATAGAACAATTGCTTGATTGGAAAATCGAATTCATCCTCAATTCACAAGGCCCTCAGTCCCGTTCTGAATAGTCTTTGGCACGTTTTATGACATCAAACACTTCGTCAAAATTAATGTGTTTGACATTTGCACCTCCTGAAAATTCTGAAGTTTTCTTAACCCTGTCAATTGCTCCGATAATTTTCTCAAATTTCCTTCTTCGGTTATCTTGCCCTCTAGAGGAAATGAAAACATTTGCCACAATTGTATGGAATACTAAATAAATTACATGGGAATATAGACAAATCTCAGAGATGTTGAAGTTAATATTTAACAGGAAAACAGTTTTTTCCATTTTGAAGTAATAATAATCAACATTACCAGCTCTCTAACTGGTTTCCTATATTCAGGAGATCTTTTTCATGACTAGAAAAATTCTTGTTTTTTCAATTATTATGATGATGTCCTTTGAGGTAACCTAACACCATGTGGAGTTACAAAAATGGATGCTTGATTTCGGCTTGTGTGATGTGTATTAATCTAGAAACATTGAATACTAGCTTTAAACTGAAATCAATTTGCCATAAACAGCAAAACTTTACAATATCCTTCTACTTGTTATTGAAATTTGAACACCACACGGTGTATCCTGTGCACTAACCTTTTCCTCTCATGCATTAAATTGTTTTTGTGGATAATGGGCAGACCGAACAAAAAGGTTGGAGCTAGATTGGGCGAAACGGTTCAACATAATTCAGGGCATTGCCAGAGGGCTTCTATACCTCCATCGAGATTCTTGTTTGAGAATCATTCACAGGGATTTGAAGGCCAGCAATATTCTCTTGGATGATGACATGAACCCCAAAATCTCAGACTTTGGGCTGGCACGAACATTCCGAGTCACCCAAGAACTAGCTAACACTCTCAGAGTTGTGGGAACTTTGTAAGTGATCAACTGATCTTTTCTAAAGCATGTCTTTTCTGACTCGTGGCGAACCGAAAAGAATATAAAGATAAAGCTAATATCTATTCCACGGAGAAATATGTGCTTAATTATAGGTGAATTATGTAAACAGTTGACACTTTAGTGTTTCATATATGATGCAGCGGTTATATGTCTCCAGAATATGCCATGGGAGGCCTCTTTTCAGAAAAATCTGATGTTTATAGCTTCGGAGTTTTGCTGCTAGAGATTGTCAGCAGCAAGAAGAACACTGGTTTTGGATATCATGAAAAATATTTGAACCTTCTTGGTTATGTAAGTGGATAAAGCTTTTCTTATTCTCATGTTGATTTAATTTCAGGTAGATCAGATAAAATCTGTCTTGTCTAAGAACTAAGATTTAAAGATGAATACTGTGGGAAGCCAAACTACAATGTGGGTACTCGAATCCACTTCTAATCGGCAACTTGCAAATGATTTATTGCTCAGGCATGGCAATTGTGGAACGAGTGTAAAGCTCCAGAATTGCTGGATCCATCACTGGCAGATTCTTGCACCCCAGCAGAAGTAATGAGATGCATTCAAATTGGACTTCTTTGTGTTCAAGACCATGCTGCAGATCGGCCTACGATGTCAAATGTGGTTCTGATGCTAAGCAGTTCTGAGAGCGAAATGGAACTTCCTCAACCAAGACAACCAACATTTACGTTTCAAAGCTTGCTAGAATCCGAGCATTTTCAATCAGGGGTTTGCACGTTCAATGTTTCCACAAATGAAGTTAGTATTTCATTGGTTGAAGGTCGATGAATAGTCTCCTCGGGACGCAACACGCTGTAACCAGTGAAATTTAGCATATGTCATGTGCTATTTGTGAATAAACGTAACAAAAAGTTCAGAATTTAGATGAATCATTAATTAATTAGTCTGTAATAGATTTAACACAATTTTCTTTTCTTTCTATTTTTTTTTTTGTGTTAATCTGTGGTGGATTTAGCACAATATTGTTCATTGATAAGTGAAGCTGTTTAGAAAAGTGCAACATTTTTCTGTCGGTCTTGTAGTTGTCGTCTGCATATTACTCCATGAGCGGAGGGGTTGGCATCCCATCCCCATGTACAGAGTTTTGGCAAAAAAAAAAAAAAAAAAGAGAGAGTCCATGAGTGGAGGGAGTGGCGGCACTTGAGATCCTCGGTGACATGTTTTCTATGCCAATCCAATGCCACCAATAGTATTGTGCCAAGTGTCATGTTATTATTTACATTTTAATTTTCTAATAATTTAATTTGGCTTGATTTAACACAAGGGTAAATAATAACATGACACTTGGCACAATACTATTGGTGGCATTGGATTGGCATAGAAAACATGTCACCGAGGATCTCAAGTGCCGCCACTCCACTTGAGATCCTCGGTGACATATTTTCTATGCCAACCCAATGCCACCAATAATGTTGTACCAAGTGTCATGTTATTATTTACATTTTAATTTTCTAATAATTTAATTTGGCTTGATTTAACACAAGGGTAAATAATAACATGACACTTGGCACAATACTATTGGTGGCATTGGATTGGCATAGAAAACATGTCACCGAAAATCTCAAGTGTATTCGGGTACCCGAAAAAAAGGGACGGGTCATAGGGTACCAAAATGGCTGATCTGATATATTAGGGTCGGGTCAGCCAAATCATGTTAGGGGCAGGTACCCGATCCGTGCCCACCCCTACCTGTGAGGTCCCAGTCCGTTCGTAAGTTGATATTAGAGTGGTTTGACTCGATACTTTTGAAGATGTAAATAGAACTTTTGGGGATTGTATATATTATAAACAGTTCTCTTTTGATTTAATATAGTTTTATTAGTTTTGTGTTTCGAGTCCTGGCGCGAGTTAGACAGGCGTCCCGCCGATACTCTAGGGTTCGCCCTTGGGAGAAGCGGGGGCGTCACAGGTGGTAACAAGGACAAGAGCCAGACCAAGTCGCTACAGCCATCCAGCGGATGGCCGATCTTCTGGAGCGAATGTCAAATCAACAGGGCCAGGGGAGCAGTACTGCGAACCTTGGACATAATCCGGGTAATCATGAGGGAGAGGACCGTGTTTTAGAACGGTTCCAAAAATTTGCACCCCCTAAATTTGTAGGTGGACCCGACCCTGACCTAGCGGAGGGTTGGATGGACCGTATGCTAGATATTTTTGCCGCGCTTAGGTACTCGGAGGAACGGCAGATATCCTTTGCTGCCTTTCAATTTGAAGGGGCCGCCCGAGCCTGGTGGAACGTGATTAAAACCAAGTGGCAGCGCGAACAAACCTCCTGGACCTGGATCAACTTCACACGGGAATTTAACGAAAAATACCTGCCGTCCATTGTGCAAGAAAAACGGGAAGATGACTTCATCCGCCTACGTCAAGAGGTATCGAGTGTGGCGGAATACGAAACTTAGTTTACGAAACTTTCCCGTTTTGCCCCAGAGCTGGTGCTGACGGAGCAAAAGCGAATTCGCCGTTTTACCCAAGGCTTGAATGTGGAGATCCAGGAGGCACTAGCAGCTGCACAGTTGGACACGTTTAGCCAGGCACTAGAAAAAGCACAGCGGATTGAAACTGCGAGGGGACAGGTTAAAGCCTTCCATGACCGGAAAAGGAGGCAACCCAGCTCGAATGATTCCATGGTTGGACAGAGTTCGCGAAACGAGCCACCTACTAAGACAAGCAAAGGCACAGATGGTCCACGACCTGCAAGAACCCTGAATAGCTTTGGACGAGGTCAGATAATGCAAGAGCCCCAGAGGAGTGCCCAGCGTGGAGGGTCAAGTACGGCCACTAAGTCAACCTGTGGTTTCTGTGGGGGCAATCACACCGATGAAAATTGCTGGAAAAATAGTTCGGTACGGAAATGCTTCAAATGTGGTAGCACCGAACATTTGATTGCCCGGTGCCCTAAGATGCAGAAGGGAGGACTCAAACCACCAACAGAAGGGACCATAACGAAACCGTCAAATGCAGGGGAAAATCGACCCAAAGGGCCAGTAAGAGTGTATGCAATGGGTCAACAAGAAGTGACTGACCCTTCGGCGGGTTTCGAAGGTACGTTTTGACCAAAGAATTAATTTCGAGAACGAAATTGTCCTAAGTGGGGGAGATTGTGAGGCCCCAGTCCGTTCGTAAGTTGATATTAGAGTGGTTTGACTCGATACTTTTGAAGAAATAAATAGAACTTTTGGGAATTGTATATATTATAAACAGTTCTCTTTTGGTTTAATATAGTTTTATTAGTTTTGTGTTTCGAGTCCTGGCGCGAGTTAGGCAGGCGTCCCGCCGATACCCTAGGGTTCGCTCTTGGGAGAAGCGGGGGCGTCACACCCCCCCCCCCCCCCGGAGCCACAACAAAAAAATCCACAAAATTCCTTGCCCTCTTCCTAGCTTTTGTTGGTGAAAGTTTTGAACTTTTTCTCCTCTTTAAATATTTTTTTACCTTGCATTATATTTAGTTGATCACTTCTTATTAAGTGCTTAAGTATTACGTATTGCCTCGTTATTATTTTATCCATTGTGTTAAAAAATCTTAATACCTAAATCCTACACACCTTGCAATTAATTGTTTTATTTTAATTTCCATTATTAATCTCCAAAATTCAAATATGAATACTTGGTTTTACATATATGTGGTCTTTTATATTATATGTAAGAAAAAAACTAATAAAGTTGTATACTATAGATATACTCTTCCTCAACATACAAAACCAGCATATATATATATATATATATATATATATATATATATATATATAGCTAATTAGCAATATTATCTCTTTACTTCCAATTTATACTTGGAGATATGATTGCTCTCCAGAGTTTGATATTAGAGAATAGTCAAATTATATTTTTGTTCAATGGAATTGTAAGAATAAGAAGATAGAGAATTGAGTAGTTATACTTATTCAATATGTTCATGCAAGCTAATATATAGCTTTCTTACTATGTTCCATTGACTTAAATATAGTTGTAATGTTGTTAAACAATCAAATGATTAAAAAAAAAAAAAAAGAGAGAGAGAACTTGCCAATGTAGAATCTCAATTAAAAAATTTTTTAGTTTAAGTCATAGTTAGATATTTAGACTGGATAAAGAGACATTCGGAACAAAAACTTATACATGCAATCGATCATTCTGAAAATGGCACTCAATAACACATGTATGTCCTCCGCCTGACCTATAGTCCTGGCCTCGGCACAGATGAGTCTATACTAAAACACATACTTCATTTTGAATGAGCAGTGTCTGTTGTTATGTCGGGAAATGAAGCAGCAAAAACAAATTTCTTTGTTGAATTTTTGTTGCAGATTTCTTCGAAACTCTCAGTTTAGAGTGATTCTTGGCAGATGATTTCATTAGAGTGCTGCTTCAGTTTTGCATTTGTAGAGGTATCCCTACACGTAAACATTGCTGCTTCAGTTTTGCATTTGTAGAGGTGTCTCTACACGTAAACAAGTATAGCTTTCAAAATTTTATCCTTTGATTGCTAGTACATTTTTCTTGTGAACTAATAGTCTCATACCATGTGTTGCATGGTAATATTTACTACCAATATCAGAACAGGCCATGTGTTGTATGGTATGGTAAACAAAGTGCAGGGTTGGGGATTGATCCTTGTCTAGTTAATCTGTAGCAAAATATGTTTCATTGGGACTGGTGCTGTTCAGCGAAAGTGTAATTTTTTCCCCCTACGAGTCTTGTACTTTGGATAGTCATATAGAATGTTCATGCAATAAGTATTTATCCTAAGTTGTAAACAAACTTACTTTTAGACGCAACATATTTAGTATATAAATTAATAAATTCTGATCACATTTAGTTCAAAAATAGTAAATTGTTCAATTTGAACGGAGAAGACTCATGTGTCTAGTACGTGGCGTTAAGTCAAATTAATTTCTTAGTTAAAGTCAACGGTCACGTGCCAGACACGTGAGTCTTCTCCGTCCAAATTGAATAATTTACCGTTTTTGAATTAAATGTGGTCAAAAATTATTAATTTATGTACTAAATACATTGCACCTAAAAGTTTGGGGACGAAATATATCTCTATCCCAAAGTATAGGGAGGAAAAGTGGATTTTTTCCTTTGAAACACAACCAAAAAAAAAAGGAAAAAAGAAAGAAAGAAAGTAAAAGTCTTTGCTGGAACTTTTTTGAAAGATCCTCTAAAATTATGATATTAGTCCAGTGGTGACTCGTATCAAGGCCACAATATTAGTATTCTTTCTTTTTAGATCAAGGGGGCAGTAATCTTACCGTATGTAACTTACAATCCTTCAAAAATCAGGCTTTGTTCAGATAAGAGAAGATGATTGCTGAGGGGAAGAAAAATATTAAACCGTGAAAGTATCATTTTATTTGAAGTGGTTGTGAAACCAAATCATCTCTCCGAGGGGGCAATTGGCAAATAACACTCAGATTGATCTTTTTGATTTAAACTGCAGTTAAAAGTAGTAATGCGTGGGCAACATTTAGGAATTACGACGGCTGCAAAAGACCTACACCATTGATTACTTGGTAGTTTGATACCGTAAAGTTCAACAAATTAACTAAAAGTATAATTAGTGTTACACAACCACAAGAACCATCGCAGTCATATTAATGCATATTATAAGAACGTTCTTTTAATTAGTATAATTTTTACAAGGAAACACTTTTTATTCACACTTAATTTACTTGATCAAGTTGAAGATAGCATTTCAAGTGCAATTTCCCAAGTCCCACTTTAACAATGCTATAGGAAACATCCCAGTGACTGTCATTTGCGAATCTCAATACAGCAACTAATATTGGTCAACTCAGGTGTATTACTTGTAAATTGTCCATTGATGTATTTAACCTTAATTTCTTTGCTTTTCTTTCTTCCGTTTTTTGTCCCTATCATCAGAAAGAATAAACTATGATATGATAAGCTTCTATTTTTTTTTTTTATTTGATAGGTGTCCTAACTGTCTGTTTTGGTTGACACATAAAAGCACTATTTAAAAGGAACCTCCAAGGGGAGGTTAACATGGCGTATCTGCTTACATTTTCAGGGAAGGATTGTCTGATCTGATGATTATTGACATAACAAGAAGATTAGGCCAGAAAATGATATTCAATCAACCCACTTTGCAGCTGTGCATAGTTGAATTGAAAGGTTCATTTATTTATCAAAGTATATTGACCATTGACTTTTATTTGTTTACGTGGTAGTAAATAAAAGGCCAAGCAGGACAAAGACTAAGAGCCTAGGAAGTGATCTTAAGAATTCATTTGGAGGACACATTTTTTATGCTCCTTTAGCATCAAAGACAGTACAGTGAATAGAGAGCACATAGTATATGGATAAAGCTAGCTTATTGTTGCTTGTGTTTTATAACATACTCTTCATTTTACCAGTATGTTGTGCATCAAATGACACCATAACTCCATCCCAACCACTCAAAGTGGGACAAACTCTAATCTCTGCTAGGCAAATCTTTGAATTAGGCTTCTTCCGTCCTGGTAATGCAAGTGAATTGTATGTTGGAATCTGGTACAAGTTTGATCCTGGCCGTAGAATTGTTTGGGTTGCAAACAGAGAAAATGCACTCTCGGCGCGTGACCTGGCTTCAAGGCTGATAATCAGCAGCGACGGGAATCTAAAGCTTCTAGATGGGAAGCAAAATACTATCTGGTCAACTAATGCTTCCGCCCATTCTAATAGCACAATTGCAGTGCTTAGAGATGACGGTGATTTCATCCTTGAAGATAATGTTTCAGGGGCAACTCTATGGGAAAGCTTTTATTACCCTTCTGATACAGTTTTACCAAACATGACTGGAATGAAAAACGTCTCAATGTCCTGGGAAAATGAGAATGATCCAGCACCTGGGAACTTTTTTAATACACTTTCAGATGAAAAACCACCACAAGCTTTCACATGTAATGGCACCAAACCATACTGGAGAGGAGGGCCATGGAACGGATGGCAGTTCATTGGAATTCCAGATGCGACTAAAGGGTACGCAAATGGAATGAGTCTGATACCAAATAATCAAACGGGAGCTGCATATATGACTTTCAGCACTTTCAACGAGTCCTATATTTACATTATGGTAATTTTACCAACAGGTATGTTGGAACTACTGCAATGGGAAGGTCAACAAAATCAATGGAACCGGCTTTGGGCAGCACCTCAACATCCATGCGATGTATATGGAACTTGTGGACCCTTCACTGCTTGTAGCATGAGTGGATCTCCAATTTGCGAGTGCCTGAAAGGGTTCTATCCGCAATCTAATGAGGAATGGAGTAAGGGAAATTGGACAAGTGGATGTTTGCGGCGTACAGAGTTGATGTGCACTACGAACAGTAGCAACTTAACATATAAAGCATCGAAACCGGATGGCTTCTGGAAGCTCAGTCAGATGAAATTACCAGATCATTATCTGTATTTGTATGATAAGACTGACCAAGGGGGGTGTAGCCAATGGTGCCTGAGTAACTGCTCTTGTCTGGCTTATGCATATCCAGATGGTATAGGGTGTATGGTTTGGGTGACACATCTTGTTGACATTCAGCAATTCTCAGACGGTGGGGAAGATCTATATCTCCGCCTTGCTAATTCAGAGCTAGGTAATCTAGGTCTAGTCTGGACTGTTTCTTCATTATAAAGCTTGTCTGTTCACAATGTGTTTAATGGAATTTTCAGGAGTAAAAAAGCGATACACAGCAATCATCATCAGCGTCCTATCTATATCGGTTGGTTTACTTGTGGGCTTGTTGATATGTTGTATTAAGAGATGGAAAGCAAACAGAAGAGGTAAAAATGTTTATCACTGACTGCATAGGACTGAAAATGCATCTAAACATATTTAAATTTGCATATTTGATCATTTAGCAGCCATTCAGTATTCAATATACGCTAACCCTCCCCTTCCATGGAAACTGAGTAGTCCATTGCTAATCTCAAGCAAACTGATTCTACAACTCAGAAAAAGTTAATAAGTGCTGATTTTCTTTGTAATTATTGTTAACGTTACAGCACTTAGGCATTCAGACACACATATACGTGAACAAAAATCAGAGACAAGTAAATGCCGCATAATGAAGGGCTTCAGGATAAAGTGCATGGTAAAGAGTCTCTTTGTGTCCGAGAGAAACGGCACTGTGAGAGATATTTCGCAAGAAGATGTCCAGGAAGGTCCTGCATCAGCAAAGGGGTCATCCGAGCTTCCAATTATCAATTTTAATAGGGTAAAGAGAGCTACCAACAACTTCAGTGAAGCTGACAAGCTTGGTGAAGGAGGATTCGGTGCAGTTTACAAGGTAATTAAACTTCTAAACAAGTATCTGCACACCGATATTAGCTTGGGCATGGATAGAACTTATGCATAATTTGTGAACCTGAATTCCAGGGGAAATTAGAAGATGGACAGCTAATAGCCGTGAAAAGGCTTTCAAGTCACTCAGGACAGGGCATGGAGGAGTTCAAGAATGAGGTTATGTTGATATCTAAACTTCAGCACAGAAATCTTGTAAGGCTGTTGGGTTGCTGCATTCAAGGAGAAGAAAAGATAGTCATTCTTGAATACATGAAAAACAAAAGCTTGGACAAATTCCTCTTTGGTAAATATTCTTGTTTAGTACTTCACTGAATTACTAACTCAAAATTTCTTTTAATTAGTTTAGGCTAGTGAGTTCTAAGTAATTTCCTGTGTATTGTTTGCTACGACGATCAGGACTGTGCCAGTTGCATTCCAGTTGAGGTCAGCGGAGTGATCTGCTTTATGGTTCATAATTATCTCTCATCAGATAGTAGGGTATATGTATAAATATCTTGTAGAACAACTGCTTAATTGGAAAATTGAATCCATCCTTTACTTGCAAGTCCTCAATCCCGTTATGAATAGTTTTTGCACGTTATGTGACATCAAACACTTCGTCAATCCTGAAGAGCAACGATGGGTAAATGTCACACCTCAACTTTCAACAACTAGTATTTTAGGGTGGCAAAATTAATGTATTTTACATTTGCACCCCCGAAAATTCTAAAGTTTTCTTTACCCTTTCAATTGCCCCAATAATTTTCTCAAATTTCCTTCTTCCGTTATCTTGTTCTCTAGAGGAATAGGAAACATTTACCACAATTGTATGGAATACTGAAAAAATTACAGACAAATCTCAGAGATTTTGAAATTAAAATTTTACAGGAAAACAGCTTTTCCATGTCCAAATAATAATAATCTACATTACCAGCTCTCTAACTGGTTTCCTAGATTCAGGTGGTCTTTTTCATGACTAGAAGAATTCCTGTTTTTTCAATTATTGTGATGATGTCCTTTCAGGTAACCTGACACCATGCGGGGTTTACAAAGATTGAAGCTTGATTTCTACTTATGTAATGTATATTAATCTAGAACCATTGAATGCCAGCTTTAAACTGCAACCAAATTGTCAAAAACAGCAAAAATTAACATTATCCTTCTACTTATTATTGCAATGGAACACCACACAGTGTATATTGTGGACTGACCTTTTCCTTTCATGCATTAAATTGTTTTATGTGGATAATGGGCAGACCGAACAAAAAGGTTGAAGCTAGATTGGGCAAAACGGTTCAACATACTTCAGGGCATTGCCAGAGGGCTTCTATATCTCCATCGAGATTCTTGTTTGAGAATCATTCACAGAGATTTGAAGGCCAGCAATATTCTCTTGGATGATGACATGAACCCCAAAATCTCAGACTTTGGGCTGGCACGAACTTTCCGAGTCACCCAAGAACTAGCTAACACTCTCAGAGTTGTGGGAACTTTGTAAGTGATCAACTGATCTTTTCTAAAGCATGTCTGCCCTGACTCGTGGCCAACCAAAAAAAATATAAAGATAAAGCTAATATCTATTGCATGGAGAAATATGTGCTTAATTATAGGTGAATTTTGTAAACAGTTGATACTTTTGTGTTTCAAATATGATGCAGCGGTTATATGTCTCCAGAATATGCCATGGGAGGCCTCTTTTCAGAAAAATCTGATGTTTATAGCTTCGGAGTTTTGCTGCTAGAGATTATCAGTAGCAAGAAGAACACTGGTTTTGGATATCATGAAAAATATTTGAACCTTCTTGGCTATGTAAGTGGATAAAGCTTTTCTTATTCTCGTGTTAGTTTAATTTCAGGTAGATCAGATAAAATCTGTCTTGTCTAAGAATTAAGATAAAAAGACGAATATAGTGGGAAGCCAAACTACAATTTGGGTACTCGAATCCAATTCTAAAGGGCGACTTGGAAATGATTCATTGCTCAGGCGTGGCAATTGTGGAACGATTGTAAAGCTCCAGAATTGCTGGATCCATCACTGGCGGATTCTTGCACCCCAGCAGAAGTAATAAGATGCATTCAAATTGGACTTCTTTGTGTTCAAGACCATGCTGCAGATCGGCCTACAATGTCAAATGTGGTACTGATGCTAAGCAGTTCTGAGAGTGAAATGGAACTTCCTCAACCAAGACAACCAACATTTACGTTTCAAAGCTTGCTAGAATCTGAGCATTTTCAATCAGGGGTTTGCACGTTCAATGTTTCCACAAATGAAGTTAGTATTTCATTGGTTGAAGGTCGATGAATAGTCTACCCGAGACACAAGACGTCTGGAACAAGTGAAATCTAGCATGTATCATATGCTATTGGTGAATAAAATTGAATAGGTTCAGAATTTAGATAAAAATCCTTAATTAGTCAGTCTGTTGTAGATTTAGCACAATTTGTGTGTGTGTGTGTGTGTGTGTGTTAATCTGTAGCGGATTTAGCACAATATTGTTCATTGAAAAGTGGTGCTGTTTAGCAACGTACAACATTTTTCTACCAGTCCTGTCGTTGTAGGTGGGATAGAGAATGCTTGTTCATCAAGTCCGGGGAGCAGCCGTGCAGCCAGCCCCAAGTTTTGAAATTTCCTTTTTGCCCCAAAAAAGTTGTTATTACAAATTTTCATCGAGAGTCTTTACCTTGAAAAAGAAAAAAAGATTGACAAAATTCTTTCCCCTCTTCCTATCATTTGCTTATGAAAATTTTGAACTTTTTCCTCTCTTTAAATATTTTTTAACATTGCGTTATAATTACTTGATCACTTCTTGTTAACTGCTTTAGTATTATCTATTGTCTTGTTACAATTTTATCTATTGTGTTAAGAAAAATCTCTTAATAGCTAAATTGCACATTTTTCGATTACTTGTTTATTTTAATTTCTATTATTAATCTACCAAAATTAAAATTTAAATACTTGGTTTTACATATATGTGATCTTTTATATGTAAGAAAAAAAACTAATAAAATTGTACATTAAAGAAATGCTCCTAATCATACAAAACCAACATGTATAGCTAATTAGCAATGTTATTTTTTCACTTCCAATTTGTACTTTGAGATATGATTGCTCTATAATGAGATATTTGGATTGGATAAAGTGACATCCGGAACGAATAAAAAAATTGTACATGCAATCCATAATTCTCAAAATGGCACTCAAAAACACATATATGCCTGCCGCTTGACAGATAATCCTGGCTTCGGCACTGGTAATTCCTTACTCTTAACACATACTTCAATTTGAATGAGCAGTATCTGCTGTCATATCTGGAAATGAATCAGCAGAAACAAATTTCGTTGCAGAAATTTGTTGATGAAATCCCTGAAACTTTTGAGTTTAGAGTGATTCTTGGCAGATGATTTTCATCTGAGTTCTGCTTCAGCTTTGCATTTGTAGAGGTATCTTTACACGGAAACAAGTGTAGTTTTCAAAACCTATCCTATCATTACCAGTACAATTTTTCTTTTGAATAAGAACGAATAGTCTCATACCATGTGCTGTATGGTAATTGGTACTACTGAATATCGGAATAGGCCATCCACTTATTTGTAACGAATTCCGCAGCCTCTGCAGAACTAATTTAGGATTCAAGCTCATAGGAGTGTTTCCTTTAGAAAATGAAACTTCTTATTGGCTAGTGATTCAATATGACTTGGATTCCTTAGATAAGAATGAGAATGCTTGACATGATTGTTTCTGTTAAGAGCATTTGAAGCTAGTTCTGCTGGAAGGGGTATAACCATTTTGCAGCCAGGTTGTACTTCCAAAAAATATTCATGTTTCATCCTGAATGAGCAACATCATGTTGCTATATCTGAACTCGAATCAAGACCTCTATGCTTGCATCTCCAAGAAAGAAACCAGTTGGTTATTGGAAGTCTGGAACCCATTTTCTGGCGTTGGAGATCAATAAAAATGAGGGTACTCTTGCACAAAGTCCTTTTGATTATTGTTTATAATAAAACGCTTCTAATGTACAATCAGTCTTCATCAAGCAAGAGATTACGTTTCAAGCGTACCCTTCCAGCAGTGGACTTGAATTAATAATGCTCAAGGAAACATCCCTGTGACTATCATTTGCAAAATTTAAAACACCAAAATAATAACGGTTCTCAACTGAGGTACATGGCTACTGAATTGTCCAGTAATGCTTTTCTGTCTTCTGTTTTTCTCTTCCTATCATCAGACGCCAAAAATAAATAAAGGGGCTACGTCAGGTCTCCGTTTAACAAGTTGATACCACACCTAGCTTTATCTACACGTCTACAAACTATTTATCTTGCTTGACACAAAGCATTATTTTAATGGAACCACCCAAGTGAATAAGAAGAGATCTCTGTTAGAATTTTCTGGGGAGGGATTGAGTGATCTCAAGATTATTGATATTAAAAACAGGATTAGGCTGGAAATTGATAATCAGTTAAGCCGGCATGTATGCGCATAGTTGAATAAAAGAGCCAAGTTTATTCATGTATATCGACCATTGACCTTTCTTGTTTATGTTGTAGTAGATAAAAGGTCTATAGGCAGAAGAAGAAGGAAAAGAGATCTGAATCCGTTTGGTGGACAAATTCTTGAAGGTCTTTTGGCCTCAAGGACAGTAAAGAGAATAGAGAGCAGAATATAAAGAAAAGTAGAGGGCTATTGCTTGCTTACTATTGCTCGTGCATTTTAACATCTTATTCATTTTACCACCATGTTCTCCATCCCAACCACTCAAGGTAGGACAAACTCTAATCTCCGCTGGGCAAATATTTGAACTAGGGCTCTTGAGTCCTGCTTATTCAAGTGCAATGAATATTGGAATCTTTGCAGCTTACAGTTTGAGTTTTGTGTCTTGTTTTTCCTTTTAATTGTAGAATTGGGGGTTACAATCATAGTTGTTAGGATCGCGATCCGGATCGTAGGATCGTACGATCCTACGATCTGAATTAAGACTAACGATCCAACCTACGATCCTAATACGATCCTACTATTTTTAATAAATTAAATAACAATTTTAGTATTTTGACTATATCTTTGTGTAGAAAACTCGAAATTGAGTGTCGTTTGTTACGTTGTAAACTATATTCAGAGTGCTTTAAATCAATGTAAATAATTAAGCCCAATTCCAAACCTAGAAAATTTGATGAATCTTTAAATTTGACTCATATAATTCACTAGAGTGAATAAATGATCTTTTTTATAGGTTATCACATGGAACTAGTGTTTTGTGTCTTTATTATAATTAATTAATATGGTTTAGAGCCTTTAGAAATGAATTAACCTTAATTAACAATATAATTATATTGATTGCACATGAATTACATTATTTGTTATTATATTTATGAATTGCAAACTTAAAAATTATAAATATGACAATTTATTACATTTTTTATAGGATCTATCGATTCTACGATCCGATCCTACGATCCGATCTTGCAAACCAAAAAACGATCCTAAGTAGGATCCCGATTTTGAAAACCTTGGTTACAATGTTTCCACTTGAGGAGTTAATATAACCTTTGAAGTCTTTTTTTTTTTCTTTTTCCTTTTGAGCAAAGGAAAACTTTTATTGATCAACCATATAACATTAAACTATAACTCTTGAAGTCTTTAATCTCATGATAAGCATTAAACTATAAATCTGCTAGCACAGAAAGTTAACTTGCAGTATGACTTTGCCACGTGAAGGCCTCCACTTTAATATAATTAAGGATGCATATGCAAATTCCACATTAAAGGATAAATTATTTATTACACCCTTGTGATTTTATATAATGCCAGATCAGCCCCCTCCCAAAAAAAAACTTTTAAAATAGTCACATAACTCTCGTGTGGTTTTGTGTAAAGTGGAAAATGGATAAAATCTACGATCAGTTACAGCATTTATACCAAATATGCTTTAAAAACACGTGTGAAAAAATCTTAATATCTATGTAATCCCCTTATGATTTGTATAAATATTCACTTTATGCTAATGTAATTTTTATATTTATCCACGTAATCTTTTTATTCTTTTTTATACAATGTGGCCAAACCGCCGATTGACGTAGCATTTAAGTAAGAACATTGTTGATATATCAATTGGCGCCGTTACATAGGATATTTTTCATCAAGTTTCTATTTGACATAAAACCATAGAGGGATGAAGTGGATATTTTAAAACATTAAGGGGATTCTGTGGCAATAGATGAAATCATAGGGGGTTATGTGTAATTTAATCCCATGTTAAATGAATGAGTCATGACTGGAGTTCTGGGACCCGTCTTCTGCGATTGGAGATCCTTAAGTATGAATCGTCTTCCGAACGAAGTTCTCTGGCTATAATTTATGAATGAAACATTTCTAACATGCCATCAATCTTCAATTCTTCATCCAACTTAAATAAAGCCATAGGAAACATCCCCTTTGCGAAACTGAAACACCAAGTGTTAACGGTCAACTTAAGTATACTGCTCGTAAATTGTCCCAGTAATTTACTTCGCCTTCTCTTCTTTGCAGTTCTTTTTTATTTTTTTCATTTTTAACTCCTCCTATCGTCAGAAACTGTTTACAAAAAACTGAACTAAGCTGCTTAAACTTTAAGTAGTTGTGTAAAAGTTGATTAGTTAGTTGGTAACTAGATTAGAATTGATATCAAAATTAGTGTAGCAAATAAAGTTTAGCTTAATCCACTGATTTGATACCATACTCTAGCCTTTCTACATGTGTGACAACTGTTTGTTTTAGTTGACATAAAGCATTATTTTTAGGGATCCACAGCAGTTAATTAAAGATTTTTGTAAACATTTTCTGGGGAGGGATTGAGTGACCTCATGATTCATGACATAAGAAAAGATTAGGCTAGAAAATGATATCTGACTAAGCCACCTTGCTAAGGTGCAAAGTTGAACAAAAACTCAGTCAAGTTAATTTGTTGAGCAAGCATATTGACCGATGACCTTTGCTTATGGTGTACTACAAAGAAGGGTTAAAGGCAGAAGAAGGCAAAAGCGATCTCAAGACTTTGTTTGGTGAACAAATTCTTGAGGCTCTTTTGGGCTCAACGACTACTATAGAGACTAATAGCATAGTATATGGACAAGCACAAGGATATCGCTAGCATATCATTGCTTGCGATTTTTAACATCCACTTCTTTTTACCAACATGCTATGCATCAAATGACACCTTAACTCCATCCCAACCACTCAAGGTAGGACAAGCTCTAATTTCCGCTGGACAAATCTTTGAATTAGGATTCTTCAGTCCCGGTAATTCAAGTAGATTGTACATTGGAATCTGGCACAAGACTGATATTGATCATAGAGTTGTTTGGGTCGCAAATCGGGAAAATGCACCGTTAGAAGGTGACTTGGCTTCTGTAGTGGGGCAAATTTCCCAGTAGCCACGTGTCAGTTCGGATATGATGACCTATCAGTTCGGCCAACTAATCTACGGATGCCACATGTCAGCTCGGATATTGTGATATGACAGCTCGGACAGAGCAGCTCGGAGAAGAGGGAGGTCAGCTCGGCTGCAGCCGCCGCCTCTCCATGAAGTGGGCCTGATGGGCCGCCGCCTCCGGATCTTCAGGGGTGGTTGTATGAAACCCTAGAAAGACTCCGAACCCTAAGGGGACTTTGACTCCTATATGGAAACTACCACCCATTAAGCCTATATATACAGCACCACAAGACGACACAAGGTATGCCATCCACAGTTCTCTCTACTGTTGCTCTACTCTTGAGCTCTACTGACTTGGCCGTCGGAGCTATTCCGGTGACTCTAGTCCCTCCGTTTATTTCCCTCTCTGCAGGACAGGTCGTCCGTTCTCTCCCCGTCAATTCGGCCTATCAGCTCGGCCACTCTCTGTTAGCCCCATCGTCTGTCCATTTGCAGGTCGACTCGTTCACCTGACCAGCTCGCCAGCTCGCTCCCTCTCAGCTCGGCTGCACTCAGCCAGCTCTGTTCGTGGCAGCTCAGCTCGGGTTGCGTCCTTGACAGCTCACCAGCCCAGCTCGCCAGCTCGCTCCCTCTCAGCTCGCTCAGCCCGTCGCAGCTCAGCTCAGATCTTGTTTTTGGCAGTCGCATCAATTGGCGCCGTCTGTGGGAAAACGTAATTCTTCTCTTGCGAATCATGCCAAGAACGAGGTCCCAGAGGAATGCCGATGGATCCAAGGGAGACGAGGGTGTGGGGCTCTCAGGAATTTCGCCGGAGCAGTTGGTCCAGGCGGTGGCAGGGAACCTGCCAACTTTTGAGGCAGTTGTGAATTACCTCAAGGGACAGGCAGTAGGTGATCCTGGCCAGGGGCTAAAGAGCCAAGGAGATGGGCTGTCAGAATCCCGAACAGGGAGCCCTAACCCCCAGCCCAAGCGGGTGCGCCGGGAGCTCACGCGTGAACAGGTCAACGTCGTGGAGCTTTCTCACAAACACTCCCGAGCTGAGCACCCGGAGCTCTTCCGAAGGCATTCAAGGGGAGATCTCTCCCAGCGGAGAGAGCCGCACCAGGTGCAGGACGAGCTGGACCTGCTGTTGGATTCTGAGGCGGACAGGTACATCGCCTCTCCCTTTGTCCCTGATATTGAGAACTACCCGCTCCCTGCGAAGTTCAAAATACCGACCATGAAATCCTACGACGCGACTACGGATCCGGAGGATCATCTGTTCACATTCTTGACACAAATGCGCCTACAAACGGCAGCCGATGCAGTTAGATGTAAGACCTTTCCAATGTTCCTGGAGGGAAAGGCACGCCAGTGGTTCCAGGGACTCCCCCACAGGTCAGTTCGGTCCTTCAGCCAACTCGCGCGACTGTTCTCAGCTCAGTTCATCTCGTCGCGAGCCTTTTCCAAGAGTACTGCTCACCTGATGACAGTTCAGCAAAGGTCCGAGGAATCGCTGCGCGAATACATGGTCCGATTCAACAATGAGTCCCTCCAGATCCGGGATCGGGACGATAAGGTCGTCATGGCCGCCTTCATCAACGGACTACGCAAACAGAAACTATATACCGAGTTCGTGGAGAAACCTCCCAAGTCAGTTCGGGAGATGCTGGACCGAGCTCACGAGAAGGCTAATGCAGTGGAAGCTAATCCCTTGAAGGGTGAACAGGAGAAACTAAGACAGAGCTGACCTGAGACGCAGCTGAGGCCGAGCAGGTCGGAGAAGCTGTCGAGGTCATACATGCAGCAAGAGCAGCTAAGGCAGAGCTGACCTGAGACGCAGTTGAGGCCGAACAGGTCGGAGAACCTGCCGAGGTCATACATGCCGCGAGAGCTACCGAGGCCGAGCTGACCTGAGACGCAGCTGAGGCCGAGCAGGTCGGAGAAGCTGTCGAGGTCATACATGCAGCAAGAGCAGCTAAGGCAGAGCTGACCTGAGACGCAGTTGAGCCGAACAGGTCGGAGAACCTGCCGAGGTCATACATGCCGCGAGAGCTGCCGAGGCCGAGCTGACCTGAGACGCAACTGAGGCCGAGCAGGTCGGAGAAGCTGTAGAGGTCATACATGCAGCAAGAGCAGCTAAGGCAAAGCTGACCTGAGACGCAGCTGAGGCCGAACAGGTCGGAGAACCTGTCGAGGTCATACATGCCGCGAGAGCTGCCGAGGCCGAGCTGACCTGAGACGCAGCTGAGGCCGAGCATGTCGGAAAACCTGCCGAGGTCATACATGCCGCGAGAGCCGTTAAGGTCGAGCTGACCTGAGACGCAACTGAGGCCGAGCAGTCCGCGAGAGCTGCCGAGGCCGAGCTGACCTGAGATGCAGCTGAGGCCGAGCAGGTCGGAAAAGCTGCAGAAGCCAAACAGGTCAGAGAGGTTGTACAGGCCAAAGAAACCAAGGAGGTTGCTGGACAGGCCATCCCAACCTAGACATCGTATATTGATAGAGTAACAAGTCAGGGTGTGGAGTTGGACCCCTCCTAATCAGCCCTACGGGGGAAGAATTGGCTTGCGTCTTGAGGTTCGACTTCATGACCTCCAATAACGAGTCCGAGTATAAGGCTCTTTCATTAAAACTCACTCACTCTGTCCATACATGACCTGAGTTGTTTGGTCATGCATGGTCCTATCTTTTCGTGCAAATATATGAACTATTTGGAAGTCAGTTCGCGCGCTAGCCCGGGGTCTGTTCGCGCAAGTGTATTTAGACAGCATGATAAGAAAGACATGAATGAAAAATTTTGCTAAGTGTAGAAGAAACAAAAGTCTATTCAGCCCACCAGAGTCTATTTATAAAAGAGGAGTTCATACAAAAAAACGAACTGGTCCTACTCAGTTCGGTCTTACAAGTTACTCAAGCAAGGGCCGCAATCGTGGAATCATGGGTCTTACACCGAACTGACTCTTCGCCAAAAAACTTGGTCTAAACTCATGCGACTTTTCGATGACTCTAGACTCAAAGGGGGGCTAGTGTAGTGGGGCAAATTTCCCAGTAGCCACGTGTCAGTTCGGATATGATGACCTATCAGTTCGACCAACTAATCTACGGATGCCACATGTCAGCTCGGATATTGTGATATGACAGCTCGGACAGAGCAGCTCGGAGAAGAGGGAGGTCAGCTCGGCTGCAGCCGCCGCCTCTCCATGAAGTGGGCCTGATGGGCCGCCGCCTCCGGATCTTCAGGGGTGGTTGTATGAAACCCTAGAAAGACTCCGAACCCTAAGGGGACTTTGACTCCTATATGGAAACTACCACCCATTAAGCCTATATATACAGCACCACAAGACGACACAAGGTATGACATCCACAGTTCTCTCTACTGTTGCTCTACTCTTGAGCTCTACTGACTTGGCCGTCGGAGCTATTCCGGGGACTCTAGTCCCTCCGTTTATTTCCCTCTCTGCAGGACAGGTCGTCCGTTCTCTCCCCGTCAATTCGGCCTATCAGCTCGGCCACTCTCTGTTAGCCCCACCGTCTGTCCATTTGCAGGTCGGCTCGTTCACCTGACCAGCTCGCCAGCTCGCTCCCTCTCAACTCGGCTGCACTCAGCCAGCTCTGTTCGTGGCAGCTCAGCTCGGGTTGCGTCCTTGACAGCTCACCAGCCCAGCTCGCCAGCTCGCTCCCTCTAAGCTCGCTCAGCCCGTCGCAGCTCAGCTCAGATCTTGTTTTTGGCAGTCGCATCAGCTTCAAAGCTGATAATCAGCAGCCATGGGAATCTAATGCTTATAGATGGAAAGCAAAATACTGTCTGGTCATCAAATGCCTCTGTCCAGTCTAATAGCACAATAGCAGTGCTCCAAGATGACGGGGATTTCATCCTTAAAGATAATGTTTCAGGGGAAACTCTATGGGAAAGTTTTTATTATCCTACTGATACAATTTTAGCAGGCATGCAGATAGGATTCAACAGCAGAACTGGACGGGAAAGCTTTTTGACAGCCTGGAAAAATGAGAATGATCCGGCACCTGGAAACTTTGTTTATGGACTCACAGACGAAAGACCAGCACAGTCTGTGGCATGGAATGGTACAAAACCACACTGGAGATCAGGTCCATGGAATGGATGGAAGTTCACTGGTATACAAGACATCGCCGAGGGGTATTCAAATGGAATATTTGTGACACCAAATAATCAGATGGGAGCTGCATCCATGACTTTCAACAACTTTGACAATTCTGATGTTTCAATTGGTGTAATTTCAACGACAGGTATGGTAGAGGTATGGTACAAGGAAAGAGAGCAAAATAAATGGAACTTTAAATTGGCAGCACCTCTGGATCCATGTGATGCATACGGAACTTGTGGACCCTTCAGTGTTTGTAGCAGGAACCACGCTCCAACTTGTGAGTGCCCGAAAGGGTTCTTGCCTAGGTCAAATGAGGAATGGAGTAAGGGAAATTGGACAAGTGGATGTGTAAGGCGTACAGAGTTGATGTGCAATGAAAACAGAAGCAACTTAAGCTTCAATGCATCTAAACTGGATGGCTTCTGGAAGGTCGGTCAGATGAAATTACCAGATCATTATGTGTATTTGTATGATAAGACTGACCAAGGGGGGTGTAGCCAATGGTGCCTGAGCAACTGCTCTTGTCTGGCATATGCATATCCAGATGGTATAGGGTGTCTGGTTTGGGTAACAGATCTTATCGACATGCAGCAACTCGTGAAGTCTGGGGAGGATCTATACCTCCGCCTTGCTAATTCAGACCTAGGTAACTTAGATCTAGTCTGGACTGGTACTACTTAATATAGAATTATGTTCTTCAACAATTTGTTTAATGTAATTTTCAGGAGTAAAAAGTAGACAGACAGCAATCATCGTCAGCTTCGTATCCATATCGGTTGGTTTCCTCTTGGGTGTGTTAATATGTTGTGTCCGCAGATGGAAAGCTAACAGAAGAGGTAAACATGTTTATCAACTACTCTTAGCGTGTAGAGATATTAACACACTGAATATGATTCAAACTACGTATTATATATGATCATTTAGCTGCAAATCAGTATGAAAGATACTTACGCCTACCTTCGTTTTTCCCAGAATTCTAACTACTCCATTGCTAATTTCAAGCCAACTTATATTTACATCTCCGAAAAGGTTAATCATCACTGATATTCTTATGCATACAATCACAGACAGACATCTCAGGGAACAAAGGTCAGAGACAAGAAAATGGTTCACAATAAAGAGCATCAGAAAAAGAGGCAAAGTAAAGGGTCACTTGGCTGACAAAAAGGGCACTTTGATTGATACTTCACAGGACAATATCCAAGAAAATCCTGCATCATCAAAGGGGTCATCAGAGCTTCCAATAGTTGATTTCAATAGGATAAAGATCGCTACCAACAACTTCAGCGAAGCTAACAAGCTTGGTGAAGGAGGATTTGGCACAGTTTACAAGGTAATTATCATTCCAAGCATCTAAACAGGTACCTGCAAACATTATATTAGCTTAAGGCCTGGGTGACATTGTTGAATAATTTGTGAACTTGAATTTCACGTAGGGGAGCTTAGAAGATGGACAGCAAATAGCTGTGAAAAGGCTTTCGAGTCACTCAGGACAGGGCATGGAGGAGTTCAAGAATGAAGTTATATTGATATCTAAACTTCAGCATAGAAATCTTGTAAGGCTGTTGGGCTGCTGCATTCAAGGAGAAGAGAAAATAGTAATTCTTGAGTACATGAAAAACAAAAGCTTGGACACTTTCCTGTTCGGTAAATATTGTTCCTTCACTTTACTGAGCTATAATTAATTTTCTTTTCTTTTTTTCTTCAAAATTTTTTGCTTCAGGCCAGGAGTTTTTCGTAAGTTCTAATGTACTGTTTTGCAATGACTGTCGCTAGTTGGGATCGAACTTTTGCGACTAATCAAAGTGCACAATGGTCGGTCGAGCTTATAAAATACCTCTGACTGTACATACTTTAAACAAGTTTATGCATGATCAGAAAACCAAAATCAGAGCTTACTGGGTGCTTCATAATTATATTTCTTCCAACATTTATCCACAGACAAAATCATACAGTTTTTCATAATTATCTTTCATGCAATATTTTGTTTCATAATTATCTTTCATGGAAGTCCATATGCAAAATCATATTTATCATTCATACTAGTATATAGAGCATTGTGTGTATTCTTCTGCGTACATTGAATGTCACTTGGAATATGTAATATGGACTTTGCCTTTTTCTCTCGTATATTGAATTTGTGTCTTGGATAAATGGGCAGATCGAACAAAAAGGCTGGAGCTAGATTGGGCCAAACGCTTCAGCATCATTCAGGGGATTGCCAGAGGGCTTCTCTATCTCCATCGAGATTCTTGTTTAAGAATTATTCACAGAGATATGAAGGCCAGCAACATTCTCTTGGACGATGAGATGAATCCGAAAATCTCAGACTTTGGACTGGCGCGAACTTTCCGTGTCACACAGGAATTAGCCAACACTGGCAGGGTTGTGGGAACTTTGTAAGTCTTCTTTTTGCCTCTAGTCAGGAGATTCTGCTAATTCATGCCCACGTTTGCCCAGTGCTAGTGCTCTTTGGTGCTTTTGTCTGCACAGGGCTGGGGAGGGTTTGGGCGGCTAGCCATAGCTACAGTTAGTACGATTATTATACTGCTTTCTATGATTTACCATGCAATCACATAACTTTGTTGTATTTCATGATGTACAGCAAAAGTTATGCGAGTGTATGTCAAATCATGAAATATAAAAAAGTCACAAAGTCATAGAGTATACACTAAATCATGAAAAAAATACGATCGCCCCAATTGCACCTAAGATCAATTGTACCTGTCCCATATCGTGGTTAGCGGCTTTGTTTTCTGGATTAGTTTCGTCTTAGTACATTGGTGCAAATTTTCAATCTAGTCTCTTGACCTGAAAATTATTCAATTTAGTCTTGACATGAGCAAAGCATATCAGTTTGGTCTCTGAAATTGAGGAAGTCTTGTTTTGGTGTTAAAAATCTTAATTTGGCCATTCAAACTGAAAAAAAAAATTTCTCAATTTTATCATCCAATTTGAGAAAATTATTCTAAATTAATCATCTAGCCCATTTGGCACTGTTGAATTGATTGTGAAAGCATCAAACTACAAATTGAGTTCAATGAGCAAAGTTATTTTAGCTGTTTTAATAAAAGTACTAGTGTTCAGCTTTTTTTGATGATAAACGTGCGTGTATCAGCTGCTGGTATCTTGAGATTTTAGCAAAGAACAACTTGAAGGTTTCATGAATGAAAAATACGTGCAATCATTTAACTCAACAAAAGAATGTCCTTTTCTTCACTTAAATTATTCAGGCAAAAAAATTTTTGATACGATGACAAAAAACCCTTGCTTAACTTTTTTTTTTTAAGTTCAATTCCTGCACAGTGAACTCTTTTTAGAATAAGCTCGGGGGAACCCAAAAAAAAAACGTAGTTTGAAGTTCATTAGTTGTCATTCGATTCATTAAGGACACAAGAATACCCTTGATTCATAGAGCAGGACTACAGATATATCGTCGTTTAGCGTCTAAAGCCTATCTGCCGTGTTAAAATAGAAATAAACTTAAAGATAATAATGTGCTTAAATATAGATGTGAAATTTGCTAATCTTTTCATGTTCTTTTTAATTGCAGCGGATATATGTCTCCTGAATATGCCATGAGTGGGCAATTTTCGGAAAAATCTGATGTTTATAGCTTTGGAGTTCTGCTGCTAGAGATTGTCAGCAGCAAGAAGAACACGGGGTTCGGTTATCACGAAAAATATTTAAACCTTCTTGGTCGTGTGAGTTTATATTGCTTACATGTTTACTTTTAGCAAGATCAGATGAAAGTTCATTATGTTTAACAAGAAAGACAAGCCCTAATACAGTTTCAGGTACTCAAAAACGGTTTCTTAACATATGGAAATTAATGGTTCTTTCAGGCATGGCAATTGTGGAACGAGTGCAAAGCTCCAGAGTTGCTGGATCAATCACTGGCAGATTCTTGCACCCCAACAAAGGTAAAGAGATGCATTCAAATCGGGCTTCTTTGTGTTCAAGACCATGCTGCAGATCGGCCTACAATGTCGAATGTAGTTCTCATGCTAAGCAGTTCTGAGGGTGAAATGTGTTAGGACCGGGCCAGGAAATAGACAAATTCAAGTTAGCACAAATTAGGCGGTATAACCGACCATTTAATAGATAGGCGGTAGATACCAGCCATATAATAATTAGGCGGTAAAACCGACCATATAAAGACGGATAACAAAGCAAATAAGAGACACAAAAGATTTACGTGGTTCGGTCAAATTGACCTACGTCCACGGGCGAGAGAGGAGCAATATTTCTACTATGAAGAAGAAATACAAAAGCCGTAGGAAAGTGGTTCCTAGGCCAATAGGCACTTACAAAAGAGTTTAGAAAATATTCCTAAACTCAAAATAAGAGAGCCTAAAATATTTAACTGAATGGGCTAGATGACTCAAGAAGCTAATAGCCCATATAACTCTCTTGAGTGGTGCAAGTTAAATCCTTCAATGGACCCTTCTATTTATAGGCCTCGAGTAGCCGGCTTCTCTTCAGCAGGCTCCGATGTGGGATGAGAAGGAAATGAAAAATTATGCCACAAGTCAAAGCTTGCGGCTCTGACAAAACAACAAATCTCCACCTTGGCATAATTTTGAATTCTATCATCGACAATAGTAAAAATTTCTCCACCTTCTTCACATAAGCCCCAATGGGCTTAAATCACAAACGAACACCAATCAAGTCCAAGCACTGCTTGAACTTGTAAACTGGAAGAGGTTTCGTAAACATATCGGCTGGATTGTCCTTAGTATTGATTTTCTGAATAAGGACTTTTCCCTCAGCAATGATATCCCGAATGAAGTGATACTTCACATCAATGTGTTTCGTCCTCTCATGATACATCTGATCTTTAGTCAAGTGTATGGCACTTTGACTATCACAGTGAATATCAGTAACACCTTGATATAGACTTAACTCGCTAAATAAATTCTTCAACCACAAGGCTTCTTTGATTGCCTCGGTCACAGCCATATATTCTGCTTCTGTAGTAGACAAAGCTACGACAGGTTGTAGAGTAGCTTTCCAACTAACAGCACAACCGCCAATGCAAAATACATAGCCTGAAAGTGATCTTCTCCTGTCAAGATCCCCAGCGTAGTCTGAGTCTACAAAACCAACCAAAGTGTTATTATTCCTTCCAAACTCCAAACATGCATTTGAAGTACCTCGCAAATATCTGAGAATCCACTTCACAGCCTGCCAATGTGTTTTACCAGGGCAAGACATATATCTGCTAACAACACTGACTGCTTGTGCAATATCTGAACGAGTACAAACCATTGCATACATAATACTGTCGACTGCACTGGAATAAGGAACCCGTGCCATATAATCTTCCTCTTCATCTGATTTTGGTGATTGAGCAGCAGATAGCCGAAAATGGCTAGCAAGAGGAGTAGATACTGGTTTAGCATCTTTCATGCCAAAACGCTCCAAAACTTTTTCAAGGTAATTTTTCTGGGTCAAAAATAACTTCCCTACTCCTCGATCTCGCTTGATATCCATGCCAAGAATTTTCTTAGCTGCTCCCAAATCTTTCATTTCAAATTCACTATTTAACTGCAGTTTCAAGGTGTGAATTTCTGACAAATTCTTGGCAGCAATGAGCATGTCATCAACATAAAGCAGCAAATAAATGGAAGAACCATCATTTAACTTCCGGAAGTAAACACAACTATCATACATGCTCCTCAAATAACCATGACCCAACATAAAGGAATCAAACCTTTTATACCATTGTCTTAGAGACTGCTTCAATCCATATAAGGATTTCTTCAACAAGCAAACATGGTCTTCCTTACCTTCAATTTCAAAACCCTGGGGTTGTTTCATATAAATTTGTTCTTCAAGTTCGCCATATAAGAAAGCTGTCTTAACGTCGAGCTGTTCTAACTCCAAATTATACATGGCAACTAAAGCAAGCAAAACACGAATAGAGCTATGTTTAACAACAGGTGAGAATATATCATTAAAATCAACACCTTGTACCTGATTATAGCCCTTTGCAACTAATCGTGCTTTATACCTTGCATCTTCAACCCCTGGAATACCTTCCTTTTTCTTGAAGACCCACTTGCAACCAACAATTTTCTTAGCTGACGGCGGCTTTACAAGAACCCAAGTTTCATTCTGATGAATAGATTCAATTTCTTCATTCATCGCAATCAACCACTTTGCAGAATCATCACAAGAAACTGCTTCTGAATAGGTGGAAGGCTTACCAACTGCATCAGTTTCTTCTGCAACAGACAAAGCATATGCAACTAAATTTGCATATCTTTGTGGTGGTCGAATGTCTCTCCTTGCTCTATCTCTGGCTATGGAATACTCCTCTTCTTCTGAACTATCTTCAACAGTAGATTCAGGTGTATCTACTGGCACTTGTTGAATAGAAGATTTGGATTGAGAAGGACCAGAACTGCCAATATCAAGCTCCACCTGCTTCTGTGTACTATCAGTAGTACAAGGACTAGAAGACTCCTTCTTGGAAGATAACAGAGATAATTCATCAAAAGTAACATCTCTACTGATTACAAATTTTGGGGATTTGGGATCAGGATACCATAATCTGTATCCTTTTACCCCAGAAGCATACCCAAGAAAAATGCACTTTTTAGCCCTAAACTCCAATTTTCCATCATTCACGTGCATGTATGCTGGACACCCAAAAACTTTTAAATTGGAGTAATCAGCAGGAGTACCTGACCAAACTTCCTCAGGAGTTTTGAAATCAAGAGATGCAGAAGGAGAACGGTTGACAATATAACAGGCCATATTGATCGCCTCTGCCCAAAAGTCATTTGTCAACCCTGCATTTGAGATCATACATCTTACTCTCTCAAAAAGCGTTCTGTTCATACGTTCAGCCACACCATTTTGTTGAGGCGTCATCCTGACGGTGTGATGCCGAACAATTCCTTCATTTTTGCAAAATTCATTAAATTCACCTCCACAAAATTCCATGCCATTATCTGTTCTCAACCGCTTAACATGTTTTCCTGTTTGTTTCTCAATCAAAACTTTCCATTGCTTAAAAGTTAGGAAAACATCATTTTTGTGCTTAAGAAAATAGACCCAAACTTTCCTTGAATAGTCATCAATGAAAGTCAACATGTACCTGGCACCACCTTTAGAAGGAGCACGAGAATGACCCCATAGATCTGAATGAATGTAATCAAGAGTGCCTTTTGTCTTGTGAATTGCTGGTGAACTGAAGCTGACTCTTTTCTGCTTCCCAAAAATACAATGTTCACAGAATTCCAATGGACCGGTACTTTGTCCACACAAAAGTCCTCTTTTGCTCAGTATGCCCAAGCCTTTTTCGCTCATATGCCCCAAACGCATATGCCATAATTTGGTGATGTCTGTATCTGACAAAGATGATGTTGAAACAGCAGCAGCACCTGTCACAGTAGATCCCTGCAAAATATACAAAGTACCAGATTTGTGTGCTTTCATAACAACAAGAGCTCCTCGAGTGATTTTAAGAACTCCGTCTCCACCTGAATACCTGCACCCGATAGACTCAAGAGTGCCCAAAAAGATGAGATTTTTCTTCAAATCTGGAACATGTCTAACATTTGTGAGCGTCCTCACAATACCATCGTACATTTTAATCCGGATTGTGTTTTTGCCAATAACTTTACAAACAGCGTTGTTGCCCATTAAGACAACTCCACCTTCAGTTGATTCATATGTTGAAAACCAGTCCCTATTGGGACACATATGATATGAACAACCCGAATCTAAAATCCACTCATTGTGAGACCTAAAATTATTTTCCGTTGCACAGAAAATAGTTCCATCATTTTCATCAACGGCAATACTAGCCTCGGTGGTTTCACTCCTTTTCTCCTTTTGCTTTTCTTTATTTTTCAATTTAAACCAATCAGAGATAATATGGCCCTTCTTTTTACAATAGTTGCACACCACATTTTTATGTCTGGACTTAGATCTACTTCTATTTTCTGTGTTTCTCCTTTCAGATCTACCCCTAACAAACAAGCCATCGGCTTGACTCCCACTAGTTTCCCCAGTAATATCCCTATCTATCTGCTCTTTAGATTTTAATGCAGATTTAATTTTTCGATACGAAATTGTTTCCTTTCCATATATCATAGTATCACGGAAATGTTTAAAAGATTGGGGAAGGGAACACAAAAGTAATAGGGCTTAATCTTCATCATCAATTTTCGAATCTATATTCCCCAAATCCATAATAATGGAATCAAATTTATCAAGATGGGAGAGTATAGATGTACCTTCAGACATCCGAAGCATGTACAAACTTTGCTTCAAATATAGCCGATTCTCGACTGTCTTCTTCATATACAAGGCTTTCAATTTATCCCACATAGCCTTGGCCGAAGTCTCCATTGCTACCTCACGCAATACCTCATCGGAGAGATTTAGGATAATACTGGATCTTGCCTTCTTATCCATCTCAGCAAAATTTGCATCTGTCACATCTTCTGGCTTTTTCTCAATTCCTTGAATTGCCAAGTCAACTCCGTCTTGAACAAGAATGGCCTCCATCTTGAGCTGCCACATTCCGAAGTTGACATTCCTGTCGAATTTCTCGACAACCGTCTTTGTTATCGTCATTGTTGCCACAAAATCTGTAACGTGAAGTTTGTCTCAAAAAACTGGCCAAACAAATATGCAAGTCTCGTGAGCGGGCCCCACAGGGTGAGCGGGCCCCACGAGATAAGCGGGCCCCACGGGGATGAACGGACCCCACAAGGTGAGTGGGCCCCACAGGATGGACGGACCCCACCAGATGAACGGGCCCCACCAGATGAACCTGTCTTGCAAAATATAACAACCAACTCTGATACCAGTTTGTTAGGACCGGGCCAGGAAATAGACAAACTCAAGTTAGCACAAATTAAGCGGTATAACCGACCATTTAATAGATAGGCGGTAGATACCAGCCATATAATAATTAGGCGGTAAAACCGACCATATAAAGACGGATAACAAAGCAAATAAGAGACACAAAAGATTTACGTGGTTCGGTCAAATTGACCTACGTCCACGGGCGAGAGAGGAGCAATATTTCTACTATGAAGAAGAAATACAAAAGCCGTAGGAAAGTGGTTCCTAGGCCAATAGGCACTTACAAAAGAGTTTAGAAAATATTCCTAAATTCAAAACAAGAGAGCCTAAAATATTTAACTGAATGGGCTAGATGACTCAAGAAGCTAATAGCCCATATAACTCTCTTGAGTGGTGCAAGTTAAATCCTTCAATGGACCCTTCTATTTATAGGCCTCGAGTAGCCGGCTTCTCTTCAGCAGGCTCCGATGTGGGATGAGAAGGAAATGAAAAATTATGCCACAAGTCAAAGCTTGCGGCTCTGACAAAACAACAAAATGGAACTTCCTCAACCAAGACAACCTACATTTACGTTTCAAAACTTGCAAGAATCCGATCGTTTTCAATCAGCCATTCGCTTATGCAACGGTTCCATAAACGAAATCAGTATTTCAATGGTTCAAGGACGATGAATGGTCGATTTACAAGAGAGTCAGGAGACACAACAGTAACCTTAGAGAGATTACAAATTTTAGTGCGTAGCATATGTTTTCCGTAAGCAAGATTCAGATTGCTTTTGGACTTAGCCTGTTGAGCTACTTTTTGTATTTTTAGCCCCATAGGTTTTTTCTTTTTTTGTGGGTAAAGAAAAAGAATCATTTTATTTTTGAGGTAGAACTGAAGTTTATACACGGGGTAGCCCTTAAATAAAAAATTAAGGAAACAAATTAGTAGATTTGGCATCCTCCGCTCTAATGCAAGCAAGGTTTGGCATCCTCAACAACTTGGCATATGGTATAAAAACTCGTCTGTGAAAGCTGAAGTTCCACTGTTTTGACACGTAAATGTCCCATCAGCATACAAAAGCACCAAGTAGGGGGGAAACTGAACGCTCATGTTTTTGGAGCGCACATCATCAGGTACGATGATTGATTTATCAAATAACAAAAATTTTCGATATTTATCCGAATAACAGTCACTCTGATCTCTTCTCCTCTCTGAAAATTGGCATTCGGTGGATAAACAATTTACTTCACAAAATTCAGGGTTGGCCAAAAATACATTCAAATTTAAGTACCTCCATTAATTTTCAACTGGCATCCACAGTGTACAATTTGCAAATTGCATGGAAATCATGCACGTAAAAGTTCCCATTTCCTCTCATCAGATCAGAGATCAAAAAAGTGTAAATTACATACAACCTCCTGTGGTTTCATCTATTGCTACATGACCCCTCTAATATTTTAAAATATCCACTTTACCCCCAATAATTTTATGCAGAGTGGAAACTTGATAGAAAGTAGCTTATGTAATGTCATTAGTTGAAATAGTAATAGTTTCCTTACTTAAATGCTAAATCAATCAATGGTTTAACCATCTTGTATAAAAGTATGGGGAGATTACGTAGACAAATGCAAAATTCACAGGAGGTAAAGTGAATATTTATACAAATCATAAGGAGGTTATATGGATATTAAGATTTTATCATATGCACTTTTAAAGCGTGTTTGATATAAATGCCTTAACTCATATGCATTCCATCCATTTTTTCACCTCGTATATAGTCACAGAGGGGTTATGTGGCTATTTTAAAACCATAGGGGGATCATCTAGCATTATATAAAATCACGGGGTAATAAGTAATTTATCCAAAAAAATCTAACTCTTACAGAAGTTCTTTTGATTATTGTCTACGAAGGAAACACCTCCAATTTACAAGCAACCTTCAATTCATGAAGCTGAAGACTGATGTTCAAGTGTAAACTTCCACCAGTCCAACTTTAATAATGCTGAAGGTGCCTGTTACTTGCCGTGCTTAAACACCAAGTAACCAATGGTCAACGACTCAACTAATTAAGCTACGTATTATGTAAATTGTTCAGTAATTCATATCCGCCCTCTGTTTTGGCTTTTCTTTATTCTGTTTTACTCTTCCTATCGTAAGATGGAAGAATCTATATGTTGGATATTTTATTTCTCTATTCAACGATTTGAATGCCTGATCTAGCTGATATACACGTTGCACGGTGCAGGTTCCTTTCTGAAAAATGCTTAAGCTGAGAATTAACAGAGATCAAGGCATTATCTTTTATGGAACCACCCCAGTCAATACTTAATAGCATATTTGTGCTCAAGATAATCTGGGTAGGCACTGAGTGATCTCATGATTATTGACATAACAATAGAATTATGCAAGGAAATGATATCCAATTATGCCACCTTGCAGTGCGCAAAGTTGAATAATAGAGTCGACTTCATTTATTTACCATGTATATTGACCATTTGTCTTCATTTCTCATGCTGTAGCAGACAAAAAAGGGCTAACGGCAGAAGAAGAATAACAAAGAGATCTCAAGCATTCATTGGGTGCACAAATTCTTGAAGCAAACAGAAGAGGTAACTAATGTTCGCCTATTGCTCACAGTTTATTGGGAGGTTTTTTTTTTTTTGGTTAACAAGAGTATTAACACTGCAAATAGAAAAATATGACTTGAAGTACTCTTTTTGATCGTATATATGTACAGAGGGGCTAATTCCTATTGTTTAAACGCTTATCATCATTAAAAATTTCGTTTTTTTTCTTATTTATGAAATGAAAAAAAAAAAAAAAAAAACTTAACAGCCCTGCCCCCAGAAATTTAACCATTCCTAGTATCTACAACTCAGAAAAGGAAACTGATTGATAATTATGTATGCAGTTACTTTTGAGGTATCGGCAGTTATGCTTATAACGATCGTCAGAGTGGTGACGAGAAAATGGTGCATAATAAGGGGCATCAGAAAATTGTGCATGCTAAAGGATCTCGTGGTGTCTGAGAAGAAAAAGGGCACTTTGAGAGATACCTCACAAGATGATATCCAGGAAAGTCCCGCATCGGCAAATGAGTCATTGGAGATTCCAGTGATCGATTTCAATAGGATAAAGATTGCTACCGACAACTTCAGTGAAGCTAACAAGCTTGGTGAAGGAGGGTTCGGCGCAGTTTACAAGGTAAATATCATTCCAAGCATCAAAACAAGTATCTGGACACTTGATTAGCTCGAGGCACAGAGAAAACTCATTAGCAAATTTCTTAACCGAATTCCACGCAGGGGAGATTAGAAGATGGACAGCAAATAGCCGTGAAAAGGCTTTCGCGTCATTCAGGACAAGGCATGGAGGAGTTCAAAAATGAGGTTGTATTGATATCTAAGCTTCAGCATAGAAACCTTGTCAGGCTGTTGGGCTGCTGCATTCAGGGAGAAGAAAAGACAGTAATTCTTGAATACTTGAAAAACAAGAGCTTGGACAAATTCCTCTTTGGTAAATGCTCTCCTATTTCTTTGCCGAAATATTAGTGGCTTTTCTTTTTTGCTGATCTTTTACTTCAGCCCATAGAGTTTTATGTAAATTCCAATGCATACATCTGCCAGAGGATCAAGGGCTGCAAAGTTGGTACTCAATTTGCCCAACTGGTCAAACTGTACGATGGTCAGTCAAGTGTATAAAGCAAAGCTGATAATGTAAAAATCAAACAAGTTTTTGTATTCACGAACCTTTAACATAAAAGGGATCTACTTTATGCTTCATAATATTGTTTCATCCAATATTCTTGTACACACAAAATTATTATACAGCTACTGCTACCTTAATTTCCATACCATAACTTAATCACTTGAAAATTCAATCCATCCTCAACTCACCCCGCCTGCGATACTTGCTTTCTTGGGTCTTTGGCAAGTTTTGTGAAAGCAAACACCTCTCATTTCATTTCAAAATAGTATGATCTGTATTGCCATCTCCCCAAATATATTCTAAGGTTTGGAGAATTCATGTGTTTGCATTATGTAGATGTCCCTTGAGCTCTAGAACCTTGTGCAAACTTAAAAAATAACATTGAAGCTAGATTTCTGGTTCTGTAATTTATCTCCAGTTAGAAACATACAAGAGTAGCTTTAAACTGCAACCAATTTGCCAAAAAGAGGAGCGTTTATTCTTCTCTTATCGTTGAACATCACTTGGTACATATTATGGACTGTCCTTTTGGACTCATAAATTAAATTGTGCCTGCGGACCGTGGACAATGTGCAGATCGAACAAAAAGGTTGGAGCTAAATTGGGAAAAACGCTTCAACATAATTCAGGGCATTGCCAGAGGGCTTCTATACCTCCATCGAGATTCTTGTTTAAGAATTATTCACAGAGATTTAAAGGCCAGCAACATTCTCTTGGATGATGACATGAACCCCAAAATCTCAGACTTTGGCCTGGCACGAACTTTCCAAGTCACACAAGAACTAGCCAACACCCGCAGGGTTGTGGGAACTTTGTAAGTCTTTGCTTTTCCTCAGTAGATTCTGATTATCTGCTAATATATACCCAAATTCCCCTGTTTGTTGGTGCTCTAGTTATGTTCATGAACAAATTGGTTAACTTTTTCGTGTAATATTATAGCTTTACATTAAAGCTTACACCTCCAGCAAGTAACCGTAGAGCCCGAAAAGGGAAAAAAGCTCTCATAGAATGCCCCTGATTTGGATAGCATGAATATTATCTCTCTGTAGCACCTAAAGCCTGTGTGCCCTGATTTCATGACCAACCAAAAAGAAAGAAACATAAAGAAAATTGATATCTATTGCACGGATTAATGTGCTTAAATTACAGATGTGTGACATATATTAGTAACACATTTCATGTTTCAATGTAATTGCAGCGGCTACATGTCTCCAGAATATGCCATGGGAGGGGTATTTTCAGAAAAATCTGATGTTTACAGCTTCGGAGTCTTATTGCTGGAAATAGTCAGTAGCAAGAAGAATACTGGGTTTGGTTATCACGAAAAACATATAAGCCTTCTTGGTTATGTAAGTGCAAACTCATTCACTGTTTAAAATTAGCTTGATCATACAAAAGTCCAGTCATGTCTAAGAATTGAGATTACAAGATAAATAATATGACAAGCCTAACTACAGCTTGCTTACTCGAAATGGTTTCTTAACAATTGGAAATGGTTCATTCAGGCATGGCAATTATGGAATGAGTGCAAAGCTCCAGAGTTGCTGGATGAATCACTGACTAATTCTTGCACCCCATCAGAAGTAATGAGATGCATTCGAGTTGGGCTTCTTTGTGTTCAAGACCATCCTACAGATCGGCCTACAATGGCTAATGCAGTTGTCATGCTAAGCAGTTCTGAGAGTGAAATAGAACTTCCTCAACCAAGAGAGCCTACATTTACATTCCAAAGCTTGCTGGAATCAGATAATTGTCAGTCAGGGATTAGTTTATGCAATGATTCCATCAACGAAGTCAGTGTTTCAATGGTTGAAGGGCGATGAATGGTTGATTTACACAACAGTCAAGAGACACAAATCCGCAGATTATGAAATTTATTACTTATCAGATGCTTTCTGTAGGTAAATGTGAGTATTAAGAATAAAGGTGCTCTGCGAATAGCCTATTTAGGAGTTCACATAAAATCCTTATGCATTCGAAACATATTTTAAGACATAATTCAATTTGTTTCAGCTGTGTCTGTCATTCTGTTTTCATATCTGAATACTGAACTGAATTAAGTCTGCTGCGGGCATATTCTAGGAAGAGCATTTCTTGGTAGTTGAAGCAACAGAAATAAAACTTCTTCGATGGATTTTGTCGAAGAATTCTCTTAAATTTTCTGACCGGTGTAGTGGTCACTTGGTAAATGCCAGAAAGATGTTTTCTCACTGTATTCGAATAGTCTTTGTGTTATAATGCCAAAAAGGATGCTTGTTGAGATAAAAGAAGATTACTGCTGTTAAAACTCTGCATTTGGTTACAAAGGTGAAGAAGAAGAGGCAACAAAAGGAGTAATTATTTTCCGGAGACGCAGGAAAGTAGTAATTATTGTCAAATGGCTATATGATATGATATTCATACTTCTTAGAACAAATCAAAGTGCAGGTGGAAAGACTTTTGTATTTAAGTACCATTTAGGACTTAGGAGAGGGTTTTGGCTACTCAAAGGAATAGAGCAGTTTGGCTGAGTAATACTATGGTGCCTTCCTAAGAGGCCCGCTTGATTCTATTTGATATTTTGGATTCAAGAACTATTGCCTATTTGGTGGGACAATTCCCTAAAGTATCACATCACTAAACCAAATAACCCAAATGAATTTAATATTTTGGACTTAAAAGCAAGGACAAGTCTATGTAATTTACGCAAAAACAGATGGAAATTATTAAGTTGGCATCAATACGGCTGTCAAAAAATAGGTAAAAACACAAATTTTCTTTTCTCAAAAGGGAGCTGTGTCACTTGTCACAAAGATAGGCTACTACAGTATTTGCACCATCTTTTTATCTTTTTATTGTATGGGTAGATAGATATAATCAAACTAATCCACCATAATCTACTTCTAAGCATGTTTTAACAAGCAAGAAAGACATTATTAAAGACTTCTTAAAAGAAGAACAGTTGCAGTAAGATACTGGATGATGTCATATCTCATCAATGTAGATAGAACAATAGGTGTACTAGTGCTTGTTTGGTTAGGAAGAGAAATATCAGCATATGCAATTTTCTTGAGTGATTCAAAACACCATCTTTATCCTTATTCCCTCTTCTCTCCAACAAATATTATTGTAACGATCCAACAATTATAACTACAATTGAAAGATCTTATTGTAAGACTAAATGCACTCCCAAAACGATGTGAAACCCAACCCAAAAAAAAAAAACAATTTGAAAAAAAAAATTGCCAACATTGGTAACATTCAAAATAGCAAATTTTGGTGGTGTTACGACAAAAGGCTGTCAATTGTCTACAGGCAAATTTGCCAAATATTTCCTTTTCGATGTTTCAATTGATTTGTGAAACACGGAAACTGAACTGGAACCATACAACGATTGATTGATTGATTGATTGATTGATTGATTGATTGGGTCTGGCACACAAGTCGGAAACTCGTGCACGATGGGCCGAGTCATGCAACACAAAACTGTCGACGAGTCCACTGCAACATTAAAGCCACATGAAGTGTTTGAACCGCAAGAGCATTAAATCTCCATTTGTGGGCCGGGTGCCACAGAAGAGAAGTGAAGAGAAGAGAAGTATGGTCGCTGTACCACCGCCTAGGGTTGGATTAAATGCCATGGCGGATCCCACCGTTCATTTTGCCAATGTTCTGCTCTATCTCATTCCTCTGTTCTCAAAGTGTTGGAGGAGAACAAGTGTCGTCCTCCTCCGCGTTTATTCCACCGGCCTTATGAACACGTTGATGATGATGGCAACTAGCAGCCGCCATCAAATCATAAAAGTGGAGTCTCAATTTCTGCTAATTCAAATGATGTACTAGTTCCGACCTTTTAACTCTTTTACCCCAGTGAAAAAGTTTAGGTTGTGTTTGGATTGTATTTTTCGTCATTTTTTATAGAAAAATTATTGTAGCAATTTGATATATGTGAGGAAAAAAGGTGAGAAGGAAATGTGACCACGAAAAACGACAATATTTTTCGACGGAAACAAGCAATTCAAGCGTGACCTTAATTTTAGACAGAAAATAAAGAGAGCAACTAGTGCCTTGCCTGCTTGAGCCTGTGCTCAGAAGTAACAAATAAAGAAAGACAGCCTTTACCTTTCCAGTATGACTAAATACTTGTCTTCCATTCTGGTTTTAAGCCACCTTTAAGTATTAATAATTAAGGCTTGATGGAGTGGGAAATCAAAAGTTTAAATATGACATCCCGTCAATTATCACAATATGTGATTTTTTTTAAAAATTCATATGGGTGTGATTTAGTCCTTCGTAGGTCCAGTTGAACCTCCCTCCTTAAATTAGGATGTGATTCAGTCCCCGTTAGTCTCCCATTAATTACTATATGGCTATTTGTACAACAATCTTCATGGTCAGTTCCAATTATTTTTGTCATTTGTTGATTTGTTTTTCCTCTGAAGAGTTTGTTGGATGTGAAACCCAAAGAGTCTCCAATGACAACACCATTAAAATGACACAGAAAATTCTGCGTGGAATTCGACCAGATTAATGCAACCAATGATATCAACAATTAAAACGAGTTTGGATAGATTAATGAATTTCTTGGAGGCGTCAGTTTACCTTCTAAAATATACCCTTTCTACTTCAGATTCCGACACTACAATTCCGCTTTTGTCTAAATTGCGGCGTAAATGGGTTTTCATGTGGGTATTTCATTAGTAAATCTTTCACGACCTTGACCTGCCACACTAATGCTTTAGTTTGGTACTTAAGTTTTTTGTCAAGTTTATTTACTATAAATTTTTTAAAAACTTTAGTTATAGTAACCTCAAAAAATTTTTCAAAGTTTTTAAATCGTACACTTCACAATATTCAAAAATTTACACATTTCAAAAATTTTTTTAAAAAAATTCGACAGTAAACTACAGTAAAGTTTTAGACAAACACCCAAAAACCTCAGTTACCAAACACTGGAAAACCCTTCAAATTCACAATATATGCTTTTTATTGTGATCTTTCTCAAGTTTAAATTTACATTGGATTGCAATGATCTCAGAATATCCCTAAACATTAAAAAAAAAATTATCATATTCGAGAATGTTAAAAAAAACGTGGATCAATTCAGGTATGATCCGACAAACATTAGAAAATTCCAAAAGGCAAAGATGGACGATTTATAAATTGCTCAAGGAGCTGCCAAATCGATATGGTTGGTAAACTATATTATTCATAACAACACAAAAATGCTTCCTGCAGTGAAAAAAGCTAGTAGTTAGTAATGAGAACGAGCACCCTTTACCTAACCCTTTTCCATCCCAACGAAGAGGCGTGCTCTTCTTTCTTTCTTTCTTTCTTGGCCGGCTGCGTGTTCGTAACTTCCATCGACAGTCAAAGTCGCCAATAATACTGCCAACCTCTTCAATCTTGCTTTCTTGGTGACAAATGGATATTTGCATGAGGACAAATAACATGCTTCTGCGAAGGACGTATGGAATGGTTTTCTCTATTTGGATTGCCTTGATCTTACTTACTACGGAACCTTCATATTTAATTTGGATTTTACTCAATCATTCCGCTTCAAACTAAGTTTTGTTCTTTCTTTTTGAAATTTTAGTCACACCACACAATTTTTTTCTGTTTCGACTCTGTGTCTGGCAATAGGCAATATTAAGCCCGTTCATTAACCTTTAAGCAATACGTTATCATTGAAGGTGATGCTCAAATGATCCTTAACTCCATCCAGTGTCAAGAAGGTGATCAATCAAGCATTCGAGTTCTAATTGATGATAAATTGTTACTGGTCTTCAGTAATTCTCAATCTGGAAAGCTTCTTGGACTCCTAGGAAATATAATAGTGTAGCTCACGAGCTGGCACAGTATGCTATTTCAATTCCCGATGGCCTTGTTTGGGTCGCGGTTTTTCGTCGGAAAATTACGTCGTTTTCTATGATCATATTTTTCTATTATTTTTTTTTCTCACATACATCAAATCGCTACAGTAATTTTTTCATGAAAAATCATGAAAAATACAATCCAAACACAACCTTTGTATTACTTGCTCTTTGTGTGGGTCTTTCAATCAATTCATGTATAAATCATCTCATGTTGCTTAAAAAGAATGTAACGGCAAATCAAAGAGAAAATGCACAAAAAAGGTGTAATTTGTTTTTATCATTCATAGGTAACTTAAGACACTATTAATATTTCTTGCCTTTCATTTAAGTACCATATCGTGTTGTGTGTCAAAAAATTCGTGGTCATTGTATTCTGTAGTTGTCAATTCAAGAAATTGACCCGTTCTTATTGGACAATAGTTTGGTTTGTGATTTTCTACCCAAAAAAATTGTTACGTTATTCATGAATATATTTTTTAATTATTTTTTTTATCTCATTACATTATTCGTGAATATATTTTTTAATTATTTTTTTATCTCGTATACATCAAATCGCGATAATATATATTTTTCTTTTTACTAAAACTGCTAAAAATAACAATCCAAACAGACAAATTTTCAGTTGGACAAGGTCAAAACAGTTCAAATTCTAGTACTATTTTAATTCAAATTAAGCCGTCTCAAAAATCAATTCCTAATATGTGTAACAAGTACCTTATCTTTTCATTAAGGTGTCCAATTGAGTAATTTAAAAGTTAATGTGGACAAAAATAATCAAATACTTCTTAGGAGAGATGCCCCCGACTTGACTAAACTTTTTCTCTTATTCTTTGCCAATCAGAGTTAACGTCTGGGACCACCTGCAATCTCTTTCCCCTTAAAATTCAGCCCGTCACATTAACATTTGGTAAAGTTTAAAACTAAAGTTCAAGTAGCATTCAAATTATAAAGGCTCCTTTAGACTGCTTTCGGATGAAACTTTTCATGCTGTCTTATGGGTCCTGTTTGGAGCGCTACTTTTAGGAGTTTTTTAGAAAAATATACTGTAGTAATTTGATATATGTTAATTTAAAAGGCAATTAGAAATGTTTTACAGAAAACATAAAAATTATTGTGCAAAAAAAAAATCATAGTCTTTTTTAAAATGACCAAACGTTATAACAAGTCTAAATAATTTGAGGGGGGAAAAACTTTTTGATCATGAGTCTGTAAATTAAAATTTAAGCAATTACATTTTGGAAATGATCTCATTCAATTTTAGGAAGTAATTCTTCTGTCCTAATTCACTCCAAAACATTTAATCCATGCAATATATGCAATTTAATTAGCTCCAAATCAAACCATGCTCAAAACTGTTAGAATTGCGACATATGCGATCCATATGACTTATTCTAAGTTGATTGATAGTTTGATTGATTAATTGACATTTAGCTAGTAAGTATCTCCTATTAATGACGTCTTCAATAAATTATATTAGAATACATCATACGATATTATTCTCAATCATGATTCATAGTATGATTTCCTTATGAAAGAAAACTTGCTATTTATTTACAAGTTACGATCCCTAACTGACCTATACATAACTTGTAATGCTCTATCCATCCTAGCGTTTACACAAAAAACAATTAGCGGGAGGCAAGTAATTCTATTACTATACTGCTACTTATTACATGTACTAGGGAGAAATAGCCCGCGCGACGGGCGGGAATTAGGTGCTTGTGATTCCAGATAATTAATAATTATTGTTTAATATTTTGTAGTATAAGAACTAAAGTATGATGATTTTATCATGTGATTTTAATAGAAAAATCATAAGTTACATAGTGAGTTAATACAAATAATGTGCAATAAGACATCCTTATTGTTATACTATATAAGAATCCGTTGTGATCAAAGGTTATATTTGAATTTCAACCGTAAAGATAAGAGTAGTTTGAAAATATAAGAATGTTTGAAGTGCAATTGAAAAGTATTCAAAGATCTCTTCTAAAACTTATCCAAGATGATAAAACATTTTAAAGTATCAATTGGACCCTTCATCTCTCGAATCTATATATGTTCGTGAAAGATCTCTCAGGCAATGCTTCTGATTTCTCTCTTGACTTAAGCTCAACCTGAATTATCAAGTCAAGTTTATCCATCAATCACTTTGCGTCCAATCTAATCTAAAATAATTTTATTTTTTACTAACTATTTATATAATTTAGTGGGTATAATACGACTTAATCACATGTTTCTTACAGAGATAATAATGCCCAAAAATGATAGATAGATAAGAAACTTAAGTGGTCTTTTTCAAAGTTTTGTAAAAACTATTCAGATTTGATGTTTTTTACTAGGGGCATTTCTTTATAATCTCATAAATAAGTTCAAATCTGCATAATTGTTAAAAATTTGAATTGAAACTATCTTGATTATAAAAAATTGGTGCAAATAATATTTTCTAAATTTGAAATTGTAGAAAATGGCAAGTAAAATCAGAAGAAATTCCTCATATGAATTCGAATTGCAAACTATAGGTAGAAACTGCTTAATAATATTTTTCAATGTTTACTTGTTTAAGTATCCAATATAACATCTTTACTTAATTGACTCGTTTGAATTATGAATAATGGTTGTTTCAATCAAATCAAGAAACATTATTTATCATTGTACAACATACAATTATGAGTAAATGAATTAATACAATGCAATCAAAATGGCGTTGTAGGTAAAGTATTTAAACTCATCAAGTTCCACTACAAATTCTTTTACATAGCACAAAAGTAAAATTTTTGTATTTCAAACTATATAAACAGTATAATACAAGAACGAGATCATAACATGGAAAGCAAATAGAGTGCAAATGACATCTTAGTATTATGTAGCATGATTAATTTTCTTTTTTAGTTTCAATGAAATACAAAATTCTAAGTTAATAAATTTTACAATCATAAAATTCCCAATTAAAATAAACACAAGCTGAATTCCAAATCATATTACATGAAAAAATAACTACTTGAACCATAATTGCTGGAATGTAGTCAACAAATTCCTGGAGTCAAGAATAATATGAGAAAGTTCATGAGAAATAAGGTTATTTGTCTTAAATAAAGAAATAATACCTTGGCTGAGGAGGAGAAGATGATAAAATTGCTTTTTTGATTATTTTAGAAAGTGACAACATTATCTCAAATTGTATTTTGACCAAAGACAGAATCTCTGGAATCTACTGAGAAAAACAATACAATTAGTCAGTTTTTTAAATTAGAAGTATCAAAAGGCAAACTATATGGAGTTATTGAATAAACCAATCATCAGGGAAAAAAAACTACAATCTAAGAAGACAAACCTAAAGAACTCACCTCAATTTAAAGGAAAATTTATGCATTCCACCAAATATTTAATAGTCATAATAAAATCAAAGAGGTGAAACCGAAAAAGAAGAAAGGGTATCGGCTAAACATGGGGACTGGGAACACCTAGAGTAGCTTATCCCACATCGGGTCGGGAGGTTGGGTTAGTTGGGTAGATAAGTCCTTGGGGTTGTGCCAAGAGTTGCCGGCTTTTGGTATTAATTCTGGGATTAGGTTTATTTCATTCGGCAAAAGTCAATTACTTTGAGTCGAAAAAAGACAAACTGCTCGTTAGGATTAGCATGGTTAGTTCATGTGCCGGGGTTCTTAGCTTAGGTTGGGAACACCTAGAGTAGCTTATCCCACATCGGGTCGGGGGGTTGGGTTAGTTGGGTAGATAAGTCCCTGGGGTTGTGCCAAGAGTTGCCGGCTTTTGGTATTAACTCTGGGATTAGGTTTATTTCATTCCGCAAAAATCAATTACTTTGAGTCGAAAAAAAAAACATGGGGACATAAATATGATAATGATTGTTCAGATAATAATTAAGTTAATTAATTGTAATTAAAATCCAATTATATAAACATCCAATTAATTCCTTAACGGATGAGAAATATTTCAGGAAATTGGAGAGCTTGGATGTTAGTATAATAAATGATTAAAAGGACTTTTATGTAATTCTATCAAAATACAAGCTTTATTCAGTTGTACTTGATACTCAATTTGACACCAAATATTGTAACATACCAAACCTACCCCTAACCTTAAATGTCTGAAAGGTTATATAAGTAATTATAGTGAAATTAAAGTTATAATGACTTGTACTCAATGTTCCAATTACTCTTCAAACACTCTCACATTTCCAAAATAGCCTCACCCCTGCGGTTGAAATCTAGTCTTAAACTCGTTCTTATATAGTATAAGGATATGTATATTTTTTATCATTCTACACGAATTTAAGAATCTTTTAGACTAAGTGGCATTAGATGCACATTACATATAATAGAATAGCAGTTAGTGTGATTCATGCATCTAATCTAATAGTGTACAAAATTTGTTACACTAAGGATATAAAAATGATTAATCTTTAAAAAAAAAAGAAATAAAACGTGAATACTATATGGCTTGAGTCCAAGTCCGTAAGTACTCGTCGATATGTATAATTCAAAAAATTGTTGTATTTATGCATTTTAAGGGTAAATTATCTTTTATCCCCATGTGATTTGGTGCTTTATTACACACCCACCTTATGATTTAAAATTCTATAGATAAACCCCTCACGATTTGGGCTAAAGTGTTACCATTAGTTTTAAACCACTAATTTTTTCGTTAAAACTAATGATTAATAGTAAAAAGTCAAAATTAAATTAATAAATTAACAAATTTACCTTTTCATTATTTATTTTTTCCTCCAAACATAAAAAAGAAGAAATTGAAATAAAAATAGATAAACAAGAACTAGAAAATACCATTAAATATTTGGTTTAAAAAACTATAATGACATTTATAGTCAAAAAACATTTTGTATTTTTTGTTTCTTATTTCCCTTCCATCTTTTTTGTTTCTTGATTATTTTTTTTAATTTCCCTTCCATCTCTTTTGTATTTGGAGAAAATTAGATTTTATAAGCCAAAATATAGGTTTTCAATATAATCTCTTCTCCTCCCTAGAGAGAGAGAGAGAGAGAGAGAGAGAGAGAGAGAGAGAGAAGGAAGAAAAAAGAAAACAAGTAGTGAAAAAGGTGAATTTGTCAATTTATTAGTTTAACTTTGACTTTTACTATTGACCGTTAATTTTAATGAAAAAATTAGCGATAGCACTTTAATCCAAATCATGAGAGAGTTATATATAAGTTTTTAAACTACAGGGAATTATGTGGTAAAGTACCAAATTATGCAGGGGAATAAAAGGTAATTTACCCTACATTTGAATAATACTTTAAAAAAAATATTTATATTCTTCATACAACCTTATAAAATACATAATCAAATTTTGGCACAGTATACTTCTCAAATTATACTTTAAGTTTGGAAAAAAATGTTAAAATTTGTGTAATAATAATGACATCTCTCCCCAATTATATATAAAGCAGTAGCTATGTATATCATAACTTTATGGATTTATGCATGTAAACATAATAAGGTGATAAAATCTTTGTTTGGATTGCATTTTTTTTGGATTTTTTGTTACAAAAATTGCTGTGGCGATTTGATATATATAAAATAAAAAAGTGATTGAAAAATGTGTCCATGAAAAACATAGCAATTTTTCTTTGAAAATCTGCAATCCAAACACAACCTTAATAAATTTAATATTTGATACACAAGAACAACAATTAGAAGCGGTTTAATCTTTAAAAATTGTAGTAATTTTATCTATATTTTGAGTTTTGTAACTTTTAAATATATTCGTACCATTCAAATATAAATTTATATGAGTAATTTTGTTGAAGTCATATTTTTATGCCAAACTTTTGATTGTATTTTCAAAAGAAAATCCAACTATGTTTTACCCACTGCATGTTTTGAATTTTATTCGTGTTTCACAGCCAAAATGCAAGAACCATATAGCAGTATTTGTCCGACAAGATACGGAAAACATGCCCACGATGTTTCCTTTTCAAAGGAAGCCCAAAGCGGACCCCAAAGAGGAAAATCTTCAGTCAACTAACGATGCTTTCCTGCTAAAAAACCATCTCACCTGTCTTCACCAAGAAGATAACCAGAGAAAATTAAACATCCAAATGTTAGACAGAACCCTTGAAGAATGAGCTGCATCATCATCAAGCCTCATTTCTTCCAAAATTTCCTCTTCTTCGGCTCTTTAGCCCTGTTTGTTACAAACTTTGCCGTAGCTTTTGACGTCCTAACTTCAACAGAGCCCCTGACCAAAGACCAAACGTTAGTTTCATCCGGTGAAAATTTTGAATTAGGCTTCTTCAGACCTGGAGATTCAAACAAATGGTATGTTGGAATATGGTACAAGAAGATACTAACGAGCAAGACCATTGTTTGGGTAGCAAACAGAGACAATCCTCTGACAAACTCATCTGGGCTGTTGAAGATTGGTGATGATGGCAACATCCAAATTCTTGATCAAGCTGCAAATACAATATGGTCCTCAAATCTATCCAGGGTAGGCAACACTGTAGCACAGCTGCTAGACTCTGGAAATTTCATACTACGTTACACAGACGACGCTGATCCTGAAAATTATCTCTGGCAAAGCTTTGATCACCCCACTGATACATTGTTACCTGGGATGAAGCTCGGGTGGGACGCGAAAACTGGCCTAAACAGATACTTGACATCATGGAAAAATGCCGATAATCCATCTTCAGGTGACTACAGTTTTGTGCTTGATATTCATGGGTTCCCCGAATGTTTCTTGATGAATAAAGGCAACAAATCGTACCGCAGCGGACCCTGGAATGGCCTCAGATTTAGCGGTGTCCCAGAAATGAAGGCCAGTAGTCCTGTCATGACCTTTTTATTTGTGAACACTAAAGACGAGGTATATTACTCATTCGAGTTGCATAATGCATCATTGTATTCAAGATTGGTTGTGTCTTATAGTGGAAGTCTTCAGAGATTTACTTGGATAGATGATAGCAAAATATGGAACCTTTTTTGGTACGCCAGAAAAGATCAGTGCGACGCCTACAAAGAATGTGGAAATTATGGTGTATGTGACACAAATGCTTCGCCAGTTTGCAATTGTATGCAGGGATTTGAGCCCAGAAATCCACAGGCTTGGAATCTGAGAGATGGATCCGATGGATGTGTCAGGAAGCATAAATTGGATTGTGGGAATGACGGGTTTTTGTCACTGCATAACATGAAATTGCCGGAGAGTTCTAGCACGCTTGTGGTCTCCGGCATGAGTTTAGCCGACTGTGAAACGATGTGCCGGAAAAATTGTTCTTGTACGGCTTACGCTAATTCGAATCTTACAGCTGGTGGTTCTGGATGTGCTATTTGGGCCACGGACCTTCTTGATATGAGGCTGTATGCGGCGGATGAAGGTGGCCAAGATCTGTATGTTCGGGTGGCAGCTTCAGATTTAGGTACGTTTCTTTCAATATAATTAGCTGCAAATTTTGATGCGTTCGGTTCAATTTTTGCCAGAAAGTTGGACTAATTTGTCTTCGGCCATAAATGCATTGCCTATCAAATTATAATTGCATTAGCCGTCCATTATGTTTCATAAGTATTAGTACTTATATTTTAGAAAGGATGGTGGGGGGTGGTAACTGCTAAGGAAAGAAGAAGGAAGAGAGGAGAAAAGAATGGAAACAGACCCCAGAAAAAAATAAAGTACTATATTGTTTTAACTCCTAAGATGAAAGGAAATACGCTTTAGATTCTAATTTCACTACTATAGTGCTAATATAGAGTTTAAAAAGTTTTTGGGGTGGTTAACGGCGAGATATTAGGGGTCTGATAATGAAAATGAAAGTTTCAAGTGTATTTGCCAAAAATGAAAAAAGTTCGACGGGTATTTATGCAAAACTTGGGAATTTTTTTTTTTTAAAAAAAAAAAAAACCAATTTCACCTATTTTTGACTAATGTTAAGTTAAAATTTTTGTTCATAATTATTTATGTGTATTGGCAGTGGGGTTCTCGCCAAGTGTTTTTAATTTTTAATGTGAGAACAAAACGTTTGGTGCAACGCTTTGAAAAATTGATGAAGTTGGTAAGTGGATAATTGAATAATACCTATCGGCTATCGCATATTTTTTTTTCTGAGAAAACAGCGACCAAAGAATGATGATCGTTTATTAGTAGTGTTTCCAGCTATACTTCTTCTGACATGGCCGCCATCTTTATCTTTTATTGAGAAGTACTGTAGTATTTAGCAGATAGGGGAATCGTATCAAATATACTACTATATCAATCATGGCCGGGCGGTCGCCATCCAAAATTCTACATCAAGCACCCGATTGCAAGTAGTTTTAGGCTTTTGGCATTAATCCTTTTTATAAAGGCCCCTCCTTTACTGTTCAGAATTTTTTCAGATTTGGGATTTGCTTTCTTGCACTGAATAGCTAGGTAGAAATTCTGAATAAACTATGATCATAGCTAGCTAGGTGGATATTGTGGAGGATTTGTTTTGAGTTTAGTATACCATTATTTTGCTGCCTTAAAATTAGTCGAAGAAAATGGTGAAATCGCATGAACAAAACAGAAGCCAATATTATTAATAAACTAATTAGAAATCGTTCGGCACGATTTGCTTGACAAAGAAAATTGAACTAATGTAAAAAAATGCATGCCAATTCTTACCCATTAATTATTTTTGAAGCAGTTTAGTCAGCCCATCGGAGTAGCCTTGACTTCACCTAACCCAAAATTAATTCTTGAGTTTCCGTATCTAATAAACCACTACTACTAAACAACAAAATAGACTTTTATGAAGTGGCGCTCTTATTTTCAAATCCACTCTCAAAAATCTTAATTCGAAATGATAATACATAATTATGTCCATCACATATTGCCAAACACAAGGGTTTCTCTCTCCAAGTAATACCTTTCTCTCTTTTCTTTTACAATGCAAAAATTCTTTTTGTTTTCCTTTGCCATAAGAATGTTCAAGAATTGATAACTGACAATATTGGAATCTAGTCAAAGTCAGGATCAATATAAAGGGTCTATTAGTGCATAATTAGTATTGAACATTATGCAAATCAATCACTATGATTAGAGCTAAGCCAATAATATTAATATTAGGGTCATAAATCATGCAATGTGTAGTTTCTTGGGTCCACGAGGAATCCTTGAATAGCTGCGTGACGTTCTAGAGGCGGGCTCAAGCTGAATTTTCGATTTTGGAGATATCCCACCAAGAATTTTCAAATAAACCGGGCCCTCTTAGTAATAAGTCTATATTTAACGCTCACCTGAATGCGACGGGACCTAATTCCAATTCATATGTTTCTTCTGCTAAAACCCCATAGAAATAGAAAAGGGTCTGAAAATTACCCAATCTTCAACCGCCATTGGCCGACGTTGTTGACCTGGTGGCAAGGGTTGGTAAGTTAAGTAGCGGTACTTAACTAACAAGACTGTCCGAGCATGACTTGCAATCCATATTATTGTGTTTGGATGGTAGATTATTTAGGACAATTTCCTTTTTAAAACTACTTCAGTACTTTTTTATGTGACATATGTGAAAAAAAGTGAATAAAAAATGTATTTATGATGCAAGTAAATAAATTTACGTAAATAATTCACTATCCAAACAAACTGAGTCCTGTATTGCATAATATTTCATTCCAAAAACAATAATATTTATTTGTCGCCATTAAATTCAGGCCATAAAATGGTCCAAGTCTCATGGATGGATTTTTACAACTTTGACATTTAAGTGCAAGAAAATATCATCTTCTTTGGAAGTCAAAAGAAAAACTTTTCACATTTAAGTTGATCTCAAAACTTTTTAACATTAAAGGGATTATGTGGCAATAGATGAAATCATTGGGGGTTATATGTAATTTACCCCACGTTAAATTAATGAGTCATGACTGGAGTTCTGGAACCCGTTTTCTGCGATTGGAGATCCATAAGTATGACTAGTCTTCCGAACGTAGTTCTCTGGCTGTAATTTATGGATGAAACATTTCTAATATACAATCAATCTTCAACTTTTCATCCAACCTAATAATGCCATAGGAAACATCCCCTTTGCGAAACTGAAGACACCAAGTGTTAACGGTCAACTTAAAAGTATACTGCTCGTAAATGGTCCCAAAATTTACTTCACCTTCTCTTCTTTGCAGTTCTTTTTTATTTTTTTTTCCACTCCTCCTATCGTCAGAACTGTTGACAAAAAAATTGAACTAAGCTGCTTAAACTTTTAGTAGTTGTAAAAGATGATTAGTTAGTTGGTAACTAGATTAGAATTGATATCAAAATTAGTGTAGGAAATAAAGTTTAGCTTAATCCACTGATTTGATACCATACTCTAGCCTTTCTACAAGTGTGACAACTGTTTATTTTGGTTGACATAAAGCATTATTTTTAGGGATCCACAGCAGTTAATTAAAGATTTTTGTAAACATTTTCTGGGGAGGGATTGAGTGACCTCATGATTCATGACATAAGAAAAGATTAGGCTAGAAAATGGTATCTGACTAAGCCACCTTGCTAAGGTGCAAAGTTGAACAAAAACTCAGTCAAGTTAATTTGTTGATGAGCAAGCATATTGACCGATGACATTTGCTTATGGTGTACTACAAAGAAGGGTTAAAGGCAGAAGAAGGCAAAAGCGATCTCAAGACTTTGTTTGGTGAACAAATTCTTGAGGCTCTTTTGGGCTCAACGACCACTACAGAGACTAATAGCATAGTATATGGACAAGTACGGGGATATAGCTAGCTTATCATTGCTTGCGATTTTTAACATCCACTTCTTTTTACCAACATGCTTTGCATCAAATGACACCCTAACTCCATCCCAACCACTCAACGCAGGACAAGCTCTAATTTCAGCTGGACAAATCTTTGAATTAGGATTCTTCAGTCCTGGTAATTCAAGTAGATTGTACATTGGAATCTGGTACAAGAATGATATTGATCATAGAGTTGTTTGGGTCGCAAATCGGGAAAATGCACCGTTAGAAGGTGACTTGGCTTCAAAGCTGATAATCAGCAGCCATGGGAATCTAATGCTTATAGATGGAAAGCAAACTACTGTCTGGTCAGCAAATGCCCCTGTCCAGTCTAATAGCACAATAGCAGTGCTCCAAGATGACGGGGATTTCAACCTTAAAGATAATGTTTCAGGGGAAACTATATGGGAAAGTTTTTATTATCCTACTGATACAATTTTAGCAGGCATGCAGATAGGATTCAACAGCAGAACTGGACGGGAAAGCTTCTTGACAGCCTGGAAAAATGAGAATGATCCGGCACCTGGAAACTTTGTTTATGGACTCACAGACGAAAGACCAGCACAGTCTGTGGCATGGAATGGTACAAAACCACACTGGAGATCAGGTCCATGGGATGGATGGAAGTTCACTGGTATACAAGACTTCGCCGAGGGGTATTCAAATGGACTATTTGTGACACCAAATAATCATATGGGAGCTGCATCCATGACTTTCAACAACTTTGACAATTCTGATGTTTCAATTGGTGTAATTTCAACGACAGGTATGGTAGAGGTATGGTACAAGGAAAGAGAGCAAAATAAATGGAACTTTATATTTGCAGCACCTCAGGGTCCATGTGATGCATACGGAACTTGTGGACCCTTCAGTGTTTGTAGCAGGAACCATGCTTCAACTTGTGAGTGCCTGAAAGGGTTCTTGCCTAGGTCAAATGAGGAATGGAGTAAAGGAAATTGGACAAGTGGATGTGTAAGGCGTACAGAGTTGATGTGCAATGAAAACAGAAGCAACTTAAGCTTCAATGCATCTAAACCGGATGGCTTCTGGAAGGTCGGTCAGATGAAATGACCAGATCATTATGTGTATTTGTATGATAAGACTGACCAAGGGGGGTGTAGCCAATGGTGCCTGAGCAACTGCTCTTGTCTGGCATATGCATATCCAGATGGTATAGGGTGTCTGGTTTGGGTAACAGATCTTATCGACATGCAGCAATTCGTGAAGTCTGGGGAGGATCTATACCTCCGCCTTGCTAATTCAGACCTAGGTAACTTAGATCTAGTCTGGACTGGTACTACATAATATAGAATTATGTTCTTCAACAATTTGTTTAATGTAATTTTCAGGAGTAAAAAGTAGACATACAGCAATCAGCGTCAGCTTCGTATCCATATCGGTTGGTTTCCTCTTGGGTGTGTTAATATGTTGTGTCCGCAGATGGAAAGCTAACAGAAGAGGTAAACATGTTTATCAACTACTCTTAGCGTGTAGAGATATTAACACACTGAATATGATTCAAACTACGTATTATATTTGATCATTTAGCTGCAAATCAGTATGAAAGATACTTACGCTTACCTTCGTTTTTCCCAGAATTCTAACTACTCCATTGCTAATTTCAAGCCAACTTATATTTACATCTCCGAAAAGGTTAATCATCACTGATATTCTTATGCATACAATCACAGACAGACATCTCAGGGAACAAAGGTCAGAGACAAGAAAATGGTTCACAATAAAGAGCATCAGAAAAAGGGGCAAAGTAAAGGGTCACTTGGCTGACAAAAAGGGCACTTTGATTGATACTTCACAGGACAATATCCAAGAAAATCCTGCATCATCAAAGGGGTCATCAGAGCTTCCAATAGTTGATTTCAATAGGATAAAGATCGCTACCAACAACTTCAGCGAAGCTAACAAGCTTGGTGAAGGAGGATTTGGCACAGTTTACAAGGTAATTATCATTCCAAGCATCTAAACAGGTACCTGCAAACATTATATTAGCTTAAGGCCTGGGTGACATTGTTGAATAATTTGTGAATTTCACGTAGGGAAGCTTAGAAGATGGACAGCAAATAGCTGTGAAAAGGCTTTCGAGTCACTCAGGACAGGGCATGGAGGAGTTCAAGAATGAAGTTATATTGATATCTAAACTTCAGCATAGAAATCTTGTAAGGCTGTTGGGCTGCTGCATTCAAGGAGAAGAGAAAATAGTAATTCTTGAGTACATGAAAAACAAAAGCTTGGACACTTTCCTGTTCGGTAAATATTGTTCCTTTACTTTACTGAGCTATAATTAATTTTCTTTTCTTTTTTTCTTCAAAATTTTTTGCTTCAGGCCAGGAGTTTTTCGTAAGTTCTAATGTACTGTTTTGCAATGACTATCGCTAGTTGGGATCGAACTTTTGCGACTAATCAAAGTGCACAATGGTCGGTCGAGCTTATAAAATACCTCTGACTGTACATACTTTAAACAAGTTTATGCATGATCAGAAAACCAAAATCAGAGCTATAATTATATTTCTTCCAACATTTATCCACAGACAAAATCATACAGTTTTTCATAATTATCTTTCATGCAATATTTTGTTTCATAATTATCTTTCATGGAAGTCCATATGCAAAATCATATTTATCATTCATACTAGTATATAGAGCATTGTGTGTATTCGTCTGCGTACATTGAATGTCACTTGGAACATGTAATATGGACTTTGCCTTTTTCTCTCGTATATTGAATTTGTGTCTTGGATAAATGGGCAGATCGAACAAAAAGGCTGGAGCTAGATTGGGCCAAACGCTTCAGCATCATTCAGGGGATTGCCAGAGGGCTTCTCTATCTCCATCGAGATTCTTGTTTGAGAATTATTCACAGAGATATGAAGGCCAGCAACATTCTCTTGGACGATGACATGAATCCGAAAATCTCAGACTTTGGACTGGCGCGAACTTTCCGTGTCACACAGGAATTAGCCAACACTGGCAGGGTTGTGGGAACTTTGTAAGTCTTCTTTTTGCCTCTAGTCAGGAGATTCTGCTAATTCATGCCCACGATTGCCCAGTGCTAGTGCTCTTTGGTGCTTTTGTCTGCACAGGGCTGGGGAGGGTTTGGGCGGCTAGCCATAGCTACAATTAGTACGATTATTATACTCCTTTTTATGATTTACCATGCAATCGCATAACTTTGTTGTATTTCATGATGTACAACAAAAGTTATGCGAGTGTATGTCAAATCATGAAATATAAAAAAGTTACAAAGTCATAGAGTGTACACTAAATCATGAAAAAAATACAATCGCCCCAATTGCACCTAAGATCAATTGTACCTGCCCCATTTCGTGGTTAGCGGCTTTGTTTTCTGGATTAGTTTCGTCTTAGTACATTGGTGCAAATTTTCAATCTAGTCTCTTGAGCTGAAAATTATTCAATTTGGTCTTGACATGAGCAAAGCATATCAGTTTGGTCTCTGAAATTGAGGAAGTCTTGTTTTGGTATTAAAAATCTTAATTTTGCCATTCAAACTGAAAAAAAAAATTCTCAATTTTATCATCCAATTTGAGAAAATTATTCTAAATTAATCACCTAGCCCATTTGGCACTGTTGAATTGATTGTGAAAGCATCAAACTACAAATTGAGTTCAATGAGCAAAGTTATTTTAGCTGTTTTAATAAAAGTACTAGTGTTTAGCTTTTTTTGATGATAAACGTGCGTGTATCTGCTGGTTTCTTGAGATTTTAGCAAAGAACAACTTGAAGGTTTCATGAATGAAAAATACGTGCAATCATTTAACTCAACAAAAGAATGTCCTTTTCTTCACTTAAATTATTCAGGCAAAACAATTTTTGATACGATGACAAAAAACGTAGTTTGAAGTTCATTAGTTGTCATTCGATTCATTAAGGACACAAGAATGCCCTTGATTCATAGAGCAGGACTGCAGATATATCGTCGTTTAGCGTCTAAAGCCTATCTGCCATGTTAAAATAGAAATAAACTTAAAGATAATAATGTGCTTAAATATAGATGTGAAATGTTGCTAATCTTTTCATGTTCTTTTTAATTGCAGCGGTTATATGTCTCCTGAATATGCCATGAGTGGGCAATTTTCGGAAAAATCTGATGTTTATAGCTTTGGAGTTTTGCTGCTAGAGATTGTCAGCAGCAAGAAGAACACAGGGTTCGGATATCACGAAAAATATTTGAACCTTCTTGGTTGTGTAAGTGCATATTGCTTACATGTTTACTTATAGCAAGATCAGATGAGAGTTCATTACGTTTAACAAGAAAGACAAGCCGTCAAAAACGGTTTCTTAACATTTGGAAATTAATGGTTCTTTCAGGCATGGCAATTGTGGAACGAGTGCAAAGCTCCAGAGTTGCTGGATCAATCACTGGCAGATTCTTGCACCCCAACAGAGGTAAAGAGATGCATTCAAATCGGGCTTCTTTGTGTTCAAGACCATGCTGCAGATCGGCCTACAATGTCAAATGTAGTTCTCATGCTAAGCAGTTCTGAGAGTGAAATGGAACTTCCTCAACCAAGACAACCTACATTTACGTTTCAAAACTTGCAAGAATCCGATCGTTTTCAATCAGCCATTCGCTTATGCAACGGTTCCATAAACGAAATCAGTATTTCAATGGTTCAAGGACGATGAACCAAGGACGAGAGTCAGGAGACACAACAGTAACCTTAGAGAGATTACAAATTTTAGTGCGTAGCATATGTTTTCCGTAAGCAAGATTCAGATTGCTTTTGGACTTACTTAGCCTGTTGAGCTCCTTTTTGGTATATTTAGCCCCAGAGGTTTTTTCTTTTTTTGTGGGTAAAGAAAAAGAATCATTTTATTTTTGATGTAGAACTGAAGTTTATACACGGGGTAGCCCTTAAATAAAAAATTAAGGAAACAAATTAGTAGATCTTATCTAAAGGAATCCTCCACTCTAATGCAAGGTTTGGCATCCTCAACAACTTGTCATATAACTCGTTTGTGAAAGCTGAAGTTCCACTGTTTTGACACGTAAATGTCCCATCAGCATGCAAAAGCACCAAGTAAGGGGAAAACTGAACGTTCATGTTTTTGGAGCGCACATCATCAGGTACGATGATTGATTTATCAAATAACAAAAATTTTCAATATTTAACAATCACTCTGATCTCTTCTCCTCTCTGAAAATTGGCATTCGGTGGATAAACAATTTACTTCACAAAATTCAGGGTTGGCCAAAAATACATTCAAATTTAAGCACCTCCATTTTCAACTAGCATCCACAGTGTACAATTTGCAAATTGCATGGAAATCATGCACGTAAAAGTTCCCATTTCCTCTCATCAGATCAGAGATAAAAAAAGTGTAAATTACATACAACCTCCTGTGGTTTCATCTATTGCTACATGACCCCTCTAATATTTTAAAATATCCACTTTACCCCCAATAATTTTTGGAAACTTGATAGAAAGTAGCTTATGTAATGTCATTAGTTGAAATAGTAATAGTTTCCTTACTTAAATTCTAAATCAATCAATGGTTTAACCATCTTGTATAAAAGTATAGGGAGATTATGTAGACAAATGCAAAATTCACAGGAGGTAAAGTGAATATTTATACAAATCATAAGGAGGTTATATGGATATTAAGATTTTATCATATGCACTTTTAAAGCGTGTTTGATATAAATGCCTTAACTCATATGCATTCCATCCATTTTTTCACTTTGTATATAGTCACAGAGGGGTTATATGGCTATTTTAAAACCTTAGGGGGATCATCTAGCATTATATAAAATCACGGGGTAATAAGTAATTTATCCAAAAAAATCTAACTCTTACAGAAGTTCTTTTGATTATTGTCTACGAAGGAAACACTTCCAATTTACAAGCAACCTTCAATTCATGAAGCTGAAGACTGATGTTCAAGTGTAAAGTACTTCCACCAGTCCAACTTTAATAATGCTGAAGGTGCCTGTTACTTGCCGTGCTTAAACACCAAGTAACCAATGGTCAACGACTCAACTAATTAAGCTACATATTATGTAAATTGTTCAGTAATTCATATCCGCACTCTGTTTTGGCTTTTCTTTATTCTGCTTTACTCTTCATATCATAAGATGGATATTTTATTTCTCTATTCAACGATTTGAATGCCTGATCTAGCTGATGTACACGTTGCTAACTCTTTATTTTGGTTGACAGAGTGAACAACTAGGACAGGTGCAGGTTCCTTTCTGAAAAATGCTTAAGCTGAGAAGTAACAGAGATCAAGGCATTATCTTTTATGGAACCACCCCAGTCAATACTTAATAGCATATTTGTGCTCAAGATAATCTGGGTAGGGACTGAGTGATCTCATGATTATTGACATAACAATAGAATTATGCAAGGAAATGATATCCAATTATGCCACCTTGCAGTGCGCAAAGTTGAATAATAGAGTCGACTTCATTTATTTACCATGTATATTGACCATTTGTCTTCATTTCTCATGCTGTAGCAGACAAAAAAGGGCTAAAGGCAGAAGAAGAATAACAAAGAGATCTCAAGCATTCATTGGGTGCACAAATTCTTGAAGCAAACAGAAGAGGTAACTAATGTTCGCCTATTGCTCACAGTTTATTGGGAGGTTTTTTTTTTTTTTTTTGGTTAACAAGAGTATTAACACTGCAAATAGAAAAATATGACTTGAAGTACTCTTTTTTATCATATATATGTAAAGAGGGGCTAATTCCTATTGTTTAAACGCTTATCATCATTAAAAATTTCGTTTTTTTCTTATTTATGAAATGAAAAAAAAAAAAAAAAAACTTAACAGCGCTGCCCCAGAAATTTAACCATTCCTAGTGTCTACAACTCAGAAAAGGAACTGATTGATAATTTTGTATGCAGTTATTTTTGAGGTATCGGCAGTTATGCTTATAACGATCTTCAGAGCGAGGACGAGAAAATGGTGCATAATAAAGGGCATCAGAAAATTGTGCATGCTAAAGGATCTCGTGGTGTCTGAGAAGAAAAAGGGCACTTTGAGAGATACCTCACAAGATGATATCCAGGAAAGTCCCGCATCGGCAAATGAGTCATTGGAGCTTCCAGCGATCGATTTCAATAGGATAAAGATTGCCACCGACAACTTCAGTGAAGCTAACAAGCTTGGTGAAGGAGGGTTCGGCGCAGTTTACAAGGTAAATATCATTCCAAGCATCAAAACAAGTATCTGGACACTTGATTAGCTCAAGGCACAGAGAAAACTCATTAGTAAATTTCTTAACCGAATTCCACGCAGGGGAGATTAGAAGATGGACAGCAAATAGCCGTGAAAAGGCTTTCGCGTCATTCAGGACAAGGCATGGAGGAGTTCAAAAATGAGGTTGTCTTGATATCTAAGCTTCAGCATAGAAACCTTGTCAGGCTGTTGGGCTGCTGCATTCAGGGAGAAGAAAAGACAGTAATTCTTGAATACTTGAAAAACAAGAGCTTGGACAAATTCCTCTTTGGTAAATGCTCTCCTATTTCTTTGCTGAAATATTAGTGGCTTTTCTTTTTTGCTGATCTTTTACTTCAGCCCATAGAGTTTAATGTAAATTCCAATGCATACATCTGCCAGAGGATCAAGGGCTGCAAAGTTGGTACTCAATTTGCCCAACTGGTCAAACTGTACGATGGTCAGTCAAGTGTATAAAGCAAAGCTGATAATGTAAAAATCAAACAAGTTTTTGTATTCACGAACCTTTAACATAAAAGTGATCTACTTTATGCTTCATAATATTGTTTCATCCAATATTCTTGTACACACAAAATTATTATACAGCTACTGCTACCTTAATTTCCATACCATAACTTAATCACTTGAAAATTCAATCCATCCTCAACTCACCCCGCCTGTGATGCTTTCTTGGGTCTTTGGCAAGTTTTGTGAAAGCAAACACTTCTCATTTCATTTCAAAATAGTATGATCTGCATTGCCATCTCCCCAAATATATTCTAAGGTTTGGAGAATTCATGTGTTTGCATTATGTAGATGTCCCTTGAGCTCTAGAACCTTGTGCAAACTTAAAAAATAACATTGAAGCTAGATTTCTGGTTCTGTAATTTATCTCCAGTTAGAAACATACAAGAGTAGCTTTAAACTGCAACCAATTTGCCAAAAAGAGCAGCGTTTATTCTTCTCTTATCGTTGAACATCACTTGGTACATATTATGGACTGTCCTTTTGGACTCATAAATTAAATTGTGCCTGCGGACCGTGGACAATGTGCAGATCGAACAAAGAGGTTGGAGCTAAATTGGGAAAAACGCTTCAACATAATTCAGGGCATTGCCAGAGGGCTTCTATACCTCCATCGAGATTCTTGTTTAAGAATTATTCACAGAGATTTAAAGGCCAGCAACATTCTCTTGGATGATGACATGAACCCCAAAATCTCAGACTTTGGCCTGGCACGAACTTTCCAAGTCACACAAGAACTAGCCAACACCCGCAGGGTTGTGGGAACTTTGTAAGTCTTTGCTTTTCCTCAGTAGATTCTGATTATCTGCTAATAAATCCCGAAATTCCCCTGTTTGTTGGTGCTCTAGTTATGTTCATGAACAAATTGGTTAACTTTTTCGTGTATACATTAAAGCTTACACCTCCAGCAAGTAACCGTAGAGCCCGAAAAGGGAAAAAAGCTCTCATAGAATGCCCCTGATTTGGATAGCATGAATATTATCTCTCTGTAGCACCTAAAGGCTGTGTGCCCTGATTTCATGACCAACCAAAAAGAAAGAAACATAAAGAAAATTGATATCTATTACACGGATTAATGTGCTTAAATTACAGATGTGTGACATATATTAGTAACACATTTCATGTTTCAATGTAATTGCAGCGGCTACATGTCTCCAGAATATGCCATGGGAGGGGTATTTTCAGAAAAATCTGATGTTTACAGCTTCGGAGTCTTATTGCTGGAAATAGTCAGTAGCAAGAAGAATACTGGGTTTGGTTATCACGAAAAACATATAAGCCTTCTTGGTTATGTAAGTGCAAACTCATTCACTGTTTAAAATTAGCTTGATCATACAAAAGTCCAGTCATGTCTAAGAATTGAGATTACAAGATAAATAATATGACAAGCCTAACTACAGCTTGCTTACTCGAAATGGTTTCTTAACAATTGGAAATGGTTCATTCAGGCATGGCAATTATGGAATGAGTGCAAAGCTCCAGAGTTGCTGGATGAATCACTGACTAATTCTTGCACCCCATCAGAAGTAATGAGATGCATTCGAGTTGGGCTTCTTTGTGTTCAAGACCATCCTACAGATCGGCCTACAATGGCTAATGTAGTTCTCATGCTAAGCAGTTCTGAGAGTGAAATAGAACTTCCTCAACCAAGAGAACCTACATTTACATTCCAAAGCTTGCTGGAATCAGATAATTGTCAGTCAGGGATTAGTTTATGCAATGATTCCATCAACGAAGTCAGTGTTTCAATGGTTGAAGGGCGATGAATGGGTGATTTACACAACAGTCAAGAGACACACATCCGCAGATTATGAAATTTATTACTTATCAGATGCTTTCTGTAGGTGAATGTGAGTATTAAGAATAAAGGTGCTCTGCGAATAGCCTATTTAGTTATCTAAATCGATTTAGTTCACATAAAATCCTTATGCATTCGAAACATATTTTAAGACATAATTCAATTTGTTTCGGCTGTGTCTGTCATTCTGTTTTCATATCTGAATACTGAACTGAATTAAGTCTGCTGCGGGCATATTCTAGGAAGTGCATTTTTTGGTAGTTGAAGCAACAGAAACAAAGCTTCTTCGATGGATTTTGTCGAAGAATTCTCTTAAATTTTCTGACCGGTGTAGTGGTCACTTGGTAAATGCCAGAAAGATGTTTTCTCATCTCAGATAAAGGGCAGTCACTGTATTCAAATAGTCTCTGTGTTATAATGCCAAAAAGGATGCTTGTTGAGATAAAAGAAGATTACTGCTGTTAAAACTCTGCATTTGGTTACTAAGGTGAAGAAGAGGCAACAAAAGTAGTAATTATTTTCCGGAGACGCAGGAAAGTAATAGTAATTATTGTCAAATGGCTATATGATATGATATTCATACTTCTTAGAACAAATCAAAGTGCAGGTGGAAAGACTTTTGTATCTAAGTACCATTTAGGACTTACAAGAGGCTTTTGGCTACTCAAAGGAATAGAGCAGTTTGCCTGAGTAATAAGATCTTATTAACATATTCACTTATCAAATCAGAAAACAATGCAAGTATGCAACGCTGACAACTAAAGAGGTTTGATTTTATAAGAAGAGATTTTTTAATGTGTGTAAATAATGACAACTAAAGAGGTGAATAAGTAAACACATTATTTTGTGAATTTTTTTTTTTTTTTTTGCAAATATGACTATGGATGAACATTAAAACTTAATTTGTATTATGGTGCCTTCCTAACAAGTTCTCTTGATTCTATTTGATATTTTGGATTCAAGAACTATTGCCTATTTGGTGGGACAGACAATTCCCTAAAGTATCACATTACTAAACCAAATAAATTTAATATTTTGGACTTAAAAGCAAGGACAAGTCCATGTAATTTACGTAAAAACAGATGGAAATTATTAAGTTGGCATCAATACGGCTGTCAAAAAATAGGGAAAAAAAAGGTAAAAACACAATTTTCTCAAAAGGGAGCTGTGTCACTTGTCACAAAGATAGATAGGCTACTACAGTATTTGCACCATCTTTTTATCTTTTTATTGTATGTATAGGTAGATAGATATAATCAAACTAATCCACCATAATCTACTTCTAAGCATGTTTTAACAAGCAAGCAAGACATTAAAGACTTCATAAAAGAAGAACAGTAGCAGTAAGATACTGGATGATGTCATATCTCAATGTAGATAGAACAATAGTGATTGTTTGGTTAGAAAGAGAAATATCTGCATATGCAATTTTCTTGAGTGATTCAAAACACGATCTTTATCCTTATTCCCTCTTCTCTCCAACAAATATTAATTGTAACGATCCAACAATTATAACTACAATTGAAAGATCTTATTGTAAGACTAAATGCACTCCCAAAATGACTAAATCCAACCAAAGACGGTTAGCGATGAAACCAAAGATGTGAAACAAAACCAAAAAAAAAAAAAAACAATTTGAAAAAAAAAAAAAATTGCCAACATTGCTAACATTCAAAATAGCAAATATTATTGGTGTTACGACAAAAAGCTGTCAATTGTCTACAGGCAAATTTGCCAAATTTTTCCTTTTCGATGTTTCAATTGATTTGTGAAACACGGAAACTGAACTGGAACCATACAACAATTGATTGATTGGGTCAGGCAGACAAGTCCGAAACTCGTGCACGATGGGCCGAGTCATGCAACGTAAAACTGTCGACGAGTCCACTGCAACAGTAAAGCCACATGAAGTGTTTGACCGTAAGTGCATTAAATCTCCATTTGTGGGCCTGGTGCCACAGAAGAGAAGAGAAGTATGGTCGCTGTACCACCGCCTAAGTTTGGATTAAATGCCATGGCGGATCCCACCGTTCATTTTGCCAATGTTGGCCTCCTCCGCGTTTATTCCACCGGCCTTATGAACACGTTGATGATGATGGCAACTAGCAGCCGCCATCAAATCATAAACGTGGTGTCTCAATTTCTGCTAATTCAATGTTGTACTAGCTCCGACCTTTTAACTCTTTTACCGCAGTGAAAAAGTTTAATTTTGGGAAGAGAGCAACTAGTGCCTTGCCTGCTTAAGTTTGTGCTCAGAAGTGACAAATAAAGAAAGACAGCCTTTACCTTTCCAGTATGACTAAATACTTGTGTTCCATTCTGGTTTTAAGCCACCTCAAGGATTAACGCTGCTTGATGGGGTGGGAGATCGAGAGTTTAAATATGACCTTCCGTCAATTATCACAATATGTGATTTTTTTAAAAAATTCATATGGGTGTGATTTAGTCCTCCGTAGGTCCAGTTGAACCTCCCTCCTTAGATTAAGATGTGATTCAGTCCCCATTAATCCCCCAATAATTACCATATGGCTATTTGTACAACAATCTTCATGGTCAGTTCCAATTATTTTTTTCATTTATTGATTTTTTTTTCCTCTGAAGAGTTTGTTGGATGTGAAACCCAAAAAGTCTCCAATGACAACACCATTAAAATGACACAGAAAATTCTGCGTGGAATTCGACCAGATTAATGCAACCAATGATATCCAACTATTAACCCTGTTGTTCTGGTCCGATTACCGTAGCTGAATTTCCTAACAAAATAAACTCGGTGGTTGAATACTTCTTCAACCATTTCCTGTTGGCTCTTTTCCCAACCATGAATCCATGATTCATATTCGGATTGATTCAACCCTCATCATGGAATAGGAGCCACACACTCACACACACACAAAAAGACCCCAAAAACCTTGACCCTATCCAACTTAGTAATCATTGCATTCTGATTCACTAAGACGTTAAAACGAGTTTGGATAGATTAATGAATTTGTTGGAGGCGTTAGTTTACCTTCTAAAATATACCCTTTCTACTTCAGATTCCGACATTACAATTCCGCTTTTATCTAAATTGCGGCGTAAATGGGTTTTTATGTGGGTATTTCATTAGTAAATCTTTCACGACCTTGACCTGCCACACTAATGCTTTAGTTTGGCACTTGAGTTTTTTGTCAAGTTTATTTATTATAAATTTTTTAAAAATTTTAGCTACAGTAACCTCAAAAAATTTCTCAAAATTTTTAAATCATATATTTCAAAATATTCAAACATTTATACATTTCAAAATTTTTTAAAAAAACTTCTAAAGCAGACTACAGTAAAGTTTTAGACAAATACCCAAAAAACTCGGTTACCAAACACTGGGAAACCCGTCAAATTCACAATATATGCTTTTTATTGTGATCTTTCTCAAGTTTAAATTTATATTGGATTGCAATGATCTCAGAATATCCCTAAACATTAAAAAAAAATTATCATATTCGAGAATGTTTTTTAAAAAAAAACGTGGATCAATTCAGGTATGATCTGACAAACATTAGAAAATTCCAAAAGGCAAAGATGGACGATTTATAAATTGCTCAAGGAGCTGCCAAATCGATATGGTTGGTAAAGTATATTATTCATAACAACACAAAAATGCTTCCTGCATTGAAAAAAGCTAGTAGTTAATAAAGTAATGAGAACGAGCACCCTTTACCTAACCCTTTTCCATCCCAACGAAGAGCCGGGCCCTTCTTTCTTTCTTTCTTGGCCGGCTGCGTGTTCGTAACTTCCATCGACAATCAAAGTCGCCAATAATGCTGCCAACCTCTTCAATCTTGCTTTCTTGGCGACAAATGGATATTTGCACTGCCGCATGAGGACAAATAACATGCTTCTGCGAAGGGCGTGTGGAATGGTTTTCTCTATTTGGATTGCCTTGATCTTACTTGCTACCTTCATATTTAATTTGGATTTTACTCAATCATTCCGCTTCAAACTAAGTTTTGTTTTTTCTTTTTGAAATTTTAGTCTCACCACACAAATTTTTTTCTGTTTGGACTCTGTGTCTGGTAATAAGCAATATTAAGCCTGTTCATTAACCTTTAAGCAATGCATCATCATTGAAGGTGATGCTCAAATGATCATTAACTCCATCCAGTGTCAAGAAGGTGATCAATCAAGCATTCGAGTTCTAATTGATGATAAATTGTTACTGGTCTTCAGTAATTCTCAATCTGGAAAGCTTCTTGGACTCCTAGGAAATATAATAGTGTAGCTCACGAGCTGGCACAGTATGCTATTTCAATTCCAGATGAAGTTTTTTGGGATTTTCCACTCCCTTTGTTTTTACTTGCTCTTTATGTGGGTCTTTCAATCAATTCATTCATGTATAAATCATCTCATGTTGCTTAAAAAGAATGTAACGGCAAATCAAAGAGAAAATGCACAAAAAAAGGTGTAATTTCTTTTTATCATTCATAGGTAACTTAAGACTATTAATATTTCTTGCCTGTCATTTAAGTATCATATCGTGTTGTGTGTCGAAAAATTGGTGGTCATTGTATTCTGTAGTTGTCAATTCAAGAAATTGACCCGTTCTCATTGGAGAATAGTTTGGATTGTGATTTTCTACCAAAAAATTTGTTACGTTATTCATGAACATATTTTTTAATCATTTTTTTGATCTCGTATACATCAAATCACGATAATATATATTTTTCTTTTTACCAAAACTGCTAAAAATAACAATCCAAACGGACAATTTTTCAGTTGGACAAGGGTCAAAACAGTTCAAATTCTAGTACTATTTTAATTCAAATTAAGCCGTCTCAAAAATCAATTCTTAATATGTGTAACAAGTACTTTATCTTTTCATTAAGGTGTCCAATTGAGTAATTTAAAAGCTAATGTGGACAAAAATAATAAAATACGTCTTAAGAGAGATGCCCCCGATTTGACTAAACTTTTTCTCTTATTCTTTGCCAATCAGAGTTAACATCTGGGACCACCTGCAATCTCTTTCTCCTTAAAATTCAGCCTGTCACATTAACATTTGGTAAAGTTTAAAACTAAAGTTCAAGTAGCATTCAAATTAGAAAGGCTCCTTTAGACTGCTTTCGGATGAAACTTTTCAAGCTGTCTTTATAGGTCCTGTTTGGATTGCTACTTTTAGAAGTTTTTTTAAAAAAATATATTATAGTAATTTGATATATGTGAGTTTCAAAAGTAATTAGAAATGTTTTACAGAAAACATAAAAATTATTCTGCAAAAAAAATCATAGTCTTTTTAAAAATGACCAAACGTTATAACGGATCTAAATAATTTGAGGGGGAAAAAACTTTTTGATCATGAGTCTGAAAATTAAAAATTAAGCAATTACATTTTGGAAATGATCTCATACAATTTTAGGAAGTAATTCTTCTGTCCTAATTCACTCCAAAACATTTAATCCATGCAATATATGCAATTTAATTAGCTCCAAATCAAACCATGCTCAAAAGTGTTAGAATTGCGACATATGCGATCCATATGACTTATTCTAAGTTGATTGATAGTTTGATTGATTAATTGACATTTAGCTAGTAAGTATCTCCTATTAATGACATCATACGATATTATTCTCAATTATGATTCATAGTATGATTTCCTTGTGAAAGAAAACTTGCTATTTATTTACAAGTTACGATCCCTAACTGACCTATGCATAGCTTGTAATACTCTATCCATCCTACCGTTTACACAAAAAACAATTAGCGGGAGGCAAGTAATTCTATTACTATACTGCTACTTATTACATGTATGTGTATATTTTTAATCATTCTACACGAATTTAAGAATCTTTTAGACTAAGTGGCATTAGATGCACATTACATATAGTAGAATAGCAGTTAGTATGATTCATGCATCTAATCTAATAGTGTACAAAAATTGTTACACTAAGGATATAAAAATGATTAATCTTTAAAAAAAAAAAAAAAAAGAAATAAAACAAGAATACTATATGGCTTGAATCCAAGTCCGTAAGTACTCGTCGATATATATAATTCAAAAAATTGTTGTATTTATACATTTTAAGGGTAAATTATCTTTTATCCCCGTGTGATTTGGTGCTTTATTACACACCCACCTTATGATTTAAAGTTCTATAGATAAACCCCTCACGATTTGGGCTAAAGTGTTACCATTAGTTTTAAACCACTAATTTTTTTGTTAAAACTAGTGATTAATAGTAAAAAGTCAAAATTAAATTAACAAATTTACCTTTTCATTATTTATTTTTTTCCTCCAAACATAAAAAAGAAGAAATTGAAATAAAAAATAGATAAACAAGAACTAGAAAATACCATTAAATATTTGGTTTAAAAAACTATAATGACATTTATAGTCAAAAAGATTTTGTATTTTTTGTTTCTTATTTCCCTTCCATCTTTTTTGTTTCTTGATTATTTTTTTTAATTTCCCTTCCATCTCTTTTGTATTTGGAGAAAATTAGATTTTGTAAGCCAAAATATAGGTTTTCAATATAATCTCTTCTCTTCCCCAGAGAGAGAGAGAGAGAGAGAAGGGAAAAAAAAAAGAAAACAAGTAGTGAAAAAGGTGAATTTGTCAATTTATTAGTTTAACTTTGACTTTTTACTATTGACTGTTAATTTTAATGAAAAAATTAGCGATTACACTTTAATCCAAACCATGAGAGACTTATATATAAGTTTTTAAACTACAGGGAATTATGTGGTAAATTATCAAATTATGCAGGGGAATAAAAGGTAATTTACCCTGCATTTTAACAATACTTTAAAAAAAATATTTATATTCTTCATACAACCTTATAAAACACATAATCAAATTTTGGCACAGTATACTTCTCAAATTATACTTTAATTTTTGGAAAAAATTTTAAAATTTGTGTAATAATAATGACATCTCTCCCCAATTATATATAAAGCAGTAGCTATGTATATCATAACTTTATGGATTTATGCAGGTAAACATAATAAGGTGATAAAATCTTTGTTTGGATTGCATTTTTTTGGACTTTTTGTACAAAAAATACTGTAGCGATTTGATATATATAAGATAAAAAGGTGATTGAAAAATATGTCCATGAAAAACATAGCAATTTTTCTTTGAAAATCTGCAATCGAAACACACCCTTAATAAATTTAATATTTGATACACAAGAACAACAATTAGAAGCGGTTTAATCTTTAAAAATTGTAGTAATTTTATCTATATTTTGAGTTTTGTAACTTTTAAATATATTCGTACCATTCAAATATAAATTTATATGAGTAATTTTGTTGAACTCATATTTTTATGCCAAACTTTTGATTGTATTTTTAAAAGAAAATCCAACTATGTTTTACCCACTGCATGTTTTGAATTTTATTCGTGTTTCACAGCCAAAATGCAAGAACCATATAGCAGTATTTGTCCGACAAGATACGGAAAACATGCCCACGATGTTTCCTTTTCAAAGGAAGCCCAAAGCGGACCCCAAAGAGGAAAATCTTCAGTCAACTAACGATGCTTTCCTGCTAAAAAACCATCTCACCTGTCTTCACCAAGAAGATAACCAAAGAAAATTAAACATCCAAATGTTAGACAGAACCCTTGAAGAATGAGCTGCATCATCATCAAGCCTCATTTCTTCCAAATTTTCCTCTTCTTCGGCTCTTTAGCCCTGTTTGTTACAAACTTTGCCGTAGCTTTTGACGTCCTAACTTCAACAGAGCCCCTGACCAAAGACCAAACGTTAGTTTCATCCGGTGAAAATTTTGAATTAGGCTTCTTCAGACCTGGAGATTCAAACAAATGGTATGTTGGAATATGGTACAAGAAGATACTAACAGGCAAGACCATTGTTTGGGTAGCAAACAGAGACAATCCTCTGACAAACTCATCTGGGCTGTTGAAGATTGGTGATGATGGCAACATCCAAATTCTTGATCAAGCTGCAAATACAATATGGTCCTCAAATCTATCCAGGGTAGGCAACACTGTAGCACAGCTGCTAGACTCTGGAAATTTCATACTACGTTACACAGACGACGCTGATCCTGAAAATTATCTCTGGCAAAGCTTTGATCACCCCACTGATACATTGTTACCTGGGATGAAGCTCGGGTGGGACGCGAAAACTGGCCTAAACAGATACTTGACATCATGGAAAAATGCCGATAATCCATCTTCAGGTGACTACAGTTTTGTGCTTGATATTCATGGGTTCCCCGAATGTTTCTTGATGAATAAAGGCAACAAATCGTACCGCAGCGGACCCTGGAATGGCCTCAGATTTAGCGGTGTCCCAGAAATGAAGGCCAGTAGTCCTGTCATGACCTTTTTATTTGTGAACACTAAAGACGAGGTATATTACTCATTCGAGTTGCATAATGCATCATTGTATTCAAGATTGGTTGTGTCTTATAGTGGAAGTCTTCAGAGATTTACTTGGATAGATGATAGCAAAATATGGAACCTTTTTTGGTACGCCAGAAAAGATCAGTGCGACGCCTACAAAGAATGTGGAAATTATGGTGTATGTGACACAAATGCTTCGCCAGTTTGCAATTGTATGCAGGGATTTGAGCCCAGAAATCCACAGGCTTGGAATCTGAGAGATGGATCCGATGGATGTGTCAGGAAGCATAAATTGGATTGTGGGAATGACGGGTTTTTGTCACTGCATAACATGAAATTGCCGGAGAGTTCTAGCACGCTTGTGGTCTCCGGCATGAGTTTAGCCGACTGTGAAACGATGTGCCGGAAAAATTGTTCTTGTACGGCTTACGCTAATTCGAATCTTACAGCTGGTGGTTCTGGATGTGCTATTTGGGCCACGGACCTTCTTGATATGAGGCTGTATGCGGCGGATGAAGGTGGCCAAGATCTGTATGTTCGGGTGGCAGCTTCAGATTTAGGTACGTTTCTTTCAATATAATTAGCTGCAAATTTTGATGCGTTCGGTTCAATTTTTGCCAGAAAGTTGGACTAATTTGTCTTCGGCCATAAATGCATTGCCTATCAAATTATAATTGCATTAGCCGTCCATTATGTTTCATAAGTATTAGTACTTATATTTTAGAAAGGATGGTGGGGGGTGGTAACTGCTAAGGAAAGAAGAAGGAAGAGAGGAGAAAAGAATGGAAACAGACCCCAGAAAAAAATAAAGTACTATATTGTTTTAACTCCTAAGATGAAAGGAAATACGCTTTAGATTCTAATTTCACTACTATAGTGCTAATATAGAGTTTAAAAAGTTTTTGGGGTGGTTAACGGCGAGATATTAGGGGTCTGATAATGAAAATGAAAGTTTCAAGTGTATTTGCCAAAAATGAAAAAAGTTCGACGGGTATTTATGCAAAACTTGGGAATTTTTTTTTTTTAAAAAAAAAAAAAACCAATTTCACCTATTTTTGACTAATGTTAAGTTAAAATTTTTGTTCATAATTATTTATGTGTATTGGCAGTGGGGTTCTCGCCAAGTGTTTTTAATTTTTAATGTGAGAACAAAACGTTTGGTGCAACGCTTTGAAAAATTGATGAAGTTGGTAAGTGGATAATTGAATAATACCTATCGGCTATCGCATATTTTTTTTTCTGAGAAAACAGCGACCAAAGAATGATGATCGTTTATTAGTAGTGTTTCCAGCTATACTTCTTCTGACATGGCCGCCATCTTTATCTTTTATTGAGAAGTACTGTAGTATTTAGCAGATAGGGGAATCGTATCAAATATACTACTATATCAATCATGGCCGGGCGGTCGCCATCCAAAATTCTACATCAAGCACCCGATTGCAAGTAGTTTTAGGCTTTTGGCATTAATCCTTTTTATAAAGGCCCCTCCTTTACTGTTCAGAATTTTTTCAGATTTGGGATTTGCTTTCTTGCACTGAATAGCTAGGTAGAAATTCTGAATAAACTATGATCATAGCTAGCTAGGTGGATATTGTGGAGGATTTGTTTTGAGTTTAGTATACCATTATTTTGCTGCCTTAAAATTAGTCGAAGAAAATGGTGAAATCGCATGAACAAAACAGAAGCCAATATTATTAATAAACTAATTAGAAATCGTTCGGCACGATTTGCTTGACAAAGAAAATTGAACTAATGTAAAAAAATGCATGCCAATTCTTACCCATTAATTATTTTTGAAGCAGTTTAGTCAGCCCATCGGAGTAGCCTTGACTTCACCTAACCCAAAATTAATTCTTGAGTTTCCGTATCTAATAAACCACTACTACTAAACAACAAAATAGACTTTTATGAAGTGGCGCTCTTATTTTCAAATCCACTCTCAAAAATCTTAATTCGAAATGATAATACATAATTATGTCCATCACATATTGCCAAACACAAGGGTTTCTCTCTCCAAGTAATACCTTTCTCTCTTTTCTTTTACAATGCAAAAATTCTTTTTGTTTTCCTTTGCCATAAGAATGTTCAAGAATTGATAACTGACAATATTGGAATCTAGTCAAAGTCAGGATCAATATAAAGGGTCTATTAGTGCATAATTAGTATTGAACATTATGCAAATCAATCACTATGATTAGAGCTAAGCCAATAATATTAATATTAGGGTCATAAATCATGCAATGTGTAGTTTCTTGGGTCCACGAGGAATCCTTGAATAGCTGCGTGACGTTCTAGAGGCGGGCTCAAGCTGAATTTTCGATTTTGGAGATATCCCACCAAGAATTTTCAAATAAACCGGGCCCTCTTAGTAATAAGTCTATATTTAACGCTCACCTGAATGCGACGGGACCTAATTCCAATTCATATGTTTCTTCTGCTAAAACCCCATAGAAATAGAAAAGGGTCTGAAAATTACCCAATCTTCAACCGCCATTGGCCGACGTTGTTGACCTGGTGGCAAGGGTTGGTAAGTTAAGTAGCGGTACTTAACTAACAAGACTGTCCGAGCATGACTTGCAATCCATATTATTGTGTTTGGATGGTAGATTATTTAGGACAATTTCCTTTTTAAAACTACTTCAGTACTTTTTTATGTGACATATGTGAAAAAAAGTGAATAAAAAATGTATTTATGATGCAAGTAAATAAATTTACGTAAATAATTCACTATCCAAACAAACTGAGTCCTGTATTGCATAATATTTCATTCCAAAAACAATAATATTTATTTGTCGCCATTAAATTCAGGCCATAAAATGGTCCAAGTCTCATGGATGGATTTTTACAACTTTGACATTTAAGTGCAAGAAAATATCATCTTCTTTGGAAGTCAAAAGAAAAACTTTTCACATTTAAGTTGATCTCAAAACTTTTTATCTATGATTTAGCCACACTAAGTAACCACTATGAGTTTGCATTTGTGGAGTTGTGAGTCTTTATTTTTTTTTTCTTTTTCTGAAAATAATGAATTTATGTATTAACCAACTTGCATTTGTTCTTTTGCTTCGGGCTTAATTGCTATCTTTTGCCTTTTGATAAAATAGAATTTCCAGTTGGGCCAAGACGTTTTTATGGTTTTTATTTGATAAAGTAGCTTTTAAAAAACTTTTTATTTTTCCTTTTTGCTTTATGAGTGATTACAACTGAGCTTAAGAACTTGTGATGTCATTAGTGGTTTGATTACGAAGATCACTAGGGATGATGAGGTTAATGAGCGATAAATTAAGCAGCTGGATGTCTTAAGGGCTTAGATTTGTGAAAATACTGGGCACGCGGGAAGGTATTGGGCTCTGGCCCAACTTCCATGCACAGAACTTGGACTATGGACTGGTCTGGGAAGGCTTAATTGCAGATTAACCCCTATAATTAGGGAGTAAATGTTACATAAAAGAAAATTGATAATTTAAGGAAGCAAGGACTAGTTAAGTAAGAACGAATTGTATATCTTACTAAAGACCAAGATTGAATGTTAAATAATCAGCAATGTAAATGCCTATTTTGCCAAGGGCTACCGTCCTTAACCGAGGATACATATAATTATAATCACACACTGCCGGATTTACATAAGCCTCCAATGTGATCTTAATGGGAGCCTAACAGTTTAGTCCAAGTCTATGATCCTTACTCTTTGTATCATCCTCTGGCAGTCTGGCTAGTTTCAGTCAGCATGTATGAAAGGAATTCCATGATTTCTAATCGACATTTCTCCTGATGTTATTTCTAGCATGAATAATGACACAAGAGGTAAACATGTACTGTCCAATGAATCAAGACTTCATATATGCTGCTTAAGTTACAAAACCATCTAGTTTTTGTCCTTCCTGCAATAAGGGAAAAAAGGCATACTTGTTGTAGTTCAGTTAGTCCGCACTACAGCCCTGCATTAGCACTCTTTTAGTGTTGATTAAGATGTTCAAACGTGCGGCGGGCTAATATTTCTGATTTTTCCATTTGGATTTCAGATCAGGCTGGTAATGTTGGCTCTGGAAATGACTCTGACAAGAAAACTAGGATCATCATTGTGACAGCCATAGCAGCTGGTATTCTTCTTATGCTCTCAGTAATAGGTATAATTTTTGTTTGGAAGAGGAAATCGCAACATGTCCAAAAGAGCATTATAGATCATAGAGGTAACTAAAAAGTTACAGATTTTCTCCAAGCTTCAGTGGTATTATTAAATACTCAAGAGTTATTGCATAATACTTAACAATGCCTGCTTTCATTTTCTCCAGGTTCACGCGAAAGAAGTCAAGATCTTCTGTTGAAAGCAGCAGTTATTCCCAGTAAAAGGGATCATTCTGGTGAAAGCACCACTGAGGAACTTGAGCTTCCATTATTTGATTTTAGCACCATAACATTGGCTACAGACAACTTCTCTGAAAAGAATAAGCTAGGACAAGGTGGATTTGGCTGTGTTTATAAGGTATGTCTCAATTATGATTCGAGGAGTTGATATATTGAAGTACTTTCAACGTCAAAAGAAGAGCTTGCGACAATGTCTTAATGATGATATCAGGGTATGTTGGTTGAAGATCAAGAAGTAGCAGTGAAAAGGCTCTCCAAGAACTCGGGGCAAGGAATAGAAGAATTCAAAAACGAAGTTAGATTGATCGCTAGGCTTCAGCACAGAAATTTAGTTCGCCTTTTAGGTTGTTGCATCAACATGGAAGAGAAGATTCTCATTTACGAATATATGGAAAATAAGAGCCTGGATTCAATCTTGTTTAGTAAGCCTGCTGTTCTTGTAGTTTTGCCAATATGGTTTTTGTTATTGGAACGCACTTAGCAGAGTTACAATTTTCTTCAAAATCTCGACAACTAGTTTTGATGGATGTATGCCTAATTTGCTCAGATAAAGAGAGAAGCTCGTTGCTCCATTGGCAAAGGCGTTTCAACATCATTTGTGGGATTGCTCGGGGCCTTCTTTACCTACACCAAGACTCACGGTTCAGAATTATTCATAGAGACCTCAAAGCAAGCAATATTCTCCTTGACAAAGAAATGAACCCCAAAATTTCAGATTTTGGCATGGCAAGAATTTTTGGAGGAGATGAGACAGAAGCAAACACAAGAAGAGTAGTTGGAACATAGTAAGCAGCAAATGCAAATCCTTAGTAGCATTCGGCTTTACATTAATGCACTGCCACTTACAACTATATCCTGGATGCTTTTTTTTTTTTGCAGCGGTTACATGTCCCCAGAATACGCAATGGATGGCGTCTTCTCTATTAAATCTGACGTTTTCAGTTTTGGAGTTCTTGTCTTGGAGATAGTGAGTGGTAAGAAGAACAGAGGATTCTATCATATGAACAACCAACTCAATCTTCTTGCACATGTAAGTCTAGCTTATTCAAAATTTGTGTGTTAAATTTTTGCATTGAAAACAAAGAGTTACATATCCATACTTCTATAAACTTTTCTTTCCTAAGGAAAAGGGCATTGATGAAATTGTGGTCACTGACAAAAAGATTACATGAAATCGCACAGGCTTGGAAGCTGTGGAGGGAAGGCAGAGGATTAGAAGTAATGGATTCAGCAGCAGGTGAACTGTATTCCACTGTTGACGTAATGAGATGCATACATGCGGGTCTACTTTGCGTGCAGGAGCATGCAGAAGATAGACCGAACATGGGAACTGTGGTTCTGATGTTAAGCAGTGAAAGTGCATCACTGCCCCAGCCTAAACACCCCGGATTTTGCCTTGGAAGAAGGCCCCATGATACAACTTCATCTTCAAGTAGACAAGATGAATCTTGCACTGTAAACCAACTTACGGTAACTATCCTTGATGGCCGGTAGTTGAGGAATGCCCTCGAGCAAAAGCAGAATTGTATAGGTCATTGAATTCGACAAGAATTTTCTGTTCATACATGATTTTCTTTTTGCTTCTTTTAGTTGATACCTAGAGATTCATACATCTTTGTTGATTTAAGATACAAAAATCATGCACTTGATATAATTCTTTTCTTTTTTTTCCCCCTTCTTGCTGGAGTTCGCTGTAAATTTATCTGTTTTGTTGAGAATGGAAACATGGAAGTAATTTTGAATGAACTATCGAGCATGATCTCTATCTCTGCCTTTCCACTCACTATCCTTGTTGAAGTAACCAAACTGTCTGTTCTGACTTCTGATTACGTATCGCTCCAATGATTTATTACCGAGCAGAACTGTACCAGGCAGTTGGGAGTTGAGACACTATTGAAATGGATAACACAACATAAATCATTCTCAGACTAAAATCTCACAGAACACCACACGTAAGAGCCCGATTCAGTGCGAGGATCTGACATGAAATAAATGTGTTCAAGACTTTGACAATCGTTGGAGTCAACTACATAATACAGTAGCGAGGAAGCGTTGTCTTGATTCATTAAATTGAGTAAACGCCAATTGAATAAAGATGTTTGGTCGGCAGACACTAGTATACCGTGGGACGCCTTCTTTGAAAGGTTTCACCATCAGAATTGAAGCATATGGTCCGAAATTCAGAATCAATCCTTTGTTACCTTCACATGTATCTAACATGGAAGAATTAGGTAAATTGTGCTCAAAAGTCAAAACCTCGAAAACTTCGTAGCTCCACCGAAACCTCCAGAACAGAAAAGAAAGCTCCCAATGCTTGAACAACGGATTGCGAACCAACCCACCTGGTCATTACTACGTAAAAAGTGTAGCCTTGATCTTATTTTTTGTCATTTCAATTATGCCCTTATTAATTTCTGGTTAAAGTTTCATATAATCTTAATTGTAGATGGTTTAGAAGAAAATAATGGTTGATTACTAAGATCACCATATTGCATCATACCATATTGATTTGAGAAACATCTTCTTAAAGTTATAAACAGTGAAATGATTTAATGATTTGAGAAACATTTCTTGGATAAATTAAATAAGTTGTTCACATCCAATTCATAAGGGGAAGAATTTTTCATGTTTCACCCAATGGAATTTCAATATACAAAAAGGTATAACAACTTTATAACTGAAATAGCAATATTAAATTGGAAAAAAAATCTGAAATAGCACCATATAAACCATTATTATCATTTATAGCAATTCCTCAAAACAAGAAAAACTGAAAACTATTCGTAAAATGACATAAAGTGAATAGCAAAAGAATTAAAAAGATCAAAATATAATTCAAATAATGCCAAAGACAACATCCAAATAACTGACATTTAAGGGAAGATAAGCATTGTTATTTGCAGTAATATAGGAATGCTTCATTTTGTATTGGTTTGAACAAATAAGTCCATCTATCAAGCCATGCAGAAGCCATCTCCATTTATAAAATAAGAATTATAATAAGAGTAAATTTAAAATGAAGAACGATATCCAAATTATTTTTTTGTGATGCCCAAAGTACCCTTATTTTTCTAATGATTACATATATTTATTGTATTGCAATATTAGTGAATAATGGTAGCAGTTATGAAATGAAAAATTTTAAAATTAAGTAAATTTTATTTATGGTGACAATTGTAATTAGGCAGATTTAGTGTATTCCAATAATTGACAATAATGTAGATGTTATGGATTAAAGTTGGCAATTGAAAAAATAAAACACTACAATATACTAAAAATTAATATTAAAATTGTTAATTAGCCAGAATTCTCATTCCAATTCCATGATTATTAAAAACATTGATACCGAAACAAAAAAATATTGTGCTGATATGAAAAAAGTAGACTTGTTGCTTTTGCTTTGCATTGGATTTTGATTAAAAAAAATGATTAAAAGAAAAAAATGGAAAAAAACTCAACTATTTATGAAATTTTAATTGTCAGAATGTACAAGCCAAAAAAAGAACTTTACTTGGTGGATCATTTATATTCCATTATTGACAAAAATAGCAATAAAAAGAATACAAATAATTGAAATTACACGTATGTTTATTATTTTAGCTTAATTATATTCTTCATTTATAAAAAATGGTAACGATTGTAGTTTATATGTAATAAAATCATGAATATACAACAATTTTGGTAAAACATGATATTATCAATATTTGATATGTTAGAATTCAAGCCATAAATCAACAAATATTTGGTTCATGATTCCAAATTTAATCAATGCTTTTCGTCTCTTTCCATTTAATACAATTTCTAAAAGTTACTAGTCAAAGAAAATAAATAACATAAAAATATTATATTATGATGTTGATGATCAAAATTTCACAAAAATTTTTTAGTATCTAAAGAATAATATATTTTAAGATATTATAATCACGTGCAAATCATGTAAACTATTACTAGTCTCTGAAATGTGTTAAACTTAATGGTTTATACTTGATAACTAGTATTGATCATCCCCAACCAGCGATAAGTACTTGATATCCCATAATTATCTCTAATAACTTGATAGTGGCAAATGGTTGTCAGATCAGATTAGTTTTTTTTAAGAGGTTTTGAATTCAAAATCTTTTACTTATAATCCCTCCTACCTTACCATTTAACCCAACCCAACCCTCTCCTAATGATTATCAGATTGACCATTCTTATCAGGAATTAAAGTGATAAACTCCATACGGTTCATTTATCATCTATTTATTCCTATAAATGCCAAATATACATCACAAAAGACATATTCATTCTCATTACAACTATTAGTCACTGATTACTTAATTTAGAGAAAACTATTACTCATTGATTAATTAACTTTGAGGGCAGCCAACTTTGAGAATTCATCCATTCCAAAGCTATTACTCACTGATTACTTAACCCTGGTCCTCTACAATTCATACTTGCTTCTGCTGAACTACTTCCATCTTACCCAGTTCAGTTTGGCACCATTGATTTGTGTTTTTACAGTCTTCTCTCACGCAGGGAACAGGGTAAGGGTAAGGGTAAGAAAACGGTGACATCAAAAGGCCCACGAGACCAAGACAAGACGACCAATCAAATGCGGCCCAGCTGTCTGAAAAAATCTTCCGAGCAGTCCTAGTATGACCGTCAAGGCGTCAACCGAACATAGTACTATCATTTTGGTTTTAATTAAGCTTTTAAGTCAATTCAAAATATCAATTCCTAGTGGTGACATGGGACTTATCAAAATTATTGGGGTAAATTACATATAATTTCAATGTAGTTTGATCCATTGATACATAATTTTCTTAACATTTCAAAATATTTACTTTACCCCCTTATACTTTCATATAAAGTGGAAATTTTTTTTAAAAAAAAATCCCTTTTGCAACGTTTGGTTGAAGTACCAATATTGTTCTTAATTAACTACTAAATTGAACACCATCTTTACACTTACACAAACTATTATAGTGTTTGGTTTAGGTCAGGAATTGACACCAAAACCAACCATAGTCATACATTTTGTTCAAAAAAGAAATACTTTAAATCATTCTAAAGTGTAAAAACAAACTTCTTGTATTATTATTTTTTTCCCGTGAAATGAAAATTTTGTTCATGTGTCATCCATCCAACTATAATAGTGAATACTGTATATATAATTTACTCTTAAATGAATTAATCTATTCTCTTGGCAAAAACTAGCTCAGCCCTAAACAAAACTAAGTAGGATAAATGACTTGAATACAAACCTATAATGAAGTTTCTGATTCCCATTTTGATACATAATGCAAACAAAGCACTCCAAAAGATATTCGTCCCACGAGACCTTGTAAGTCAAAGATGGTGACCTATTATTGGAACTACTTCCTCTAGCACAGACCTTTCAAAATCAATTTTCAAAAACTCCTCTACCAGTTCATTGCATAATGGATTGTTTAAAGTATATTGAGAGGCCCCTTTAGCTTGCTAATTTGAAAGAATGGACTTTCCTCGGCTGTTTTCCCTTTCAGTTCTTCTCATATTGACATTTCTTGCTTCCTACTCCTCCATTGCAATAGACACCTTAACACCAAATCAGAACCTCACCGATGGCCAAATCTTGCTGTCCTCCAACCAGATTTTTCAGCTGGGATTCTTTACTCCAGGAAAGTATGGTAAAAGATATTTGGCCATATTGTATCATAACGTCCCTACCACGACAGTGGCTTGGGTAGCAAACAGAGATAATCCTCTCAGCGATTCATTAGCCCATCTAACGATGAGGTCTGATGGTGCTTTATTGCTTTACAACAGCTCCATGGCTGTTGTATGGTCTATGAATGAAACAATGACGGGCCAGAGTCCAATTCTGCAGCTTCTAGGTACAGGTAATCTTGTAGTCAGAAAACAGGATAATACTAATGCAAGCGATTACATTTGGCAGAGCTTTGATCATATGTCTGATACTATGTTGCCTGGAATGAAACTTGGATTGAAGTTGAAAACTCGTACCAGCAACTACATGAGATCCTGGAAAAGTCCTGATGACCCTTCTGATGGAGAGTTTACATTCAGCTTGGAAACGCCTGAAACACCTCAGCTTTTACTGCGTAGCGGATCAAACAAGGATTACAGGTGGGGGCCTTTTGATGGTGATAGGTTTAGTGGTGGTAACCGATTGAGGAACAACACAGTCTTCAAGCCTATATTTGTTTCTACTGCTGATGAAATTTATTATACTTTTGAAGCACTGGATAATTCTATTTTAATGCGGTCCGTTGTGACACCACTTGGTGGAATTCAGTATCTCACATGGCGAAATGGTAGTAAAGACTGGAGCCTGACTGTAGAGGTAAATAGGCTCTATTGTGATCGATATGGAATGTGTCGAGGAAATGGAAATTGCTATGCGGATGATCCTCCGTGCAGGTGTTTAGAAGGGTTTGCTCCGCGCTCGCCACAAGATTGGAGATTATATGATTATTCAGATGGTTGCAAGAGGAAATTTGATCTGAATTGTAGTAACAGAGATGGTTTTGTGAAGTATGATGGACTGAAGTTGCCAGATAACGTGGTTGTGTGGCCTAATCTTACCCCTGAAGAATGTGCAGCAGAGTGTCTGAGAAAATGTGATTGTATGGCCTACACCCGAATCAACCCTCTAGGTAATGGCAGCCAGTGTGTAGTTTGGTTCGGTGACTTAATTGACCTCAGAGATTTCCCTGAAGAAGGCGAAGAACTGTATATACGCATGGCACGTGCTGAAATAGGTAAGCGCTTGTATTCTGCTGTCTGGAATGTCATATTAGAGTATGGTAATGTCTTGCTCGTATTAGTTTTGACATCAGGAATGCACTAATATTTTGTAGAGGATGTAGAATTCTTGTGTTCGAGAAGTTTGTTTCAGTTTCTCTTCATGATGAACATCCCGTGCTTCGCACAGTAAAGATGAAATTAGTGACTAACTGGAGCAATTATATCATGCGACTGTCCATTTATATGCATCAACTTTGTTAGCTTAATTGGATTCTCTGAAATGAAAACTCTAGCATAAAGGGAGTGCATTCAACTCAATGCTTTTCTGAAGAGGAATCTTTCGAAAATTGATCTAATGAACGAGTATCAACCGTACTTCCTCACTACAAAGAAGCACAACTAGTCTATAGACCTTCGAGGTTGTTGATCTTCACTTCAAATTCTGTCATCTGATGTGGATCTTTAAACAAGCTGCATGAGAGGCTTCCTACCTAATTAATGTTGCTCAGTTAGCTTATATTAGTTACTTTGATAATATGCTGCAACCACTAAATGAAAACTTTATCGTCCCTTCCCTCCAGGAGGGTATAATGGCTGTATGTCTAATCCTTGTGAAGGGCCATTCTACCACATATCATGATCAACTTGTTTGTATTGCTCTGGTTCTTCTGAAGAGCGGACTGCAAAGATAGAATGAAACTCTTATGTTTCTTCTAGTTCTTGTTTCTTTTGCTGCAAAGACTTAAAAAAAAATCTCCGCATACATCTAGCCACCATAGAGAGCAAACTTCTTCCCAACTCTGCTAAACAACTTTAGTATACTGTGCCTAATTATATATGTAGCAGACATTTCGATTGTCATAGTTACTCAGCTGTATTTTTAACTACCAGATTCAATTGCTAAAAACAAATGGAGAAAGCATATGAGATTAGTTGTTGCCATCACGATGTTATCAGCTTTTGCGCTGCTTCTCTTGGCTATCTTGGCTTGGTACAAGCTGAGACCAAAGGGGAGAAGAGAGGAGGATACCATATCAATGCCAAAAGGTATTTCAAATTTTCCTTTTCCTATTAATTTCAGAGGTTTGTCACATGGTTTGGTACTTGGAACAGTGACTAGATTCAAGTTATACTGCTTTCATCGAAAGGATTTGGATGCTGAGAAAGCTAATATAGGTATTATACTAGATTCCTCCATTTAACTCCAAGTACCATTGCAGCCCATGAGAGCAAGTCATTCCCCCATTATGAGGAAGAAAGTCAAGACGAGGACCTTGATTTACCTATATTTGATCTAGCAACGATTTCTGCTGCTACAGATCAGTTTGCCTTAGGTAATAAGATTGGACAGGGTGGTTTTGGTCCTGTATATAAGGTATGGCTTATTTTTCCTTCCATTCAGTTAGTAATTAGAAGACAAATGCAGAAAAGAAAAATCAACCGTTAAGCATGATATTAATTGGTTTTTACTGTACTTGTACACAGGGCGAATTACCTAATCGATTAGAAGTAGCAGTAAAGAGGCTTTCACAGAATTCAGGTCAAGGCCTAAGAGAGTTTAAGAATGAAGTTATACTGATTGCAAAGCTTCAACATCGTAACCTTGTTAGGCTACTCGGATGCTGCATTCAAGGCGATGAAAAAATGTTGGTCTACGAGTACCTGGCAAACAAAAGCTTGGACAACTTTATATTTGGTACCCCATCAGATCTCATTACATGTTGCCCTCATGATTCTACCCTTTCAGTTATTAAGCTAAATTAACTAACCTGCGTACTGATTTCCATAAAACTTTCAGATCGGATAAAAAGAAAGCTACTTCCATGGAGTATACGCTTCAACATCGTTTTGGGCATTGCAAGAGGGCTGCTTTATCTTCACCAAGATTCCAGATTGAGAATTATCCACAGAGATCTGAAAACTAGTAATATTTTACTTGATAGAGAGATGAACCCAAAAATCTCAGACTTTGGCATTGCAAGAATTTTTGGTGGAGAAATAACTGAAGAAAAGACTCGGAGAATTATTGGTACATAGTAAGTAATACTAACACACAAGAAAAAATGAACCTCATATTTCTTTGTCTGCCTTTTTGGTGTGATTCAGTTTGGTCATCAACGTTTACAAATGCTGGATTTGGATGCAGTGGTTACATGTCCCCCGAATATGCAATGAGTGGTCATTTTTCTGTAAAATCAGATGTATTCAGCTTTGGAGTCATAGTGCTGGAGATTATAAGTGGCAGGAAGAATTGGGGATTTTATGATCCAGACCATGACCATAACCTGATAGGACATGTAAGTGCATGGAAAAGAATTATATACTTCAAATTCATCCTATCGAACTAATTGTATTTACTCATTCTTACCCATTGAACTCAATCTGTTTCAGACCTGGAAACTCTGGAATGAAAAAAGATCTATTGAACTAGTTGATGACATATTGGACGGATCATTTTCGAAGGATGAAGTCTTAAGATGCATCCAAGTGGCCCTTCTATGCGTCCAGCAACGAACTGAAGAAAGACCAACAATGAGTACTGTGGTATTTATGCTAAGTAATGAAAATGTGGAGTTGCCACAACCCAAAGAACCCGGTTTTGTTTCAGAGAGATCTGCCATGCAGATTGATTCTTCATCTAGCGGTCAAGATTTTCACACAGGAAAGCATATAACTTTCACAACTGCAGAGGGACGATAACACTTCAAAAACAAAAAAATTCTCCAGTTTTGTACAGATCTGGATACATGATCACAAATGAGGCACCTCTCCAGCATCTTAGTTTCTAGTGTACCATACCTCATCCCATTTATTAAAGTGACTTGTATTGTACTGGGGAAGTGAAAGTTGGAAGTTATTCCTTAATTCTTTGATATTCTCCCCCCACGCCAATCCCCCCAACCCACAAAAAAAAAAAACCCAAAATCCCCAACAAAAAATAACTCTTTAAAATCAAAATGTGTTTATACTAGTATTTCTTCTGGTTAATTTTCATATTTGAAGTCTCTTCTTATTATCTATGACTGTAAAGATCAATAATCAACCGATCAAGAAAATGAAAGACTGAAAGAAAACCTGTTGGCCAGATCCGACTTTTCTCTTCTTCATGTTTTTGGTGCAGTATTTCAGTTCTGATTGGATTGTAAGTTATTTGGGATTATTTAGGATATTTTTACTGTAACACTTTTTGTGATGTGATGTATGTGAGATAAAAAGATATTGGGAAGATAAAAATATGTATTGAAAATTGTAAAAATGATGTAAACAAATAAAATTGAGGAAATATGAAGCAATCCAAACAAACCCAGTCTAGTATTTTCTACTCATAAAGACTGAAACCTTATCTCCCAGTGACATCATGAACAGGTCTATGGTCAAACAGTCGGTCCTCGATTTCTAGAAGCATAAAGCGTTCGGTTGCAAAATCTGACATGGTTAATCAGTCAGAAATCTTAACTAGACAGATAATCTGTCTGAGGAAATGGTGATAAGAAGGCCTAGTCAACTATGGTCAATTTGACGGTGCCCTGTAATGAAAGTTAAGCTACAAATCTATTGCCAAGGATCTACACAGGACTCAGAAGTCAAAACCAAGTATTTGGAACAAGTCAAACTATAATAATAGCATGTGAGGCCTTAGAAGTCAAGCATGGAAACTCTTATTGCACCTAAATTTCTCTGGCTGGCTCTTACTTTTGATCACATTAATTTCACATATGAAATTTTGTTAATGCAAATAGAAAGTCCCTTTACGTTGCCAATTCGAAAGAATGGGCTTTTCTCTGATATTTTCGGTCCTTGCCATTTTCACACTTCTGGCCTCCTACAGATCCATTGCAGCAGACATCTTAGCACCTAACCAGAACCTTACAGATGGCCAAACCTTGGTTTCCTCCAACCAGATTTTTGCACTGGGATTCTTCAGTCCAGGCAATTCAGGTAGAAAGTATTTGGGCATATGGTACCACAACCAACCCCTACCCCTAACAGTGGTTTGGGTGGCCAATAGAGACAATCCGATCAACGACTCATCTGGCGGTCTAATCATGAGTATAAATGGTTCTCTATTTCTTTATAACAAGTTCGTTTGGTTTACAATTACGAATGGAACAATGGCAGGCCAGAGTCCATTGCTGCAACTCCTAGATACAGGTAACCTTGTAGTGAGAAAACAGGATGAAGCAGATGGAAAAGATTATATATGGCAAAGCTTCGATCATATGTCTGGTACGATGTTGCCTGGAATGAAGCTTGGATGGAATCTAAAAACTGGAACCAGCAATATCATGAGATCTTGGAAAAATTTTGATGACCCTTCAGATGGTGAGTTTACATTTAGCTTGGATCCTCCTGAAACTCCTCAGCTGATTCTCCGGCAGGGAGAGACTAAGAAGTACAGGTGGGGTCCTTTTGATGGTGATAGGTTCAGCGGTAGCAATGAACTGAGGAATAATACAGTGTTCAAGCCCATCTTTGTTTCCACATCTGATGAAGTTTATTATGCTTATGAAACGCTAGATGATTCTACTTTAGTTCGGTCCGTTGTGACACCACTGGGTTCAATTCAGTATCTCACATGGCGAAATACTAGTCGAGACTGGAACATGATTGTGGAGCTTAACAGAATCTACTGTGATAAATATGGCATGTGTGGACAGTATGGAAGTTGCTATACCAATGATCCAAATTGCCGGTGTTTAAACGGTTTTGTTCCAAACTCACTACAAGATTGGAGATTGTTTAATTCATTAGGTGGTTGTAAGAGGAGGTACAATCTCAATTGTAGCAATGGGGATGGTTTTGTGAAGTATAATGCACTTAAGTTGCCAGATAATGCAGTTCTGTGGGCAAATTTTGGGCTCGAGGAATGTAGAGCAGAGTGTCTGAAGAAATGTGATTGTATGGCCTATACAAGAATCAATGTTCTTGGCAATGGCAGCCAATGTGTGGTTTGGCTCCATGATTTGATTGACATGAGAGATTCTGCTAGTGATGGAGAGGAACTCTTCATACGAATGGCACGCGCCGAATTAGGTATGCACTTATTTTCTGTTGCGTCATTCTCTACCCTTGCACCACTTCTGAAATTAGGAATGCACTTCCATCTTGCTGAAGATGTGGAACTTTTGCCTTGCTAAATTGTGCTTTAGTTTTTGTACATTAGCCTTATATGCTGCTTCACTAAGGAACCTAAAATTGGTAAACAATAGCAACAAAATTGCATTGTACCTATCTTATTTATGTTAATCAATCAAATTTGTTTGGTTAATACGATGCAGCATAGCAAAACCTAGGGACAAGAGGAGGAAAGTTCAACTTATAGGACAAATTCTTGTGAAAATTGAAGCTATGACAAGTTGGTAACTGTAGTAGCTCTACTTGTTGATTGCAAAGAAGAACAATGAGGATGACTCTAGCATTTCTAGGTTGTTGATCATTACCGTTCTATGTCATGTGAGGTGAATAATCTAGAAGTTTTCTGAGATGTTTCACGATGAATTAGGTCTACTTCTGAAGTTATCTTGATTGAATGGCTTGGGAATCAGTTTGAAACAATACCTAAAACTTTCTTCTGCCTTAAATCTTATAATGCAGTTATTCTCCAATGAACTGCAATGGACATTCCTTTCATCTATGAGAAATTGGAAACCATGTTTAGATCATTGGACTACTCCATGTTTTAAGACTATTTTGGGCAATTCAAAAACCTTCTTTATTTATCCTCACTGCCTCAATCTACAGTGACTTTTGTAGCTAAACCAGAAATAATGATTTGATTTCCGAGGTATTTCACTCCTCCAGTGTATTGAAGTATGTCCAGAGATTTAACTTTTCATCTTAGGTTATTTTAGTGCGGATTAAAATGCTTTAAGTTCTGATATTAGTATCATACCTAAAACTGATCAGATTTAATACCGAAAGAAAAATTGAAGGTCCAGTTAGGAATCCTTCACAATTTTTTGTTTCTTCTAGTTCACATTTAATTGTTTAGAGGGATTACTGGGTAAACTTAAGCATCAGTGCCAGTAAACACCTTGGCAACTCTGCTAGCGAGATTACAGGGTTTTTTTGGGTAGGTAAGAAGCTTATTGATACCCAGAGGAGATACAAAACTACAAGTGGCATATCCCAGGGTGGTTGTTGCAATAACTGCATACTGAGCTTTTACTCAAAATTTTGATTCTCATCTTAGACATAATGTAACTGCCAGATTCAATTGCTGAAAACAAAAGGAGAAAGCGTATTAGAGTAGCTATTGGAATCTCCATATCAACAGCTTTTCTTCTGGTTCTCTTGGCTATGGCCTGGCAAATGATGAAAAGAGTTAAGAGAAGAGCAGAAGAGGATACGGTTTCTATGCCAATAGGTATCTCATACTTACCCTACAGTACCTATTTCTCAGCTAAGGTTTTGTGACTACCACTATTTGGCTTTTTTGTCAAGAGAGTTAGCACTTAATGGATTTTAGCCACTAGAATTAAATTCAGAATTTTTTTAATGATTCCACTGAAAGTATCTCTTTATTTGAAAACTAGGAAAACCTTATCACACTAACCTTGCTTCATCTATTACATATCTATGTTCAGCCCATGACAACAATTCTTACAACCATTATGAAGAAGAAAGTCAAGACGAAGATCTCGAATTGCCTATATTCGGTCTTGCAACCATTGTTGATGCTACGGACCAATTTGCTTTTGGCAATAAGATTGGACAAGGTGGTTTTGGTCCAGTCTATAAGGTATTCAACTTTTCTATGGATGATTAGTTTTTAGCTTACAAAGGGAAATCAGATCCTTCAGAGGTAATATGTTGTTTTTTCTTGTGTTGGTGCCACAGGGTAAACTACCTAACGGATCAGAAATAGCAGTAAAAAGGCTTTCACAGGATTCGGGGCAAGGCCTAAGAGAGTTTAAGAATGAAGTCAAACTGATTGCAAATCTTCAGCATCGTAATCTTGTTAAGCTACTTGGATGCTGCATTCAAGGAGAAGAAAAAATGTTAGTGTACGAGTACCTGCCAAACAAAAGCTTGGACAACTTTATATTCGGTACCAGCACTAACCCTCAATACCTGTAGCTCCATTAGTTATCTCTCTTTCACGGCAAACTAAATTGGCTTACCTACAAATTTAATTGCATATGCAATTATAGACCGAGTGAAAAGAAAGCTACTGCCATGGAATACACGCTTCGATATTGTTTTGGGGATTGCAAGAGGGCTGCTTTATCTTCACCAGGATTCCAGATTGAGAATTATCCACAGAGATCTAAAAACAAGTAACATTTTGCTTGATATCAAGATGAACCCCAAAATTTCAGACTTTGGCATTGCAAGAATTTTTGGAGGAGAGCAAACAGAAGAAAAGACTAGGAGAGTAATCGGAACATAGTAAGTAATTGTCATACCTGAGGAAAAAGATTTAGGAATGGCAATTCTTTTTCTTTACCTTTCTCTTCGATTGATACAGTTTTTTCACTGATGTTGCTGAACACTGTACTCTGATGCAGTGGTTACATGTCTCCTGAGTATGCAATGAGTGGTCATTTTTCCATAAAATCAGACGTATTCAGCTTTGGTGTTATAGTGTTGGAGCTAATAAGTGGCAGAAAGAATTGGGGATTCTATGATCCAGGACATGACTATAACCTGATAGGACATGTAAGTGCACAAAGAAAATTGATACTTACTTCAGCTGAAAATTTGCGTATTAGTAGAACAAATTTATTTGTAATTAATGATTGTTTCATTGAACTGAATTTGTTTCAGACATGGAAACTTTGGAATGAAGACAGGTGTCTTGAACTGGTTGATGAGATGCTGGATGGATCATTTTCAATAAAAGAAGTCATAAGGTGTATCCAAGTGGCGCTTTTGTGTGTGCAGCAACGAGCTGAAGACAGACCAGCTATGAGTACTGTGGTTTTCATGCTAAGTAACGAAAATGTGGAGTTGCCACAACCCAAAGAACCTGGTTTTATTAC